GTTTCGGGGAACTTATTTCCGCCGTATTTGTAATCTTGGGACTTATTTCCTTTACTTCCTCTAGCTGGGGTTGCGCAACCACAGCGAGATCCTCTACGAAAGACTCTCCAGTCGATCTAGGATTATCGTTTCGCTTAACCTGAGCGATCGATTGTTTCTCTTCTAGATGTTCCCCGCTAGGGATACATCTTTGTCCCGGTCCACTCGACTTATTCGAGTGGTGGACCTTCGGCGCAGCCTGTGTTTCCTCACAGCCGCCGGAACTTTGCTCCGAAGTATAACTGTTTATTACAATAAGGTTTTGTGCAGTCGTACTAACGACCGTACCACAAGTGAGGACATCGCACTCACTCGTAGTACATCCACACGCTTGTGGACGCTCCAAAACGTTCATCCGATGGCCATCCGATGAACAAGCGGCAAGCAACGTTACTGTTCGATGTTGCCAGTTTACCCGTGGTTCGTACCTTCTGAGCCACGGAATTCCAAGGATGATATCAAATACGTCATCCAAATCCAATACGATAAAGTCATCGTCATATTGGGTATCTTCTAGCGTATAGTGAATCTTCACTATACGCTTCATGAAGGTTACGGATGCGCCTGTCGCAAGACGTACCGTCATCCTCGTAGGAGGTGTGTCACATTCACTGAACTTGAAGTGACCATCTTCCAGCGATTGGCGTTGCACAAAATTGTTGGACGCCCCACAATCGACTAGAGCTCGAAGGGACAACTTATTCGTCACTTCGAGTTTCAAGGTAATGAGTGAGTCCTCATTACCTAGAGCAGCAACGCACAACGTTTGTGTGTTGGGAGCAACCTTCATCAAGAGGCCTACAAATTCTATTGACGTTGCTGGACCAGTAGGGTGCTCCGCACCTACTGATCCTGTCCGTTTTTTGACGGTCCATCCCGTTGTTGCGTCTTTGCACCAACAGCAGACCCGCGTCCCTGCCCCTTCCTCATGGGTGGACGGTCACTACGCCCAGTGTTGCGAGACACTGGACGAGGAACACTACACTCGTAAGCGTAGTGTCCTGTCTTTTGACATCTGTTGCATTTCTGCAACTTCTTGTAGTCTGTAGAGCGAGCCTTCTCGCTCTCTACATAACAGAGTTCCATCGGCTCTGGACCTCCGCTGTCATATCGTCTCGGTTGACGATGTGATGTCGAGATGGCGCGAGCCTGTCTCAGACTGAAGTCTTCCTGTTCCGCAATGGATATGGCTTGTTCTAGTGACTACAGTTCAAGTCGGAACAGGTGAGTCTTGACGGGAACATCCGCAAGACCCTGCATGAACACCGAAACCAACGTGTGTTCACCAACCGGGTTGGAACTTATACAACTCGTGATATGTCGTATTTGTTGTGCGTAAGCGTGCACATCACGCTTACCCTGCTTGAGCTTCAAGAGTTCGGTTCGAGCTCTGAACTCAGCTCTAGGCGGTTCAAACGTTTGTCTGAGCCGCGACTTGAAGACTTCCAACGACCCAAACGCATATGGGTCGTGCAACTTGAGCCCCAGTGCCCAAATCTTGGCACGTCCTGCCAGATTTGACTGGGCAAATGCAACTTGCATATCCCCGTCGTCGATGCGACGCGCCCTTATGGCGTCATCCAATTCGACGAACCATCTCAAGAGGGAGTCCTCTTTGACTCCCCTATACTTGGAGATGTCAATCTTCAAGGTTTCGGGTCGACGCGAGTGCATCGACCCGCCAGCAGCAGCCTGCTGCTGTCTCAACAGTTCAAACTGTTGAGCACCCTGTTCTCTCAACAACTCTGCTTGTTGAGAACCTTGTTGTTGAAGCAAGGCTACTTTCTCGCGTTCAGCGTCAAGTTCATTTTGAATGAACTTGGCGATAGTAGCATGTTGGGCATCTCTATTGAGAGCCTCTAGCATGACGCTAACAGCGTGTATGCCCATGGTTGAATCCATCCGTTCAATCGCATCCCATTCGACATCGCTCAAATGGGAGTACCCGTCACGCGTAGCGTGAAAGCTTTGGTCACCTTCATCATCCAACATATTCATGTTTGATGTGAACGTGGTCCTTGGACGGACTACGAAGTGCTACCAGGTGTAACGGGGCACCCTGAAGCTTGTACTGGTGACAGTACAAGCTACTTATTCTGATAACAGAATAAGGCGGTGCCTCGGAACTTCACGTACACTCGTACGTGCAGAGGAAGACGGTAAGAAGAAGCGAGTACTTGGTTAAAGTAAAAAGTAGAACTGTATTTATAATAGTTAATGTCTGCAACAAATCACTATTTATCTTCATCTAACTATGTCTAAATACAAATGTGTAAATCAATTATCTGCTCACCACTCATTGCGTGCGTCTGTCGTGGCGCGTCTTCGTTGGTTGATATAATGGCCTATATCAACCATTTAGGAACTACTCGTAAGTGCTACAGAATATTTGTCCTTATGACAATATTCTGAGAATATAACTCTTATAGTTATATTCTATCAACAATTTCTTATAAATTGTTATGTAACGATTCACCCCGTTACACCTCCATAAGATTACGGCAGAGATAAAGTCCGGCTCCAGCTGATGGTAACGTAAAACCAGCGGAAATACGCGCATACAGCCGCGAGCAAAGCCTCTTGCGAAGCTGAGACGGAAACTCATCTCTTCAGGTTTAACACGATTCTTGGTGGCAAAAAAGTGGAAAAGTCGGAAGAAAGTTACCTTTTGGAGCCAAGCCGATAGTGTACGATGCTCAACACCAGTTAACGATAGATACACCAAGTCCGGGTGGATCATACTAGGTGCTATGCTTGCTTTTGCGGGCCTCCGGGCCGTACGAATTCCGAGCCTCTCCCTTTTCAATAGACCTCGTCGCATGTGTTGCTTGATGTTGCAACCCCTTTTTGAGGTTGTACACTTGCCTTGTGCCCCAAACGCAAGTAGTAGCCGGAGATGGCGATGTAATGTTACTCGTCTGCCAAGGCGAGACATTGTATGTAAACGCGCTATCTTCGCAGCTCATAGCTCGCAGAATCATCCGTCTCATTCGGAGGGGTCCCCTCATTGGACCCAACGTCGCCTGCGAACGTGCTCGTAGTACTCTGCCCCATGTACGAAAACGTCCATCCTGAGCCATTGATACAATTCCAGAACTACCAGCCCATCATCAGAGTTTAAGCACCCGGTGGCTTTCTAAGAAGTGAAAGGAAGAAGAGGCACTCTCCTCTAGGAGATCGTGCAGGACGTGATCAAGTGATCAAGCTGAATCACAGCATGCATGAGTTACGAGAAGCGGCCTCGACATGGTATAAGACAATTTCGTGTGCATTTGTGGAGATGTTGATAAACCCGTGCGCGGCAGACCCATGCATCTTCGTAAAAGAGACCAAGAGCTCATGTATTTACGCTGCATTATTGTGGACGACCTTCTAAATGGACTGAATCTACTGGTGCGATGGAAGATGTGGCAGCGCGACTGTTATGATGTCTTCAGATGGAGACATTGACTGGCGTTCGGTACGCTCTCGAAATTGAAGTCAAGTACCTGAGCGACAGGCGACGTCTAAAAATCAGTCAAGGATCGTGTATATCAAGAATGGTTGAGATATTTAATCAGGTTGATGCAGTAGCAGTATCGAATCCAAGTCTTGGAGGGCAAGCGATGATCAAGATGAACAGAATTAACACAAGAATGAAGATCAACCGTGTCGGTCGTTGGTGGTCGCTTTTGTATGTGTCAACACGCAAAAGACCAGATATCGCGTATGCAGTATGTCAGCTGAGTCGTCATTTGAAATCTCCGCACGAAGAGCAATGGAATGCAGCGATTCGAGTTTTGTGATATCTGAAGACAGCGAAGAGCAACAGAATATGCTATGAAGGAGTTCCGGGCAACCTGCAGCTGCGAGCGTACACATATGCGGACTGGGCAAGTAACAAGTGCAATCGCATATCGATTTCTGGAGTCTTATTCATGATTAATGGCGCATCTGTGCTTCTCAAAGTCAAAGATGCAGCAGAGTGTGGCATTGAGCACAACAGAAGCATAGTAAATGGCTCTTTCTTAGTGTGTACAGGAGGTTATGTGGACAAGAAGTCTACTCGAGGAGACACAAGTGCAGATTAATTACGCCGTCATGATTTATAAAGTCAACCAGAGTGCAAATTGCTATCGCTAAGCACGACGGAGATCAAAGTCGAGCGAAGCATATCGACGTCAGGTACCAATCTGTGCGCAAACAAGTGAAAGACAAGATTATCGACCTGGAATATATCGAAACCTAGTCACAGCTGGCAGATTTTCTGACCAAACCGATTTCGACGAACAAGTCTGAGTCCCTGCTGGACAAAGCCAAGAGCAGAGACTTCAAGTCGAGGGGGAGTATTGGTAATGTTGTTGGTTACTGATACTTATGACCACATGGCAGGGACAACACTACGTGATGGTGTGTAGCGATGGGACCGACTCATCGTTTTGTTACTAATATTGTAGAGTTGATATCGATAGGCTTCGAGTAGTACAACGAGACGAAGTAAGAACCTAGCTAGATGATAATTCACTTTCCATTTTACCTTCTTCTAAGCATCCTTACCTTGAACCGCCCTTTGACTGTTGCCGAGAGTCATAACCTTGATTATCGATCTCTTTTTCTGGACAATACGTTTATTGCCGTTATTGCGTGACCTTATGCAATGCGCTGTGCTATGAATTTTTTGATAGAAGAACAATCTTGTTTTGGTTGAAGGCAGTAGAAATAGTAGAATCGGGGGGGGGGCAACCATCATAACCGTTTTTCTAAGGCGTTTCTCCAACAACAAGTTGAACCTCTCGTTTAACCTCGTGTTGAAACAGTAATCCAAGAAGTCAAAGGCCGCTCTATCACTTTTATAAACGCGCTCTGATTGGACCCATCTTACCCCCCCCGCAAAATAAGCCACCCCCTTCTAACTATATTGTTATAATATGCCCAACGTCTTTGCGCGTGGCCCACACCATCTTCCGTTTTGCTAGTCAAAAATGCTGCAGTGCCGAGCAACTCGCTCGATGTCGTTGATGTGCCGGTCGGTGCGCGCCTTCTCGGTGCGTCAAGCAGTGCAACTGGAGAATCAAGTGCTGGAAAAGCTGCGTGGCGTGTCATACGGATTGGGGATGGGGGACATCGTGTCCTCAGGCCGCGTCAAGGTGCGAAATGACTTGTCACTGGCCCTTCAAGAGCTCATCGAATGGCTCAAGTTGCATATTTGGTGTTACGTAGGACCTGCAAGTGACGCCTGAGACGGGTCAAGTTGCCTGCAAGATTGAGATGTCGTCGCCGGTGCTGAAGGAGCTGGCTGAGCAGGTTTTACCAGCTGCTAAAACGACTGGAACTTGCTCGCTCACGACTGACTTTTGTGCACTTTATGTGCTACTGTCAGTGGCAACTGGAGGCTAAAGTTGCGGTGAAGGAGCTGGCGTGGGTCAAAATGACCGACTTTGAGCTTACCAAGGCACGGCCACGTAATGCTCGAGCTGGGCGCTTGTCGTCGCTGGCTCATGTGTCGGACATTATTGCTGTGTCTAGTTGCAAGGGTGGAGTAGGAAAGTCCACGGTGGCAGTGAATTTAGCGTTCAGGTAGAGCAATGCGATGCATCTGTACAATACTATTGAGTTGATGATCGGGATTGACTACCTGTCTGCTGCTGTACGATAGTCTGGCCAAGCGTGGTGCGCGAGTGGGCATTTTGGACGCTGATATTTACGGACCAAGTCTGCCCACAATGATCTCCCCGGTAGATCGGACCATTCGTCCGTCGAGAAAGGTCAAGAATTTTGTCGAACCGGTAGAGTACGAGGGTGTCAAATGCATGTCTTTTGGCTTTGTAAACCAGCGTGCTGCTCCAGGTGCTGGAGGTACGATCTATGTCGTGGATTACGGCTGGCTCATCCAGATTTGTTAATGCTTGATGGGTGTTGTTGGTATTTGTGTGCGCTCAATACGCAGGAGTTGGAGCCGCTGTGATGCGTGGACCGATGGTCTCAAAGCTGATTGATCAGCTTGTCCTTGGTACGGAATGGGGTGACCTCGATTATTTGGTCGTGGATATGCCACCAGGAACAGGGGACATTCAAATTTCGTTATCGCAGCAAATGGCTATTTCAGCCGCAGTTGTCGTCACAACACCGCAGAGACTCAGGTATGGTACCGTGCGCTATTTGTTTCGCCAACTTGTACAGCATCTTACAGGGTTCGAAATGTTAGCTTTGTCGATGTGGAGAAAGGGATTGCGATGTTCGATGACTTGAAGGTACGTCAGTCAATACAAATGAAGATTGTGGCCGCTAAGACCATAGTGGTGCTCGTTCAGGTGAAGACAGCTGCTGTGGTAGAGAACATGTCCTACTTTGACTGCTCAAATGGACAGCGATATTATCCATTCGGTCAGTAGCCCTTGGCAATGTTGAGCAGCGGTTCGATGATTTAGATTTGATTGTGTGCAGGCCCGGGCCATACACAGGAGCTTGTCGATAAGTACAACATGAAAAACGTGTTCAAGCTGCCTATCACGGAGCACTTCAGTTCATCGGGTGATTCCGGACGGTGCGTTGAAGACAGTCACAGAGAGCAGGCATGTTTATTATGTGCTGTGGTCTTCTCACTTTGATGCGCTTCGTAGCCCCTTTGTTCTGTCAGGACTATCCCCAGACGAGGAAGAGACTTACGACTTGCTTGCGACCACGGCGAGTAATCACTAGATTCGTGTGGCTTGCCCGCCGCTGACAATCTGTTCGCTTTTTGCTAGGTGGCGAAGGAACTCGTCGTATTGAAGCACAACATTCGCCTGGCGCCGGATCTTCTGTATGATAAGAATCGCGGTATCGTGCTTCGATTGTACAGTCAGAACGAGGCAAAGGAGGCTGTACTCCACCCAGCTGACCTTCGAGCTCGGTAGGCCAACCAAAGCTAGAACTGTTTCTCGTCGCGAATATGTTGAACGTCGGCTGACTGCATTGAACCATTACAGCTGCCGGTGCGCCCAATGCGTCGGCGAGTTTACCGGAGAGCAGGTGCGTCTTTCTGTGTCGCCTGTGCGCATGGAATATTACTGACGTAACATACATGTCCTCGTCCAGATCTTGGACCCGGCTACCATTCCAGACAGTATCGTTCCTACCGCGGTCGAGCGAAAGGTACGTCGAACTATGTACACAGGCCTTTTCAAGAACGTTTACTTATTGCATCATTTTTTTCATCAGGGCAACTATGCGTTTGCAGTCACGTGGAGTGATGGTCACACTTCGTCGCTTTACACTTACGATGCACTCACGGCACTCATCGCTGAGTACACGTCTAAGTCAGCAGAACAGCAGTAGGTGGTGGATGGACTGTGTGAGATGCTCGACATAATTCTATGAAGAGATTCGAAAGTTGCTAACCCCGCCCCTTCTGCGTTGTTTTGGAGGCTGTAGAGTCGCAGGTAATGTTGGTGCAATATTTGCCGTTGAAATGTGCGTACATCAAAGTCTACTCCGTGCAGTCACTATGGTGAGTGCGTTTAGTCAAAGCTGGCTATCAGAGCAGTCACAGCAGACATTGTCCGAATTCGTGCACCGATCAAGGTAAAACGGCGTGGTCTCAGGGTCGTGCGGAAATGGTGTTGCAATGGGTCGATAAAAGAACGAAGCTGGGTATTTATGGCAAGCAGCTCTTTTTCATCAGCTTTCGTCGACAAGTACAACGGCAGTATACCGTCGTTGCGTCAACATGTAAGTCACGTTTCGCGGCCGATCATAGGGCATAGGGGATACATGTCATGTCGACCACAACCTCAAGCAGGTAAACCCATGAGCGCAGGTGGCACTCCTTACTCCATCATATGAGCGATGCCGTACACAGATCAGGGCACAAGTTTGTGAAATGTGTGGAGATGTACCATTTGACATGCATCATACTCCTATTTGCACGTCTTATTGTAGTGCGCGGCGCTGTTGCAAAGGTAAGTCATTCTGATCTCGTTGCTAGTTAATGAAAAGTTAGCAGCTGTACAACTACGATCACAGCGACAGTGGAATGAATCCAAACCAGCAGGTGTAGTGAACCATGTAGGGAAGAAGCAGGTTTTTAGCTATGCTGCACTAGATGCTATCAGAATATGAGCTATTGGCGGTCTCCACGGGTGTCTCGACAGCCTCGATCATGTATTTCGGCTGCACATGTCACTGGGGATACTGTGCAATAATCTTGAACGTATCCACACCGATAAAAGATTGTCGTCGTTGCCCACCCTCGATTCATGAGGCTAATGCATTGCCTGCAATCCCTTCCTAATCTACATCCGACTGGTGCGAATAAATCTTCACCTTCGTAGCAAGTTTTGGATAGAGGTTAATGCCTGAACAAATGCGACACGAAACCAACTCCGTCTCACTGGTTTAAAGTATCGGCGCCAAGTCCAGGCAATCTACCGAGAGCCATTTGCAGAAACACAGCCGACTAGTTGAGAAGGTGCGACCAAAGTAGTTCATGATGTTGCTTTTGAGACGGTCTCGCCTCTTGGGGCAACGCAAATCTCGCCGGTAGAGTATTGGTGAAAGCATGAGACTACAAAGTGAGATGATGTCCAGCCTTAAGATGGCTTGTGCAGCAATTGACTGAAGCCAGAAGCCGGACTGATCCAACCAACTAACTTGTTCGTGTTCGTTACGACTGATGAGTTGCAGTACAAGGACTAGACAGCCAGCCAACTGTCTCACCGTTGGGCTGAGGGAAGCGCCGAGGTGGAATTGGACTGATGCGTCGGAGACACCGGCTGAGATTTTAGTCTCAACCGAACGTTTCCAACGCTCCGATAAGTACAACCGGATCCAGCTACAACCGTACTATTCACGCTATCAAAGATAACTAATGGCACGCTAGCGGCACTTTGTGAGGGACTCTTCCATCTACAGCTACTCATTCTTCGAGATTCGATCACACGTGAGTTATCTGAAGTAGTACAACAAGCAAGCTTGTTCAGATTGCTCGCTGCGCTGAACACTCACTGCCTTGAAGGGTAGTATAGTCGTCGTTTTCTCTCTTTGAATTGATGCAGTAACCTTTTAACACTACTATAGCAAGTCGTTGCTTTGCGCTGCGGCCTTTGCGGAGATTTACAACATGAACAAGAAGCCGTTCTTGACCTTTATTCAATTCTTTCACCAGGACACGCGACGATAAGCAATCAGGAAGACCGACGTCTTTTGTGTGCTGCTCTGTTTTTTGCGGCAGCTATGGTCCAAGCTCAAAAGCTCGGGGATACGGTACAGCAAGACGGGTCTTCCGAATCGACTCCCAGTCCGAAACCGTGGCAGGAGGTGTCAATAAGTTACGACCAAGCGAAGCCGTTAACTCAGCAGTAGCCTAAGACCGCTTCCGATAAGGCGTGCGTCGAGTTCAAACCATGTTTCAGCACTTACGACGGATGCCAACCGTATCCTGCGGCGAACGAAGTGGGCGAGACCAGTGGCGGTCTCGAGCCCGAGGGAACCACAAATGCCGGATGCAAGGGATCTGGATCAGGGTCTCCAGTCTACGGGCGTTCCGCGTGGCATGGGGAGAAATGAGCCATTGTGTATGCATGATGCATGCCGAAAGACATGATACCGTTCATGTTTGGCCAGCGTCATCTCTGGACGTATGTTGTCGTTTGGATCAACAACCCTGCCGTGGAAAACCCAAAGATTCTAGCGGTGTCACTGGGAGACGGACTTCGAGCTCGAAGGACGAGGAAAATTCCATCGGATGATGAGCTAGAGGACGAGGTGGGCATCAAAGTCAAGCACTTGTGGGACGGAGTGCACAATGGCCAGATGCTCGAATTTACTACTGAAGATGGTAAAGAGCAGGATCCGGTCACGTGGGACCAGCTGTCGGCTAATGCGCGCCAAGCATTCAACGAGGTCCGTTGGGGCAAGCAGAAGATGCCCCTGAACGATGACGAGTTTAGGAACAACTTGGAACTCGCTTGGCCGACTGAACAGCAAAAGAAATGATCGGCTGAACGCAGCGAGCGTAATCGTCGGATAAGGGCACACCAGCGTTCACGTGGCATCTACAGTATCTGCACTTCTGCTGAAAACTTCTAAGGTCCATTTGCATGGCTGTATTGCACACGGTACAATACGAATCATCGCATTAACATCGGATACAACACCATTGTGTTTGGCAGATATCAGTATCGATCACCGCCATCATCTCGAAACACTGGTCGTATTCAGCTTCGATCACATCCTACTGCCGAAGTCTCGCTCGCTACGTTGCAACCAGCCGGGGGACCGTGTCGTGTTTATATGGTATTGCAGCGCACCGAATAAATTCGCTTGAAATCCAGACATCGGTGATGCAGCTAGATAATCGAAAAGTAGGCTACTACTGCCTATCAAATCGAGTCGATCTGGACGCATACGACATCTAAAACCAAAAGGGAGTTTACGACGTGCACAGCGTCTTTTAAAAGTTGTAGCGATCAGATCGAATAATTTACATCGGTCCGCCGACAGGCTCGAAATGATGGCAGCATATGTCCCGCACCACCGGACGCCACATGGATCTCCAAACTAAGCTACTTGCTAATTACACATCAAAACCGGAAAGGTTGCTCTACAAAGAATTAGCAAAAGATCACGATCAGCAATACCGCTCCCTATCCGACAGTGCGTTTCGCATCGCTTCTATCGTATTCCAGTTGTCGTCAACTCCCCGTTGACACTCTCTCTATCCACACGACGGAAGAAGCGGCCAAGCATGAGCACTCTCTTCGAACGGAAAGTCAAGGACCCGGTCCTGAAGCTGCTCAAGTCTGGCGGTGCGTCTCCTTGTCGATCCTAAGTTTTATATGCTGCCTCCCGTTTGACCTTATTTTCTGCGTCTAAAGCTTCGCCCAGTAGCATCGCTCTGGCCATGGCCTTTGGCGTCTCCGGGGGGCATTTTCCCCGTCCCTGGTGTCACTACTGTGCCCGTCATGGCGGCCATCTTCCTTTTTCGCCTCAACCCCGTGGCTGCTATGCTCACGAACTACCTTGTCACGCCGCTCAATATTGCGTCCATCCCTGTTTTCATGTATGTATACATGGATATCCTTGTGGGCTCGAAGCGCTATCCGTTTCACGTTAATTCTTAGCTGACAAGTTTGACGTGCTAAATGTTAGCTATTACGGTAACGTTATGTTTGGCGGCGGTGACGGAGGAGACAGCGGGTTTGTGATGAGTAGCTTCATGGAGGACGTGAAGAAGGACACGATCAACACGCTGCTACTCTTCCGCTTCACGCTATTGCATGCCATCTACATCTGGCTACTGGCTATGCCCGTGGTCACTCTGGCTGTCTACAGCGTGCTTACCCCTATTCTGCGTCGCGTCATGCCCAAGGCCAAGAATGAGGTCAAGCACGCATAAGGGGAGTTGCGGCTTCGGCATTCTTGTACGATCCGTGTGTATCATCTTTTTCCAGAAAGTATCGAACAGCGCGTACGAAGAGTACATGGAGTGGATCTCTACTATATGTCTTTCTTCCATTGCAATATATTTGCTAATTCTTCAGTCGATTAACATTACGAAGTCCTGCAGTGGCAGGGCAGTGCACTCCAGAAAATTAGTAGAGAGATGTGAGTAGCGTCTATTCTGAATTCGGCTTGAAGTCGGTCGGGAGACGAGATCGTTAATCTAACGGAACGAGCGTCGTTCGAACATTGGCATCATTTCATGCTGAGAACTCGTGCCGCTAGAAGGTGGGTTAGTCTACCAAGTAAGTGCAGTCAAAAGCACGATGCGAGCAAGCGACCTCAAACGACATACGTGCATGGTTTGGAACTGCAAAAAAGCGTCCGATTGTGGATTCTACAGTCGACAGCATATCGACAGCATATCGACAGCATCCGGTTGCATAGGCGCGATGTTGTACCACACCGTGTGGCCCACACGAGTGGTTTATTTTGTCAACGAGAGAGTGTGTCATCCATCATCTGTCCGCCACGCCAGCTCATTTATTCCATCCGAGAATATAACGAAACTAACAGGAATTTTCTCAACGTCACGACGGAAAATCAGTCTGGTCACAAGCCGCGACGCTGATTCGACGAAACTCGCTTCCCTTTTGCAAAAGTCTTTTCAACCAATGACATGGCACCGCTCATAACCAAGAGATGGCAGTCGACGCCACACGTCATCCGGTCTCGCAGCGCGTCGTCAGTCGTCGGACAGCAGAGACCATGGCGAGCCCCGACGCGTGCAAGAGCCTCGCGGAGCAGCTGCGTCAAGAGCGGAAGAAGCTGACGCTTTTTCAACGACCTCTGAGCGTCTTGTACCACTTCAGTATCGTGTTTTTGCGCTTTGTCAAGTGGCTGGCACTCCGGATCCAGCGCAGTTCCGCCACGCGCTTCGTGCTGCTTCCACTACTGCTGCTGTGGCTCGTGGCCTCGAGTCGGGACGGACCGCACCGCCCACTCTTGGACGAGATCAATCAGAGCGTCAAGTTTGTAGTCTGGTGGGTTGGACTAGGTGTGCTCTCAAGCGTTGGGTTGGGAACAGGTATGCACTCGGGCGTGCTGTTCCTGTTTCCCCACATTTTCCTGGTCGTGCAGGGCGCACAGGAGTGCCAATCACTGGACTTTGACACTCGTCATCACATGTGGTTCCACCCGTTCGAAGCCAATTGCACTCACGTCCCTCAAGTCTCTACCGTCACGTTTGTCGCTATTTTTTGGAAAGTGTTTCTCCCGTGTATGCTTTGGGGAGCAGGTACTGCAGCTGGAGAGATTCCACCCTATGCCCTAAGTCGTGCTGCTAAACTTGCTGGTCAACGCAATGAGGAGTTTGAGGAAATTGCCGAGTCGAAATCTCAGTACAATCTTATGAACAGCATGAAAGATTGGATGATTTAGTTTTTGGAAAAGCATGGTTTCTGGGGTGTTTTACTCATGTCAGCCTGGCCTAACATGGCCTTTGACCTGTGTGGCATTTGTTGTGGACATTTTCTTATGCCTTTCTGGACGTTCTTTGGTGCTACGCTTATTGGCAAGGCACTTATCAAGGTCAATATGCAAGCCGCGTTCTTCATCACCATCTTCACGGACGCGCATCTCAAACGAGTGGAAGCGCTTATTGGACGCATTACTCCCGAGCAGTGGGGTCTTGGCTCTCGCGTTAGCGAGTTTTTGCTCGAGTGTCGCGAGAAATTTCATTCGGCGCAGATCAAGGCAGCTGCAGAGCATGCGGGTGTAGCTGCGGCTCCTACTACCAGTCTGGTCTCAAAGCTAGGCTCCTGGGTCATGGTGCTTTTCATTGCGTACTTTGCCGTCTCTTGCATTGAGCAGTTTGCTCAGCAGCATGCAGCTGAGGAGGATGAGGAGAAGCTCAAGAAGCAGAAGTAAGCGTCTAGCACTGCTATCTGCAAAACTTGGTCGAGGAAGTAGATCCAAGTGAATGGTACCACGTTGTGTCGCATACTGGCTCACGATTCAACGAAGGTGATGGGAGTGTTTTGTAGCTTCGCCAGGACAGACACCCACGTATCGATAAGTATCTTGTACGTTTTCGGAGAGCTTCTTGCCGATTAAGTCGCTTCAGAATAGAGAACATTCGAACATGTGGACGTTGGAGTACGAGATTTGTGAAATGGATGATGTGTTGATGCCGCATGTAGTTGTTAGCTCAGGCTGTGATCAGTTTATCCTCATACTGGTTCAGAATTATTGAGTTTTACGGGATAAAGCTGTGGGCTGCTACGATCATCTGCATTCGTTAGCCACAACGACAATTACAAACCATACAGCAACTTCAATTCCGCTGCGTTTGTCACCTACCATTTCGACCTTCGCTACGTAGATGCAAATGTAAGGCGTCATTGCCCCAACCAATTTAAAAACGGTCGGTTGCTTCCTGTATCGGCGTTCATCTACCAAGCGCATTCTTGTAAACACGACAGAGTTCTGTACCACCCGCTTGCCGCACGTTTCGATGATGAGATTCGCCCTGCCTGCCTGCTTGCCCGCTACAAGCTGTGAACTGACTACCTCATCGCAATCTTGGAAAAAGCACTGCTGATTTCGAGCGCTATCGTTTGTTTGTTTGTTTGACGTTTGGCACGATGTATACGCCTATAACTGCTCACTAGAGCTATTCACATCGGGTGGCTACAGAATGCTTACATATGACGACTGCTGATCAAGTTGGCTCCGGTACATTTGCTTCCGGCCTTCGATGATCGAAGGGAAAAGGTCGTGCAAATTAGGCCTTGTTGGTGCAGCAACTGAATAAGGCTTTATTTTAGAAAGTTTCCAGCTATTTTAGGAGCTACTAAAGAGCTTTCGGCTCAGCAGTCAGTTCCTTCACGAAGTGTTTGGAGCTGCCATTTCATAGATACGGCAGCAAAACCAGCAGCATTCGCAGTTGTTGTATAATCAATCACCTCTCGTCGATCTCCAGCTCTTTTTTCATGCGCCCTTTCTTCCGCCTGGGCGCGCTCTGCAGCGAGTCTCCAGTGCTCGTGGCGCTTTGCGCATTACTTTGCAGCCTGTTCTTATGTCTAGATCTACTGGACATGCAGCTGCAGACAGATCCTCAAGGTCTCTGGGTGCCTCCAAACAGCGTCGCGGCCCAGGAACAAGCGCGCTTTGACGAGCTCTTTGGACCTTTTTTCCGCATCCAGCAACTCATTTTTTACATCGACGACTCAATTTCCAAATTAGGCTCCAATTTGGACCCTGATTTTGCAACGTGTGACTCGGCCGAGGATTTAGTCCAGCGCCGATTTTTGCTACCGATGGCTCAAATCCAGACACAAATCACAAACGATACCGTCGTCTATAGTGGTACGGATGACGCAAATGTATCCTTGAGTTTGGCGGACTTTTGCTACCGGCCGATCCAAGGGAAGGGGTGTTTAATCACGAGTCCGTTCCAGTATTGGCTGAGCAACGCCACGTTGCTGCAAAATGACCCGGACATCAAGTTAACGGCAGCGTGCCAGACGACAGACCCGGAGCTCAAGTCCCGTTCGCCATGCATGGACGAGAATGGCGTCCCAGTGATGAGAAACGTGGTTTTCGGTGGACTGGCAAGAGACGAGTGCCACATAAATCCAGACCCGTGCGGAGAAGCGACTCCTAAAGCCAAGGCTTTGATTGTCACGTTCTTACTGAATAGCAAGCCGGAGAACGAAACGTACACGCGATACGTTGAGTTATGGGAGAAAGAAGTATTTCTCAAGACGGCGGAACGAGCAGCACAATCGTTGATGCCTTCGAAGAAGGATAGCGGTGACGAGTACATATGGGACGGTGTGGAAGACCAGCAGCTGGCAGACGCTGGCGTCGATGGCGTGAGACTCACGTACATGGCTGAACGATCTGTTGCTGACTCGTTGGTGGTACAGACTAACCAAAATGCTTTTATTGTCGTAATGAGCTACGTCGTCATGTTCTTCTACGTGTCCGCTTCACTGGGTGCATTTAAAGATCCAGTGCGCTCTCGTTTCGGACTCGGCTTTACTGGTATACTGATTGTACTACTGTCTCTGGGTGCTGCCATAGGCGTGAGCTGCGCGATACTACAAATGGACGTGACGATGATCACGCTCGAAGTTGTGCCGTTTTTGGTGCTTGCTATTGGTGTAGACAACATGTTTATCCTAACAAACGAGTTTGACCGATTATCAGGTCTGCGTGGACTTGGAAAGCTTGATAGTAAACGCAATACGCGTGATCAAGCCGAGGACGAGTCATTGATGCTGAAACAGGTTATGGGAGAAACGATGGTGCATGTGGGACCATCAATTGCTGTGGCAGCGATTGCTGAAACACTCGCCTTCTTGGTGGGTGCACTCACTCGGATTCCGGCGCTTACGAGCTTTTGTGTTGTCGCTGGGCTGGCGGTCGCAGCTAACTTTGTGCTTCAGATGACATGGTTTGCTTCAGCACTTGTGCTAGACTCACGCCGCGTGCGAGCTCGACGGTATGATTTGTTTCCATGGATTAAGCAAAAGGTCTCATTCACACCGTCCGCCAAGGGAAAAAAAAGGATTGAGTCCAGCATTTACTATCAGTATGACTTGATTGTCGATGATAAAGATCTTGGTGAGGAATTCTTGGCAAGCCCGAGTAGTAATGCTGGAGTTATCCAACGCTTCGTGGAAAAGACGTACATTCCTATCTTGTTGCGACGCTCTACAAAAGTACTGGTGCTTGTGACTGCCTTCTCGGTAACGATGCTTAGTGCATTTGGCTCATCCAAGCTACCGCTTGGATTAGAGCAAGAGCTTGCGGTACCTACAAACTTTTATCTGCATGAGTATTTCAAGAAGCAAACAGCACTTGGTGAAGCCGGACCTCCAGCATATGTTGTTCTCGACAGCAGAGCTGACTATACGGATGCACGTCTGCAGCGGGATGTGAACATTTTACTAGACGAGCTATCTGATCTACATCAGTACATTGAGCTGCCCATTTACTCGTGGCTGCACACGTTTAACCAATGGCGCCAAATGCGCTTTTTCCTGCAAGACAAGATTGATCAAGGCATGTGCGATTGCCCGACTCAACCCATAAATCCTTTTCCGTACGAGCTTGCAAACGTTGCGATTGGAGATGCGGCGAGCAACATTTTCTTAGCTTCCGACTTTGGGTATGGTGCTTTGGCTACAGCGAATATGACTCCAAATGCGCTGTTTTACCCGTTGGTGAAGAATTTCACGCGTATTTCCATTGACTCATCCTGTTGTCAACATTTTGGACTTTGTGGTGCTCAGTACGAAGGGGACATTGTTTTCGACAACGACGAGGATGACAATGTGGCTAATCTGACAATTGTTGGTTCTCGGATGCGCTTTCAGTTGAATGCGATGCGCAATCAGACTATGTTTGTAAATTCGTATTACTACTTACATGAAGTGACTAGCCAGTGGAGCGCTGATCGAGCCGCTACTGCATTTCCATATGCTCTTGTGTTCGTATTCGAAGAACAGTACACATATATTCAAGGAGTTGCATTGCAGAGTGTGCTGCTGGCTTTAGCAGTTGTCTTTGGGTGTGTGTTTGCGCTTACAAATGGCAGCTTGCGATTGACTACCGTTGTTACTCTGTGCGTGCTTTCAATGGCCTTTTCGCAGTTGGGGTTCCTTTTCGTGTGGAACATGTGGGCCGGACCTGGCGCTGAAACGTCCATTAATGCAGTCTCGGTGGTGAACCTTCTTGCCTGTATCGGGCTTGGCGTCGAATTTTGCGTGCATATGGCTCATCAGTTTGCGCTCTCACGAGAACATCACATGGGAACAAGTGCCAACGACCACACGCGTCACGCTCTGACCAGCGTCGGTGCGTCGGTCTTCTCGGGCATCACACTCACCAAATTTTGCGGTATTGGTGTGCTTGCATTCGCGCCATCCATGTTGTTCCGCGTCTATTTCTTTCGAATGTATATGGGTATCGTCGTGCTGGGCTGTTTTCATGGTTTGGTCTTGCTGCCAGTGCTGCTCAGTCTCTTCGGGCAGCCCCAACAGTATCCGAACGATCTCAGCTCATTTTTGCTGTCCGAAGAACGCGGCGATGAGTTCGAAGATGAACCTGACTTACTCGAGTAGAAACCGCACCAACACATGGATGATGTTTACCGGAGAGCCCCTTGCTGAGACAGTGGCATCTATCGAGTATTTCCAAAGGAAGGGGCACAATAAAGTCGCGTGTGGTTGCCGGCCGAATAGCTGCTCTTGGGGCGACCAACGGGCGTGTGCTTTGCCACACGTCCTTGTGCGGAGTTGCTATTAACGGACAGAACACCTGCATCTGAGCTGGAGCGCAACATTCTGGATGTATGTTCGTACTCGTGGTTGGGCTCTTCCTGTTCGAGTGTCATATGAAAGAGCCTGGAATTCAGCCATTCTCGACGTTTTTGTGGTCATTCGCGCTATTCTCAAACATAGCTGAAGAAATGCTTTCGTTGAAAGAGTCTGGAAGTGGCTTTGCATTTTACCACTTATTGTAAATTGTGGTTCTGCCTTGAGTCACCGAGTCTTGCAATACGCGACGCAAGTCATTTGCCGTCAGTACTCGAAAGAAGAGTAGATGCGCTGGCACCGGAAGCGACAAACGCGTCTTTGGGGGAACCAACGAGACGGAAGAGTGGCACGAACGCATACCGGAGACGAAGATGGAAGCAGATGGCAAGTGTAGCGGTATCGAGTCAACTTTTAGTGGACGCGTCAGTAGGAGACGGAGAAGACATCGTACCGATGCGACTGTGGAAAGCCATCAAGCGTTTGCTAGTCCGTCAGCTGTGGTCATTGTATTAACGTTCAGGCTACTTGTACACGCGATAGGCATCGTCGAGCACTATTGAGGATAGCAACTCGAAACCATACTTGGAGAGCACGTTAGTCAGGATCCTTACACTCTTATCTCTAGGGGAGAATGACAAAGGTGACGGGATGCCCTGAAGAGGTGGAGATGGTCGTCGCTAGCGTGGATTCTCGAAAGACGAACGTGTAGCGTCAGCCGCAGGTTCATTGGTCTCCACAAGAACTTCACCCTTCCTGCCAAGAGGTCCACCTTGTCTGCCACAGAGTCCGCGCTCTTCATTGCTGTCTTTGTTTGTGCCACGAGCCGTCATCAGTCTCTCGGTAGGCTCGCCTTTGCAGCTGTGGTAGCGCGCGGCACCTCAACCACACAATCACAAAGGCCGGGGACGCCATCGGTGGTGGTCAGTGCTGCACCACCGACATACAGCGCGCGAAGGTAGACGACCTCGAGTTTCCGTCGACCCAGCAGATACACTCCCGGTGCTGCAGTTGTAGGGAAGGCTGCTCGTCTTCAGACGGTGGACAGACCGACCTTCATCCTAGACAGACCAATGTCGCGGCTGTACATCATTAGGCGGTGTCCATACGCCGGGGCTGCCCGGATCAGTGAACGTAATCACGAGCAAACAAGGTCGTACCATCGATACGTTGGCATGCCCCCGGGTCCCTCCTATCGACTCTTTGAGTACAACACTGCCAGACACGGACGATAGAACGGAGAACAATCGAGTCGGTCTTCAGTCCACATTTTCGAGTTTGACAAGCTTGGAGGTTCGTGCAGGTCAACGTATCTCGGTACTGATGCGATGGTTCGAGCCGTTGACAATGGTGCTGCTAGTCGTGCTAGAAGGACTAGGCTGTGATAGTACAGATATACTCGCTTCGTACAAAGTGCCGGCCGTGAAACACACAACGTCACCAAAGCTTGTGGTGTTACGCATGGCGCGTATCATACAAGGGTCGACCAAGTCAACATCGTTGAAACGATCATGTTCGGACTTTGCAGCAGTCTACTTCTCGTCTTCGTTGTCATTCCGTGCAAGCAGTCGTACGTCGTATTATCCTAGCGCTGGATGTAGACTGTCGTTGATGGACAAGTGAATCCCGTTCAAGATGCTAGTGTAGAGAGCGTCGACAGATCTCTCAAAAGTCTCTTTGCTACGCGTGACCGAACCAGAACACACGAAAACTCACTGCGTCACCCTCCGCAAGGGCAACCGGGACAGCACCTTTCATCCCATGCAACATCTCTCTCACTCACTCACTCACTCACTCACTCACTCACTCACTCACTCACTCACTCACTCACTCACTCACTCACTCACCCACCCACCCATTCTTCCATCGTAATGTGCTTACAATACCAGATTTTGTCAGTTAGCGATCGTCTACTCCTGCTACTAGAGTAATCACGCCATTAAGTGCTCATCTATCACTCTGTAGAGTGGCTCCTTTGTCTCCAATACAAAGGGCTCCGATGCAATCGCTTGATGCACCAAGTTACCGCATTTGTTGATAATGAAATAGGCAGTTGCTCGAGTGGGTGGCGCTGCACCGACAGATGGGAGTAGACACTTCCAGCACGATCATGTCAACCTCCGATTTTCACCACGAACGATTAGGGACGCCAAACCCACGGCTTTGTTGCTCTCAACGGTTGTCTGTCATTTACACAGTAAGAGCGCGTTTATAAAGGTGATGGAGCGGCATGTCAACTACTACTCGGATTACTGTATTTTCAACGAGAGGTGCAACTAACGGTGCTGCTCATAAAGCACAATTGAAAAACATTTTTAATTACACCTTTAACCTCCATTTTATTCTGGCAATGCTACTGCTGCTTTTTACCCAGCTCAGGACAGTGGAGTACTCATCACCACCGCTTTGTGCTCGGGTGACCAGCAGCAACGCCTCCACGGATCTTTTTCTCTCATAGAGCCGAGGAATCCCGCCAAGTCAAATTCGTGGCTCGATGAATTCGATTTACCATGCTGTGGCCTTGTTCACGGCAGCACTTGCAGTGTGTGTGATGGCTGCGATGTGATGTGGTGGGTGCTCATGGTGTCTAGGTGGGCAGCATGGGCAGCTGTACCATAATTCGTCATACTCAGCGTGACAGGGTACGTCCTGCCGTTCGTGTTTCTCACGTCAGAGTGCTCGGCATGTACTCAGCTTACAAATGAAGTGCAATTGGAGCACTACGTCCACATGCAGCGAAAGAGTGAGACACTTTAAGTGCAAGCGAGCGAGGCCTACCCAAGGATAACTCAGGCTGGTCACGACCTCCTCCTTTGGGGCCACATATTTGTGTTCATGTCGAGTGGATGCAGCAGGCTTGTAGACAAGCAAGAGCGCTTAGTTCATGTGTAAATACCGAGTCCCACAGCGGTGGAAGCTGCTGCATGTCCACGCTTGTGGCGAAACTACACAAGTACATCCCACATTAGACTACACAATGAAAGCAGTGACAGGCATGAGCTATTAAACAGCTATCCATTGTCGATTTTGCATCAATCTTCAGACGCTTTAACTAATGTTATCGTTGTCACGAATTAACACGATTGTAAACATCTTTGTCCTCGATAGCTGCATACAAACACGCACGCCGAAAGCGCAAAGGCGTCGGTGCATCTGGAATTTTGTGCTGAATAATAAAGTTTGAGAATAAATTATTCGACCAACGATCACAACGTCAGCAAAGACGCTGTGATGACGAGCACCGAAACCCACATGTCTAGATTTCCAACCCTGGCCATTGTACCCATCCAGCATTCCTACAACCGTGAGTCAATCACAAGGCGTCCAGTACGTATCGACGTCGTTTCTCTGTGGACTTAGAAGAGCGACCCGATAAACAATTTGTACGACTCAAGAGGGCGCTGCATAAAGACTAACGACGCAAACAGCACAAGTTACACGATGGATCCCCCGTCTCCGAATAGAAGCGGCTGATGTATCAGCTTAAGCTACTAACCCAACCTCCAAACCTCAGCGCACCGACAGCCACAGAGCAGTTCTAGAACTGACGGAACTGCTTGCGGACGTTAATGGGCTTGGTTTCCGAAGCGGGCTCCACCTCCAGCACATTGAAGCGTACCGTCTTCGCAAGCGGACGGCACTGACCAATGGTGACGATATCACCTTCCTTCACACGGAACGCAGGCGACAGGTGGGCAGCCACGTTCTTGTGACGCTTCTCAAAACGCTTGTACTTCTTTACAAAGTGCAGATAGTCACGACGCACAATGATCGTGCGCTTCATCTTCGTCGAAAGCACGACGCCCTTGAGAATACGACCACGGATCGAAATGTTGCCGGTGAACGGGCACTTCTTGTCGACATACTGGCCCTGGATAGCACTCTTGGGGGTCTTGAAACCCAGACCCACCTCTTTGTAGAAGCGGGGTCCCTTCTTCTTGCCTGCAAACTTCTTGCTGGCAAGAAACACGCCCTGCTGTTTCTGGTAAGCTTTCTCAGTCTGCATTTCATAATCACACAAGAGTCAGTAAGTGACCAGCAGCTGTACAGACAGGAAAAAGGAAAACAGGAGACGAAGGAGGGGTACAAGAACAAGAGCACTGCTCTGTCTTCGTTGACTGCTGCGGTGCAGCGTGCAGACAGCATTAGCGCGGACCTCTCCAAGAGAGAATCCAAAGGGTTCTGCCGATGATGAGTCGGTTGAAAAACGTTTTCAGTCGTTCGGAGTCTCGCAGTCTCAGCAGAAAAGAGAGAATCAGCGACAGAAGATCATGACTGTCTGCAGCTAGCGACAGTCTCACCACTCTCTCACACTCTCTTCCTGCTTTGACTCGACGATCGCTCAATACAAAGAGCGATTGCGTGTGGATTACAGCCTTGGTGGGCCATCACCCCAACCAACTAGCTAGCCAGTTCCTTCTGTCCGTTTCTCTCTGTGTCTTGTTGTACGGTACGTCACGACTCCAGAGAGACACCAGCCAGTCACTAGCTCCCACCTCCACAGCGAACAGATGCTTCTGTCTTCCCCTTTGTTTCCTCCACTTGCTATCTGACTTACCGCCCGGCAACTCAGTCTTCAGTCGTGACACCCCATAGTCTCCTCCTCCTTCTCTTCTTCTTCTTCTCTTCTTCTTCTTTGTATTTTGTTGTCTCAAACGCTCAATTGCAGGCCTCAAGAGGACAAAAGTACCTGGTCAACGTGCTCCATTGTTGTCGTCGAGGGGATTTCGGTAATGATTGGCGACGAGAGGAGCAGGCGAGGCGGTGGCAGGTGGGTGTTACTTCAGATTTGAAAAGTAAGAATGTGAAGTAGGAATGCATGAGAGATCGGAATTCAGTTCAATTCCGAGATCAATACCGTGCTCTATTCAGTATACGCCACACTTTGTTACAGCAAGTTACCACTTGGGTCGTTAGGCAAGAGGTATACGTATCTCCTGGAGGTTACTATACCGTCTTTTGGACAGTCAACCTGCGTCAACTAGCTAGACGACAGTAACAACTGCTGCAGGCAGAGAGACTCTCACGTGCTGGTATAATGCCACTCTTTTTGCACTGACGCTTTACTTCGTGAGTACGTATGGCACGCCCCTGATCTGATCCTCATCCTTCTCGACAAAACGTTCAGCGGCATGTCAAACATCGTCCCCGGTTCAAACGTTGCCATCAAGACACCGTCAAAGCAAACCCCACGTCGCTCACTCATCTTCATATCTGACACACATCACGGCTGCTGCTTTGTCGACTGCTGGTACCGTGCCACCTCTTCGTCATTGCGTCCAAAGCCTTGCAGACGCAGCGAGGAGTTCTGAAAGGCCAACGCGACGCCACCCAATGCACCTAGAATACCCGTGAACCACATTCCGGGGCGCGCGAGGCTACGATCCAGTTGACCAGCTACAGACAATGTCATTATCCATGAGTACCGTCCTTTTGACATTCTCCAGCTGTAAGAAGCGCCACAAATAGAAACAAATGACGAACAAACAACAACGCACCGACAATGTACCCAAGTGGGAAGGATGCAACGCCAACGACTGCGCTCTGGACGAAATCCGCCTGGTTCATGTTATCTCGTACTTGCTTGAACGTCGGGTCTGCGATGATCACTGGGAAGCGCGGCACATGCGGGTCACGCAGCTCGGGTCGCTTGCGGTCCATCCCTTGATTCGATTTGCTTACTCGTTGCTGTCCCGATCCAATTGACGTGTCACACATGAGCTTAAGTACGCGTTACGCCAAGGTTACGTCTGGCTGGACGTAGTAGGTACAGGTACGTTCGATTCCACGAGGACTAGGGGTCGCGGTCGAATCCACTAGGACTAGGGGTCGCTGCTAATTTTAGTTTTGTTTGCGCGAATCAGATCGACGCAGAGATCAACCCGAGGCCGTGTGTGGGTCATGGACGAAGCGTACGCGGTGAAGCAGACGGAGTTCCTGGGGAAGACGTTGCGTTACGTCTGTCAGAACGGGAACGGCCCGTGTCCGCTGCTGGCCATCGCCAACGTGCTGCTCTTGCGGGGCCAACTGACGCTCGAGGGGGCCGTCACGTCCTTTGGCTTTGTGGGCGCGAGAGATCTGATGCGACTCGTGCAGCAGCGACTGCTCGAGACGAACCCGCCCGTGCGTGGACTAGTTCCAGAGGGGGATAGAGATGGGGTTAGAGAGAGAGAGAGAGAGAGGTTGGACTGACGGAGGTGCTGTATGTGGTGAATGCAGTTGAAAGATGCGAGCGAGTTGCAGCGTCTGACGCAAGAGAAGACGCTGGAAGACGTGGTGGGACTGTTGCCTAATATGTTGAGAGGGCTGGACGTGAACGTGCGGTTTCATAAGTGAGTTGTGAGTTCGGGGAGAGAGAGAGAGAGAGATGCTGATGGATTGTTTTTGGGCTTGTTTTTTGTTGTTGTAGGATCACGGACTTTGAGTATACGGTAGCCTGTGCGGTGTTTGATATGCTGGACATGGAGCTGGTACATGGCTGGCTGCTGGATGACCAGGATGATCTGACAGTGCGTAGCTGCTGGATTTTTTGCTGGCTGTATATGTGGAAGCTGACTCGAGTATGCGTTGTAGATGAAAGTGGTGGGCAATAAGTCGTACAATGAGCTGATTGAGCGGTTGGTGGACTACCGTGGTTTACTTTTGACCGAAGAGGAGAACAAGAGAAAAGTTGCAGCTGAGGAGAAGAAGTACAAAGGCGATGCGTTACTGCCGGATGCTGCGGTGGTACACGCGGAAAAAGAGGGGGCAATGCCTGTGGTAGTTTCTGTTCCAGCACCACTAGATGTCCAGACGCTGGGATTGCGAGACCTTTCGCTTGATGCTGCCAACGACGCGTCTGCCGTGCCAAATGGACCGGAATCCGTTGATTTAGATGCGTCGACGTCGTCTCCACAGAAGAGTCCGTTGCAGCAAACTGTTCAGGCCATGATGAAGGAGCGCCACATGAGCGATGCTGATGCGCTGGTGACGGCCACGACGCTTCTCGAAGAAGGTCCAGTCCTCGATGCCTTTTTTAGCGCCACTGCTAGCCAGCTTACATACTACGGTCTCGTCAAGCTGCACGAAGGTCTTCGAGAACGTCAGCTTTGTGTTTTCTTTCGCAACAACCATTTCTCTACTCTTTTCAAGGTATGCATGAAGGCTTCGAGCAATGTTTCAGTCTCGTTCAATTCCTTTTCGTTCGTCGTACGCCATTTGACTGATCCGCATGTTGGCTATTTGACACGTAGTTTGGAGGTAAGCTGTATCTGCTGATCACCGATGCTGGATACCTTGACGAACCTACGGTAGTGTGGGAGCTACTGAACGAAATCGACGGTGACACTGAGTATCTTGATGCACAATTTCGACCCGTAACGTTATCCGAGCAGCAAACAAGTATTTTAACGCAGCAGCAGGAGCAAGAGCAAGCAGAAAAGCAGACGTTACAAGAAGCTAGGGTCTTGAGCCTTGCGAAATGTGTTTCTCCTCCCATCCATGCGAAGCAAGAAGTCAGTGCTGGTGACGATGCTCGAGCTACTGAACACGCGATGTCGAGTGGTGAATCAGTCAGCGAGTCTGTTGGACAAAACGTGGACAATGTCGCCGATCCAGATTACCTGTTAGCGCTGAAAATTCAGCAGGAGGAAGAGGAACTAGCGCGCGGCAGCGGGCACGTGTCGTCCCCACACTTGAGTAATGCCGCGGAACGAGATCCAGCTGGAAACAGCCATAACGAAGGGAGCGTGGAGCGACATGGCAGCGGTGGCCAAGATGATGATCACGGTCGTGACACAAATACAATTGGATTGGCCGATGATGTCGTTGCTGCCAACGGCCAACTGTTGCTTTCAGAGGAAGAGTTGGAGGCCCAGCGTCGGGCCGAGCAATACTATGAGGAACACAAACGGCAGGTTGATGCACAGACGCGTCAGTGTGAGCAGGAACAGGAACGACTGCGCCACTCACAGCAGCAGCAGCAGCAGCAGCGTCCCACCCGCAGTAGTCAACGGCGGAGGATCTCGGAAAGCAGTGACTGTACTGTATCGTAAGCTCATAAGCTTATGGCAAGGTGCTGCAGCGCGGAAGTGAACGTCGCAAACACTGCTGCCTGCACAGCCGCTGCACGACACGAATAAACTGGATCACAAATGCAAAGACGCCGCCTGACAATTAGATAAATAGCTATCGACAATCCGGTTGCTCGCACGAACGAGTAAGTCTTGACTCTGACCGAGTCAACTACCTGTTCGACCTCCAGGTATGTTCCCATCTCACTGTGCTACTCGTGATTTGCAGGTCCAAAGCTACACTCGATACTTTCACGCACATCCTTGACGGTGCTTGCACGACTAGAAGAAGAAGCTGACGACACTGCCGTTCGACTACCGGTCATCGCTCCACTGGATGGCAAAGGTCGCACATAGTCAAAGCCAACAAAGTCACGCTCAAAGCAGCTCGCAATCTCTTCCGGTGCGTAGATTGTGTGCGGCTGATCGGTAAATTGCACGTCGAAATTTGCAACCAGCTCTTTACCAGGAGGTCCCGGAACAAGTGGCGGCTCAAGCTGACGCTGGTAGACCAAGTCCCAATCGAGTCCAGCAAAGAACTCGTGAGCTTTGATGTCGCTGATTCCAGCATCATAGCCAAGCCGGTCTTCCTGACGCTTTTCCAGCAACGCCGTCACTAAACTCTTGAGCTCGGACGACATGTCAGTTGGGAAGCGTACTGGCTGGTACAAGATGCGTTGGCGTAGGCTTTTTCGACTCGACTGAGGCAGGAAGAAGGGTGGATACCCAGTGTACAGCTCAAAGAGGATGCAGCCAAACTGCCACAAATCAACCGACAGACCATGACCACCTGGGTGCCTCCCTGCCATCTCAGGAGGCAAGTACATGTCCGTTCCACACGCCGTCTTGGTACGTTCGGCTCGCGATGCCAACCGTTTGGCTAGACCCATATCAGCCAGCTTGATGTGACCCTCGCTATCCAGCAGGACGTTCTCAGGTTTAATATCACGATGCAAAATACACATCTTGTGCATGTGCTCAAGCGCCAGCAATAGCTCAGCAGCGTAAAAACGTACGGCATCTTCTTGAAAAGTACCACCGTTCTTTTGCATGTGCAAAAAGAGATCACCGCCTTGCATGAACTTAGAAATGAGAAACACCGAGCGACCCCGTGCAAGGGCGTACTCCAATCCCATGACGAACGGATGGTCGCCGGCCCATTCCATGACAGCTCGCTCGGCAAACACGACTTTCGTCCTCACTTGGCCAAGCTTCATTTCTTTGATGGCGTACAGCTGCCGATCCACCACGTGGTGAGCCAGGACCACACGTCCATAGTGACCACGACCAAGTAACTTGTGCGTTGTAAATTCATTCAGCGATGGCATACGTTGTTGTACTGCATCCATTTGTGCTACAAACTTAGCACGGTCTTTTTCCGTATCAGCAGCAAAATAGATGGTGCTTCTGCTCGACATGAGCGTGAGACCGATGGTGTATCCAGCAGAGTTGTCGTCGATGAGCTCCATTGCGCAGTGTTGCAAGTTCAGATACCGTGGCGTGTTTTGCTGCCAGAATGCTGACATTCCGGTGCGTTTGGTTTGGCCCGCTCGACGGTAGATCAGAAACGTCGACTTGATCACGAGGCAGTATTTGTGCGAGCTCCAGACCGGTAGAAATTGTCTTTGCTTGCGGAGCTGGTTGCTGAACGTCGGGGGTAGCGAGTCAAGGAACCGTTTGGACTCGTCGCTCAAGGTCGAGGTCTTACGCTGGAAAAGCACAACCATGAGTTATGTGGCTCTGGTCGTTCGAGTTCAAGGGATATCTGGCAAGAAATTACAAAATGAAGCCTGGAGTTGTTGTTGGCTCTGGAGAGTGGCGTTGGAAAGAAGCGAGTGAGCCACTCGACCGATGGATGTACCGATCAATGAGTCAAGAAGCGTTCTCAGGTGAGTGGTTCGTGACAGAGCTGGACACAATCTGTTTGGAGTGCTGCTAGGCTGAGAACGACGTGGGACGAGGAAGACCAGTGATGCAACGATGGTCCAGTACGCGACAAAACGACAACTTCAACGTCATACGTGTAACACGCCACCAATCATTGCGCGCAAAAAGAGACGAGGTCCCGACGCGTGACGGAGGTGACGTTAACGTTTGACAAGTGAGTGCTGTGGCGATCGAGACCATCCAGTGGACATGATGATGTCAATCGATTCTCTGTTTTTTAGATTGACGACTGGGTGCGCCAGCGGTACACCATCTCGTTGGTTCTCCTCTACTCGTCCTCCTTCTTCTCTTCGTCGTTACCATCCTTCTTCTTCTCGTCTTTCTTCGCCAGCTGCGCCATAGCAGCCTGAATCTTTGGATCATTTGGGTCCACGCCAGGCAATCCTGACAGCAATGAATTGACAAATTTAGGGTCCATAAACGGCAAGTTGGACGCTGGTGCTGGTGCAGGAGTGGGCATCGAGGAGGCGGCAGCCGCGGGCGCCGCTGCCGATGCAACGGCTGCCTCCATGGCTGGTACAGTTTGCTCGGAAGCGGAGACTGCAGCAGGTGTAGCAGATGCAGATACAGCAGTAGCCTCGGCTTCAGCTGCGCGCTTCTGGGCAGCCTCTTGACGGGCACGCTCTTCCTCCATCGATACACGAAGGGCCTGCAAAGTACACAACATCAGGTCCCATCATCTTACAGTCCTCCAAGACAGCATCGCTACCCACCAAAGCCAGCTCGGGGTCCATGCTCGGGTCCACGCCGCCGTACTCAGTGTAAGTGCCATCGCCGCCACCGCCACCGCTAGCAGCTGCGGCAGCAGCACCATCGTCTCCGTGTAGTACAGGTGACGATACTAGTACATCCGAGGGCAGTACTCCTGCTGGTACTGTCACGAGGTGACTGTTGTTGTTACTACTGGCTGCGTCTACAAATGCCTGCAATTTAGCAGCATTGGCATCCAATTCGCCCATGCTGACCACATCAACAGCAATCTACACCAATCAATCAACCAGCAGCAGCAGCAGTAGCAACACCATCGGATCATGAGGTTTTGATTAAGACGTGCTTCGATTCGGTAAGACGCACGTTGTTCTTTTTCAGTAGCTTGCCAATCTTGGTCAGCTGTTTCTCATCTTCTTCAATGGGTGAGCCAATAAATACCACTACGCGTTGACCACCTGTCAAAAATCGAAAACAGCACGACACTCAGCTGTCTTGTTCCTGTCGAAAAGAATTGTCATTGATGCATTTTTGACACGTCAGCAAAGATCGACCTGTCTTGTTGCGTCGGTGCTTGAGAGCCAGTTGGGCCACCTGAATGGCATTCGCGAGCTTCATCGTGCCGCCAATTTCGACACGATGAATCGCACTTAGTAGCGTGCCCATGCTGTCAGTCGGCGATGCCAGGACTTGGATGCTGCAAAAAGTATCAAAAACGAGTTGGCCAAGTGCTATTTTTGACACAAAGGTTGCAGCCTCCTGTACCTCTTCCCAGCCATCGCCAGCACGCCCACTGTACTCTCTGGATTTGACTGCGTCTTGGTGCCACACAGCAGATTCGCTGCGTCATGCTGAGCCTCTAATCGCGAGGGAATGTAGTCGCCATTCCGCATCCACTCGGAATTGTCCAAACTGCGGTCAAAAATAGCACCAAAGCGTCAATAATGGACATCTAGAGACAATTCTTGCACGCATAGAACGACCAAAGACCGTAGCGTATGGTCAAGGTGCAAAATGGGCATGAAAAGCGATGGTAGACGCACCAGATCATAGTCGATTCGAGCGGCATTTTGACCTTCTCGGGGGATTCCTCTGAAGTGAGAAAGATTGGTCGCGTCACTCGCGAGAATGACACAAATAGTGACACTACTGCCTGCTCGACCATTTACGACAGCAGCTATTACTACTTTATCAAAAGTAACGCATGTGGACGTGTGTAACACACACAATCAAAACACCCGGTGGCCGGCCATCTGATACCGCTCGAGCATCTGATCCGCAATGACGACGAGCAAGCCCGAGAGTTCAAGTCGCCATTGGCGCGTCTTGCGCACCGCGTTGCTGCAGTCCACGAGTCCCACTGTTGCTGCCACGTCTACTGAATCGACTGCCTCTGAGTTCTTTCCTCGGTACCCGAAAGTTCCGGTCGACAGCATTCAGGGCCAGCCAAGTTGGGTCTGGATGACGTACGAATTGGGAGCCTCGTTAAGTAACGCTAACAAGTCCCCCTTAAAAAAGCGCGTGTATGTTCATGAGAAGCGCAGAGACGTGACCCGAGTACCTGTGACGGAGCTACTGAGTCATCGAGTGTACCAGGGCGTGGACAACACGGGCAACATCCGGACGTGGCCGTCTGAAGAGATTCTACTGGCTTACTTGCTGTCAAGTGGCGTCTGTTCCCAAGTCCAGCAGCAACGAGATGCCGCTGACAAGTTACTGCCTATTGCCTGCTGTGAATTGGGCAGTGGAATGGTCGGTCTGGCCAGTCTCGGGCTGCTCGCGTGTGCCCCTGTGGCGCTCCAGCGCGTGCTGGTGACAGATGGCAATCCACTTTGTGTCCAGAACTTGCACGTGTGCATGGAAGAGAACAAGAGGCAGCACGTGTTTGCTGGAGTGGCTTCCAGCGTCGACCTGTCGACCGAGTTGCTGCGGTGGGAGCGCACGGCAAAGCTCCGTCACGACTTGCAGCACGCGTTCGATCTCGTGTTTGCGAGCGATGGTCTCTTCTTCGAAGCGTTCCACGAAGACCTCGCGTACACGATCAAGACCATGCTGCGGCCCAAGTCAGGACGCTGTTTGCTCTTGCAACCGAGTCGCAATGGCTCCATGGAGCGCTTCTGTTGCATTGCCAAGCGCCACGGCTTTGTCATTGAAGAATCCAGAGACTACGATCCTTTGATCGTGCATAGACACGCAGCATTGCAGCAAACTCGAGACGATTACGTGCCTGACGTGCACTTCCCCGTCCTCTTGACCCTCACCATATCCTAGTGCTGAAGTTTGTATGAATGGACGCGGACGGACGGACGGACGTAAAGTAAGTCAGTAGTCCTCCTCTTGTCCTGTTTGTGTTGGCTGATGTAGCCATGTCCCGTTTAAGTACGATCTACAACCTCATTCGAAGAGCTCTTTTCAGAGAGCGATAAAGAGCGAGCGGATCATGGCGCGCTCTTCGTCCGCTTGCGTGCGTTCTCTCGGCCTCCACACGCGTCTCAGTCTTTCTCTATCGATCGAAGTTGCTTCGTAGCTAACTCGTATACGTATACTGACTGTTGATGCAGAGCGACATGGGTAACGTGCGCGTATACTGCCGCGTGCGTCCGCAGAATGCCAAGGAGCTCACGATGACAGCAGCTCAGCGCTGTGTCTTTACAGATACCGTGGAGATCAAAGTCAAGGTTGAAAGAGGCAATTGCTTGCTATTCCTGAGGGGCGCTGGGTGCTCTAGAGCTCATGGTGGGGATGATGACGATGATCTATGATGCTTTTTTTTTCGTTACAGACGAATGATGGCAATCCACAGCAATTCACATTTGACCATGTGTTTGGAGAAGAGGACAACCAGAAGACAGTGTTCGAGAACGTGGCTCGTCCAGTCGTCCAAGGTATAATGGATGCACTGGAGCTACGTGAAGGGTCATGTAGTTACAGACTGATTCGGTGCTGTTGTTGCTGGTAGATATTATGGATGGATATAATGCTACTATTTTTGCATACGGTCAAACATCGTCAGGTAAGACATATACGATGGAAGGAGCTAGTATTGATCATCCAGAACTACAGGGTATTATCCCACGTACTGCAACAGCGATCTTCAATAACGTCATGAATGCAGACGAGAATATAGAATTTATCGTGAAAGTGAGCTACATTGAGATCTATATGGAGCGCATTCGCGACCTGCTTGACCCGTACAAGTCCAAGGTGAATCTTCAAGTTCGTGAGGACGCACAGCGTGGCATTTTTGTCGAAGGGATGACAGAAATGTGTGTAACTAGTGACGACGAGCTGCTGGCTGCTATGCGAGCAGGTGCTGCTAACCGTGCTGTGGCTGCAACGGGAATGAATGAAGGAAGTTCGCGCAGTCATAGTGTCTTTATGGTGACGCTGTTCCAGCGCAATTTGGAAAATCAGGCCACGAAGGCCGGTAAATTGTATCTAGTGGATCTTGCCGGCTCTGAAATGGTGCGCAAGACTGGGGCAACAGGTCGTCAGCTTGAAGAAGCTAAGACGATCAACAAGTCACTCTCGGCGTTGGGGATGGTCATTAATGCTCTTACAGACTCGCATATAACCCACGTTCCATATCGTGACAGTAAGCTTACTCGAGTACTGCAGGAATCGATCGGTGGCAACTCACGCACAGCTTTGATCATCAATGTTTCACCAAGCAGCTTCAATGCGTCGGAAACAATCTCTACGCTGCGATTTGGCATGCGTGCCAAATCGATAAAGAACAAGGCAGTAGTCAACGTACAGCGCAGCGTGGCTGAGTACGAGTCACTACTTGCTGCGGCCGAGAAGAAAATCGCGAAGCAGAAGACGTATATTATCGCGCTTGAAGCCCGCCTGGCAGGGAAGGAAGCTTCAGACGGAGACGAACATGCGGCAGCTGCTGTTAGTGCCACAACCTCGAGTGATGTTGTGGAAATGAAGCCTGACAATGATATCAATGCACCCGATGTAGAGCTGGACGTGTCCGATACTGCAACTTTAGAATCATCGCTCTTGCCTACAGCTCGAGCTGGGCGTGCGCTGGAAGAGTTACAGGAGAAGGTGACCCAGCTTGAAGAAGAGCTAGCTGAGGAGAAACAGGAATCGATGCGACGCGGTGAGGAGATCCGACTACTTACGGCTAAGCTTGGGGAGCATGCTCAAGCGCTTGAGACGCAGCGCGTGCTGTCGGAGGAGCTACAGCGCGTAAAGGAACTGCAGGAGTCGATGCTAGAAGAGAAGATTCGACAACGCGAGACTTTGTACACGGAACTGCGCACAGACTTTGACAGGCTTAACTTTGATCACAAAGAACTTTTGATTCACTCGGAGACAATACAGAGCGAGCACGACGCGTTATTACAAGAAATGCCAGCTCGAATAGCAGCTGGCGGTGGCAAGCTAGCAGCGGCTGCAGAAAAAATTGCTCAAGCAGACCAGCAGTTTACCAAGGAGAAGGCTCAAGATTGTGCAAGTGAAGACGCTGCAGAGGGTCAAGAACAGAAATCAGGAGATGAAGCATCAAAGGAGAATCGAGACGGCATGGAGAAGGAGTCGTACCAGAATTTGAAGGTCAAGTACATGACTCTCGAAGCCGAGCTTAGAGAGTACGAAAAGGAGTATCTTGCGCTGAAACAAGCAACAGATCACGAAAAGGCACGTTTGCAAGAGGACATAGATCGTCAAATATTACGAATCCGGAACCTCGAAGCGCAGACTGATCGTGCTGGTGCATCGACCGGAGAAGGCGGTTCGACTCCTACTTCTCCAACCGGTAGCACAGCCAGCTCAAGTGTTACGTCGGCGCGTGAACGACAGCATATGCGCTCAATCCAGCAGAAGCTTGAACAACTCGTCGCTGTTCACCGGCAATTGTTGCGAAAATACGCGTCACTTGAATTGGAGCTGTCGGAAGCGAAAAAGAAGCTAGCGCTGCGTGATGAACGCATTAAACAAGTGGAAGTCAACAACCGTATCATGGCTGGAAACATGCGAGCACAAGCAGAGAAGCACGTGGAAGAGCTTACACACTTTCGTGACCAGATAGCAGATTTTCGTGGTGCTCAGCGTTCGCACTTTGAAGCGCAATTGAATCACACGAATGCTGCTCTTGTGGCTACTATGGGAAATACTGATACTGGTGTGATTAAAACACTTCGTGGTGGGTCCATTTACAGTGGCGACGGTGTCATTCGGCCGATTCGTGGAGGACGTCGACGTATACCACAGCAGAGCGAGGCAGCAGCGGGTACTACAATGGGCGCTTTCAAAACTACTGCAGGAACGGTCGACGATGGCGCACCATCTCCAGGGTTTTTAACTCGTCTATTCGGCAAGACGTAGTGTTGACAGCATGGTCACATGGTGTTTAGTACCAGTCCGAAGTAGGTCATGGTGCTAGAAAAATGGCGCTAAGGAGGATGTATCGCTGGCATTTGAGCTAGTGAGGCTGACCCGTGCATTAGTACCCTGCATGCCTTGAATAAATCAATCGGTTTTGACAGGTGAGCCTATCCAGCAGCTGTCCACTCATTGCAAATCCGTGGCTACGAACGGCTGCACGCGCTCAAGTGGGTACACAGTACACGATGGCGGCTGTATATGACGAAGTCGAGATCGAGGACATGGAGTTTGACGAAGAGGAGCAAGCGTATTACTACCCGTGTCCATGTGGTGACCGCTTCAGTATCGATCTCGAGGATCTATACATTGGCGAAGATATCGCATCGTGCCCCAGTTGCTCGCTTACAATTCGAGTCATCTTTGACGACAAGAACTTACCTGACCTCAAAGACATTGAGGACGACGTTGATGTAATATGAGACTATTGGGTATACGAGTTATCGTATCAAGTAAACACCGAGCTGCTGGTTTAGTCGCCGCTTTCGACTGCCTCTGCTGTTCCCTGCTTCTACAACCAAGAAAGCAGAGGCATGAGAGAGTGACGCCGTGACACGTCAAAAGGAGCTTACATTTGTTAGTCGGACTGGGACGAGGATACCAGAGCATAGCGACCGGATTAACGTCGAATGTCGACAGCATTGCAACTACATTGTCACCAGCATCAGGCCTCGAACAATACACTGCGGTTTGGTTCTAAAGCGTCGTCATGTTTGACGCGGTACCTTGAGAAATTCAATATACGATCGACTTCGCATTACGTTGATGTTGTCGACTTTTAAGCCGTTTGGGAGGACATTGAAGTCTTTGTAATGAATTGATCATCAAGAGCTGGTATCATCTGCGCAGATCAACATCTTCTGAAATGGGACGATAGAGCAAAAGATTGCTGTTGATGATAGAAGCCAGTGTCTAGCTGCGTCCGTTGATCATGGCTTGATAAAGTTTGAGGTGTTCGCGAAGTCACAACGAGTTACATCTCAAACTTCATCTCGACTATGTAGGGTCGAAGCTACTGCGAGTCGATAACTAACCGACGCTTACACAGTTTGGCGTGTGGGCTTCAGCCATGGCCAAAAGCTGTCGAGGTGCTGATTCTGCAAATGTTGTTGTATACAAAAGAGAATGTCGGAAGAACTATGAGGACTCCTCATGTCATCATTGAGCTTGGACGAGGCGTGTATGGAGGCGGCTTCCAGCTGGAATACGGATCTCGAGGCCGACGAGAGGCGTTGCTCGTGTGTTAGGCGCACATGTCCTCATTTGTCTTCACGACAACGGGAGTAAGTTTGTCCATGAGCCTCATACGCTTTACCAAAGAAGAGGACGCATAACACATGTATGTGAATGGGTGCAGAGCGATTGGATGCATTGCCTGGTTTGGATGCTAACCAGAGCACTGCGGAGTATTACTGATCCAGTCGCATGCTTGTAGCGGCATCGTACTGGATGGCACTCGCTTGGGTATGAGAAGTAAGTCATACATACGTTTGTGCCGGACGCCTATAATGTGCAAGTCGTATTAAGCACATGCATAAGGACTTGTCCATTTCACTCGCTTAACCCCGGTAATGTGTGGTACTGGGATATCGCTCATCGCATCGCTTATCGTACCAAGGGAGGATGGACGTAGATACTGTCTACCCATGAGCCCAGAAAAAATGTCCTCAAAGCATTTTACCTAACGCAGCATAAAGGAGCAGCATACACCACTGCTGTGCTTTCCGAGGAAACGTGGTGTCGACTTTTGGACTGCTTACGTTCGATACGTCGCAAGCCAGCGACTACCATGGAACAACTGCATGTGGTGCAAGCTTATTGCCCGGAGTCGGGTGCCTTTCCTCGTCGCACCAAGGGCAGGATCATCACACTGATTTCGCCCACGTATGGCAGTATTGCATTTCTAGTATGTCATGCCCTTCGCCGCACGAACATTTCAAATTCTTGGTTCTTCCATTCGGACAACAACATTCGCTGCACTTAGCAGCTCGCGCAAATCGATAAGCGCCTGGTTATTCGACTGATGCATATTTATTTGTGAGCCCCATTCCTGCCGTTGGAAAAAGTCAACTGGCCTCCTCGCTACTCTGTCAATTTCTTGATTCAGTGGTGCTTCACCCCACGTCATGAGGTTCTCAATAAGATAAGGGAGCAGTAAACTCTGGAGATCGTCCGTTAAAGTAAGTAATCCAGTTCGGAGAACTGAATCAAGTTGCAAAACCCTTCAGTATTCTGCTAGTGCAATTAATTGGCTGTACGCATACTACGACGTAACCTTAGTGCCGACACCAAACACCTTGATCATGTGGTAAGTGATTCGTGCCATTACACTCCACTTCCTGTGACATGTGTAACACTTAACAACCGACATCAATGATATGGTAAACTAACTACCTTAAGTGACAAAATTGAGGGTTATTACGAAGATAAGCACACTGTGTCTTTTTTTCTGCTGCGTACCACTGCAATTGCGCTTCAACGTGACTTATTCTTGTCTGCGAAAACGACTAAACTTACGTTGCTCGTCACAAAAAAGCGCCTTCAGTTGCTGCAACAACATCCGCATCAATTCCACTCCACGATGTCAGCACCGACGCCTTCCGGAGCGAGCGGGGCTGCCGTGGCTAACAAGAACTCGCCCCACCTCCACTCCGTCGCCAGCAGTCTCCGGTCGTGCCTTGATGGGATGTTGCCGGACAACTTGCGCAACGATGGCTTGTCTTTCCAGCAACATTGTACGTGTTATCGGACAATTACCTTAATTCAGTACCCATTCAGAAAACCTGACTCGCATAACCGTACCCCTTGTTGTAGTACTCCAGCAAAAAAGCCGATTGCAGACGGAAAAGAACTCGTGGCGGTTCGGACTCAACTATTTATTTGAGACGCTCAAGCAACATAAGGACTGGTACGCGCGCAACCAGCAGTTTGTCCAGCTGCGCAAAGATGTGCGACGCTTCGAGACCCACGTGGCGACTGTGCGGACTATTCTGGCTGAGAGTGTCAGTAAACTGGACCTGGAAGCGGGACTGCGAGGGGCCGAGCTGGAGGGACGCGTTGGAGCTTACAAGATCATGTTTGAGGTCACTAAGATCGTGTCAAACCTCAGTCGTCCACTGGTTAAGCTGCAGATCCTCAAACCCAACGAGTCGTCATTGTCTATCTACTGTGACACCTTTGTACTGGATATTGTGCTGTCTGGTGGAGAGGTACGGCAGAATGGACAAGTGGAGAGACTGCTACTAAAAGCAGGGATATGATGTGCTCATTGTGTTGTTGTGTTCCTTGCTTTGTGTATTGGCAGGGTGCCGTCGAAACGGCGTCGCTGACAACTGTCGAGAAAGGTGAGTTTTTATTACCACGTACATTTTGTGTCGCTGAATCTGATCATCATGTTTTGGTTGTTGGTAAAACATATATAGACCAATCCAGCCAGTTTCCGGATAGGGATGAAGACCTGCTGGCGTCGCTGAAGCTACTGGCTCATGGCGATAGTGCAAGCTTCACGGTTCGATTGAATCCGAGCACTTTCGTTCGGTTCCTTGTAGAAATGCTCACTTTGACGATGTGTGCTGCATAGGAAAAGCTGAACCGGTTGATCAATCGCGCTGAACTAGCGGTGAAGTTTCCATCGAGTGAGTGTGTCGTGTCATTTTTCGGGCCTGCTGTAGCTCAAAGCTAGAGATCGCGTATTCTTTATTCACGGATGATGTGTCCGCAGTGAGTTTCGAGCAGCTCGAGCTTGAACTTTTTACTAAGGCCACTGAGGCGTGCAACCACCAGGTAATGTAGACAAGGCTTGTGGGCTGGTTGGTTTGTTGTTGACTACTAAAAGGTATGCGTATTATTGTAGCAATATTGGACAGTCAAGCGCGCAGTGGAGGGCGTGCGACTTTTGTTCAAAGACCCGTTCGCATGCCTTCCTGTGGTTGAACCTCCACGCAAACGCATAAAGACTGACGACGATACTCGGACGGGTGTTGCATCTAGTGCTGCAAATGCGGCAGCCGTTGACAGAAATGACAGACCTGATGGTGATGTCGACGAGCCCAGCATATCCACGCACACAGATGTTCTCTCTCCGCTAGCGAACGGCGAATGGTCCGGAAGCATTAGTTTTTTGAATGGCGTGGTGATGTGGCGCTGCATGTTGTTGCAGATATTCCACTCGTCATGGCTGGCCAACAGGCTCGGAAACTGGCGCTCGTGATAATGCGCAAACATGTTGATGTGGCTGCGACAGCACCGAAAGACGTGCATGAAGACGAACGGCTTTTTAACGAGTTCGTAAGCTGGACGACTCCTGACGGCAAGAAGCCAGTTTCCCCTCGGCTGCATTTTGCGCGAGACCACAGCATGTGTTCAGTGTTTCCCTCACGGTCCTCGTTAGCGATGCGTCAAGAATACACCCTGACGACAAAAGAGATATCCGGTGGTCTCAATCTGCATTCATTCCCGATCCCGGTACGACATTCGTGATGGCGACACTCGTCATGTTTACGACTGATATTAATTGTATTGTAATCAGTTGGTGAACGCCTCAATGGATACGCTGGCCAACGTGTTTCAGATATGTGGACGAAGCTTATTGTTCCACGCACTCTTGCTATCTGCTTTCGGCTCCAGATGTAACGTATTCGGCCAACGCATCTCGGCAGAAAACGACGATGCGGTGAACGGTACGGCTGGTTTTGTTTGCAATAACAACGCTTTATTTGTGAATGACAACAAGTGTCGATGAAAATATGCTCGGGGGAATGATTGTAGCTCATATCAAAGTGGACGTTGCAGCAGCAGAGCGTATTACAATGAACACTGGAGATCTTTTGGGTGCGGGCAGGCAAGTGCTAATCGAGCTGAACACGCAACCAGATTGCTCGTTGGAACTCAGCGTGAAGTACCAGACGGAGATAACGCCTGCGCTTCCTCTAGAAAACGCTGCTACCCTGCAAAAGTTGGTGGATGTATGCCATTCGATCCCCTTGCTCACATATTACGCATTGAAGCGTACGGTCCAAGCTAAAAGTGGCCTGTCTTCTGCTGATGCCGCGGGCGCTAATGAGGACGACTGCGACGGTATTGCAGCGCTGGATGGTGACTTATCAGTCTCTATGAAGATGGAGGGAGAGGGTATGCTGCTGGATGAGATGGATATGTTTTAGAAGCACTGGTCTCCGTGCATGTCGCCACCGCGTAACCGGAAGTCTCGTCAACAACGTTGGACTAAGGAATCGGAACAGCATCTACAATGATCCCACAAACATGTGCACAACTGTGAAGCTACCGGGTAGTGTCAAGCAGAATATATCCCTAACGAGTCCCATGCACTATAATATGGGACGTGAATACGATCCAGGCTTGTTGATCGCAAAGGTGACCGTGACAAACCCTGGTCAATTTTGATCGACTCCGAAACATCCGGCAATTCTATCAAACGCTGTTCCCTTGAAGAGAATCCACATTATTCTGAGGCGCTAGAAGCGCACAAGAGTGACACGATCACTGTTTGCTCAGCGAGAGGAACTCAAGTCACTGCACTTACAGTTACTGTGAACTTGAATGTGAAGTTTTTCGATTTTGATAGTATCGAAAATGCTGTTTAGTCCTTGATCTGGATTCGAGATGTGATCTCAATTTTTGGCATGGCTTGCATTGAGAGCCATGAGCCATGCATCGACTGAAGGTCGAAACCATTAAGAGCCACGCGCACTTCCCCTAGCGGGTCTTTAGAGAATTATTAAAATCCTTCTACTAGGAATCAGGAGCGCTATTGGAGCGAGTCACTAGCAGACAATGTCAAAGACACGCACATAGAGCAGATTTCGATTTGTGATAAAGAAGCAGCACGTTGTCATTTAAGTGATAGTCGTTGCAAGATCAACGTACTAAATACTGAAAGCATTGTTGACCAAGCGTCAAGTCATCGAGGGTTGAACGTATCAGATGAGAGTGGAGTGGCACGTAAGAACCCACTGAGTGACGTTGGATGTGGTAGCGACGCGCTGAATGTCAAAATTGACACTATTGGTGAAACACCAAGGCATCCCGATCTCAGCTCAGAGGATGCACGTGAAGCGACACGTAATCCACGTGATGACACGTCGTGTCATTCGACTCGTCATTGGATGTAGACGGTGAAGACAGTTCTAGTTTAGAGCAGATTACTTTCGATGATGGCATCGATCAGAGAGGTACGGATCATTTGGCGTATCCTGTGTCACAAAGTGATGATGCTTATCAGCTGTTTACTATCATCAACGGAGTTACTGGTGCATGTGATGGTACAATTATCCTTGAGGCTATACCCTCGATAAGTTCACTTTTCGAACTCGAAGAGGTGTTGATCGATAAGTGTAATCACTCACTAAAGAATGAAGACCTTCCAGAAGTGGTGGTCATTCGACCCGACGTCCTAGGATTGATCTTTTTATTACTTTTGGGTGATGCCGTTCTGGAGGACACTAAAGAAGCACTCAGTGCGAGTAGTGGTTCATTAATATTGAGATACACCCATGATCCCTTTTGCCCCTTAGTCAAGGAATATCAAGATGTGGTGTGCCACGAACCAATCTCGGTTCTACCTCGAGATGAGTGTCCGTCACGAAACCGACTTAGTTGCTGGGACTAAATACTGCCACGAAACTGTGGCTCTTGCCAAAGGAGCAACGCAATGCCATTGGTGACTTCTTCCGTGTTAAGCACAACGCAGGAATAGTTTGTGAGATTAAATATCCACATTCGACACCGAAATGTTGTGTCAAAAAGTCGAACGGCAAGTGGCGTATTGTGCATGCTTACAATAAGCTTATTGCGGCTACATTTCCAAAAAAAATCACCCACATCTTGAAAAGATATTCTTCAAAACAACATGGTTGGTTGCACTCTGTATAGCGCACTTACTAGGTCGAAGGATACTGTCAATTACTCATGCAAGCGAGTATTATTCTGCTTGCAGAAGTTAGTACCCTGAGTGGTGTGCTGTTAGAATGGCCGGTGATACACCAAGGGCTGTTTAATGCTCCGGCAACCTTTAATCGTCTAGTGGCGCATTTTCCGCCCACACCGTAATTACGCACGGACTTACTTCAATTACAATTTGCCCGTAGTCGTGCCGAAGAAGGTCTATCGGATGTTGAGAATCACATCGACCACTAGAGAGAGGTGCTCGAGTGCATGCGCACTAATAATTGTACGCGAACGCGTCCAAATGCGTTTTCGGTGCAAAGGAGATTCTTTTTCGAGGATGTTACATCGGTAAGCGCGGCCTTAGAGCGGATCCCGCTCAGCTCAAGGCTAAAGTGGACTGTCCGATTCCTAAGGATCAAAAAGACTAACGAAAGTGGCTTGGCCATGCCAATTACTTACACAAATACAGTGAAATTTACGCTGAGATGGCTCGATTATTAATTGATCTCCTTGTGAAGGAGATAGATTGGCGCTAAGAAAACAACCATGCTTCCACATTTCGAGCAATGAAGGAGAGTGTCCTCCATGCCCCTATCCTGGTGTTGCCAAATCCTGAGTGCACTTTCAGTGTTGTCTGCGATGAATTCGATTTTGCTTTAGGCAGCGCCCTGTTATATACAGATGCTTCACGTCGTGAGCGAGTTATCGCATTTGAATCTTGTCAGCTGAAATCTGCTGAAAAGAACTATCCAGTTCACAACAGAGAGCTACTTGCTATAAAGTATGCGCTCATCAAACTTAGAGTCCATCTGCTGGGCTCCATGCTATACGTATTCTATACGGATCATGCGTCACTACGCACAGCGACATAGTCGCCTCATCTCTCTCATAGAATTGCCCGGTGAATTTTCTTCCTTGCAGAATGTAACTTCGAGGTGAAGTGTAAGCCAGACAAACAAAATTTGTTGGCAGACGATCTCTCTCGCCGACATAATTATGAGCTCGTTCGTGTCAATACTTGGTCGTTTCCTATCGATAGCTCATTCGTGTGGACTATCCAAGGGATCCTTAATGTGTGGCATTTTTTCATGCCCTTGGGGGTGATAAATACAAGGACTTGGACAGTCAAATATTGGCACGCTTGCGGGCCAGCCTGCATCAATATTCCATCGATTATGGCCTCTTGTGCTATCGCACAGATGTAGCGGATAACACTCGCACTTTTCGTGCCCCACAATGAGATCTAAAGTATCAAATCGTATTTGAGGCCCACAATATTGCCCTCAGTGGGCATTTGGGATAGGAAAAGAATTGTGACTCTATGAGTGAGCCTAACGGTGGCCCAAACTCCACAAATGGGCGGGTACATACGTTCGTACATACAAAACGTGCGAGAGAGTAAATCTAGGCACACCTGGCTGTGCCACTCGTCAGGTTACTTGTGCTCCAGAGTTCTGGGAGCTCATCAGTATAGATCTTTGTTTGATATTCTCAAAGACTGTAACGGTGTATGGGAATTGCGGTCGTTGTTGGCCGTTTAAGCAAGATGAGTCACTTGGCGGCGGCGCCAAATACCATCGACGGAAAAGGTGCTGCTTATCGGTAGTGTGTTTTTCCAACACGAGTTTCCGCTAGCAATCATCTCTGATCGCTACCCTCGCTTCACAGACAAGTTTTGGGCCTCATCTTCGAGGTGCTTGGCACGCGATTAAACACATCCACAGTAGATCATCCGAAGACCGACGGTCAGACTGAGTGAGTTAATCGCGTCATTGGCGGTGTTCTTCGCAGTGTTTGTGCTGAGTCGCATAAGACTTGGATCTCGATGCTCCCCGTCAATGAGTTTGCGTTGCGCAACGCTGTTCAAGACTTGACCGGGTTTACCCCCTTCTATATAAATAGCCTCACGGACCGCGCGTTCCTCTCACGTTACAACTACGTGTGATGGGCTTGGTGGGGGAATTCTACTGAAAAGCTTGCTGAAATAAGCCCTACCATGATATAGACACAAGTGAACGAATTTCTCGAGACGCGCTTTAGTGTCGTACGACATGTGCGTGATGCAATGTCTGATAGCCAAGACAAACAGGAAGAACAAGCTGCTGCTAAAGACAGAGGATGAATTAAGTCTTGTGAAGTTGGAAACAACTTTACAAGACAAATGCATCCTCTGCCAAGTCTTATTATATGTTAAAAGTCTACCTACAAATGCAGTGTTTTGTGTCGTCAAGACGAAATTGCGTCCGCGTTTCAACGGGCCGTTTACGCTCATAGCGGAGAAAAGCCTTGCCTATACACTTAATTTACCGCGCACATTGCGCACGCACTCGGTATTTTACGTTGGCCTGATTAAATCATATCATGATCCTTCTCCCGTGGATCGGAAGGCACTTGCGCCTGAGGGCGGGACGCCGTCCCCACTAGTTGCATATTCGCCAAGAGCTCCACCTAGGAATACAGCCGTGGAAAGTTGTGCTCCACCTTCCGCAGTAGCTTGTCGACTCTCTCTCAGTCACAGACTGATCCAGTGCCGTCGGCACGTGACACAAAAGACTATCGGATTCACTTCACCTTACTTACACCGAGTCTTCATGAGCCTGGGCCGACACATTGACACCCTCCTGCGCTGATCGATAGTCAAGGTAACTTACAATTCCATGTGTAGAGATACTTCTATAGAGGTGTCGTCACAAATGTCAATACCAGTATCTAGTGAAGCGGCGTGGCGTGGTAACCCTGAGTCTGAAAACTCATGCAAGTTCAAGTAACTTCTTCGGCAAATTTCTCGTACGCCGTTGACGTTTGCTAAGCGTCGCGTTGAAGGTCAGCTTGCACCTCAATGCGCTTCTTATCAAGAGGCGTGAGGCTGTAGGGCTCGCTCACCAACACCGAGTGACCCGCAACTGTCTGCACAGTCGAAACAGTGGTGGTTAAGGAAAATATGGTGTTGCGTACTGCGTACGATACAGATAATGTCTCTGGCCTTTGGCATTCAGCTTAGCAATTCATAGAGCAGCTTGCGCTACAGCCGAACGTCTATCTTGAAGGCAATAGATCGAATGGCGCTCATTCTGGGCAACCGAATAGCCCTATGCGTCCAACGAGTTCACGTACTATCATTCTCGGCCTCGCTCTCATCAAGGTGTAGAACGAAAGGGATCGTTATCTGCTCTGGTACAGAGGCATCACGTGCTTGTTCCGTCAACTTGAGTTGGACTCGGGAATCGTCGTCACTTCGGTCGTTAAGCATCAATCTTTGAGTGCATCGCATTTGGCAATGTCTTTAGACATCGTAGCCACGTGTCCCGTGGGCCAAATTGTCAAAAGCTACCCTGTGAACTTTCGCGACAACTCGTCAACGCTCAAAGACTTGAAGCAATTGTCCGCATGCGCTTCGGCGATAGCAAACGTCTGTGATATACGTCTATCTCTCTCTTTTCATCGATATAGCGTTGCTGTTGCTCATCGAGCTTGTTGATACTGACAGGCTCATCAAGAATAATTGAGGTACGCAACACTGTTAGTGCTTGAGCCGTGCATCGTTCCGGAAATGGTTTTGGTACTTTGAGCAAAATTTCGCGCGATGCTGACGTGGCAGGTTCGGGGGTTTCACCCTCTTCCATGACTGTGTCACTGTCATAATCAACGATGTCCTCTTCTTGTATGATCTCTTTCAAAGACTTGGAGAAATGCTAAGACTTTGCCATGGATGAGCAAGGTGTTATGTGAACATAATCGTGGGGTCATCTGTTATGTTCGAGCTATCTCGATCAAAAAGGTGAGAAATGTCGAATCGGGTATCGACTGTTTGGTGGATGTGAGTGAAACGGGATTACACAAATGCAAAAGGTTGCAATGAGTTGCGTCATTTTCGTATGAGTACATGGAGTCCTCTGTATATGATTACAACGATGAAAGTGGGGGCCCTACGCTTCCGTCAGGTGTATGAAACGATTCCATGCCTTCAAACTGGGTGGCGAGATTCCTTGTTGTTGAGAGGATGCCATAATAATCTGATAACCAGATACATTGTTGTGGTACGCACAGAAAGCGATCTGTATCACTGACAAGGCATACCTTTGTATCACAAACGCTAAGCGTTGATACCGTATCCTATCAGTAACGTTTAAAGGATTTTTATCGTAATAGTTCATCATAGAGGCGACGAATTCTGTTGTGATAAACTAGAATAACTACGATGAGGACTATTCGATTCGGCAGCATAGTTTTAAGGCTACAGATGTAAGTAATGTTTGTTATTGCTGCGTATCAGTGAAAATGTTGGTGCTTCTTTTGATCAATTTGAGACACGTGCCTTTCAAAGACGTCTACGATTGGAAGCGCTAAGTGCCTGAGATAAGGCTAAGTAATTTTAGGCATTAGTGCCACGCGATTCATTTGTTGCATATCGACCTTTGCTGTCGCTACAATTCACGTGACAAATCGTCACACCAGGTAAATGTTAACTACATAAATTGTTGTAGTAGCCGATGATGATGCCAGGTCCATGGAATGATGCAAGATCATCAGAGAGGAAACGGTGGGTGTCAGTGGTAGTGGTCAAAGCGTCAATATATATCTCAGCTCGCAAGTATCATCAGAGTGCGCAAGTACTAGCACATCCAGCAGCAAAGAGTCGACTGCTACGTCGGATAACTCCGGCGCGCACCAAGCTATAGAGCAAAAGCGTCGTCAACCTGACAAAAGTTTACAAGATCAAGCGAGGAACATCAACATTATGGCATCTTCTCGACAACAAGGAATCTCACCACCCAGTTTGAAGGCATGGAATCGTTTCAGACACCTGAAGGAAGCGTAGGGCCCCTACTTTCATTGTTTTTATCATATACAGAGGACTCCATATAATCATACGAAAATGACGCAACTCATTGCAACCTTGCAACAAGAAGCTCGCGAGTTGATCATAAGCTCAAGCATCGAGGCAAAAACCGAATCGGATTTGACAATGCACACCGATTACCGGCGACATCGTCTGCAGCATACCTCCCAGTTGGTGCACCCAAGTTGAAGGACTTCACGATCATTAAGTTCACCCGGAAAGAGCAACGCTCGGTACTTGGAGCACACTAGGACTCGTTCAAGTAACAATTTGATGTGCAGATGCATACGCTCGAGACCTCCGATCTCGTAGTGTGGAATGAAGAGCATAGACTGAGCGCTATGGCGATGTGCTTTCGCGGTGCAGCCTTTGGGCATTTTAGGCATCTCAAGGATTGGGGACTTACCGCCAACTACGACAGTGTCTGCAGGTCCATTAAGAACCGGTTTTGCTGCAAGCTGATCCAGTCACAACTGAGAAAGCTACTTGAAGCACTCATCATAACCAACGCAACGTGAACATCTCATATCAAGTACATGAGAGCTGTGGAGAGACGTATGGATGGAGCCGACCGAGCAAGACTATCTTTGAATACTTCTGCTCATACTACAGTCCATCAGAGGAGAGAAGCTTTCTGGCGAAGATTGATCAAGACAGCTTGGAGTACAGGATCGAGATCAAGAAAGCTACACGATATCTGACATCCATCACAGGAAACGGAAAGGGGTTCGTCTGTACTCCAAAAGGAGCAACGAATTCGTATGCTCGTGCTGAAAGAGACGAGCCGAAGTTTGAGAAGAAACAGCGGAAGTCAAGGCATGAATCTGGTGATGCGTTCAGCGCAGAAGGATCCAAGAAGTTTTTAAGCGTGCCTGTTTCTTTTTGAGGGTCACATTGCTACACATGCCCAATCAAAAAGGAGTTTCTGGAGAAGAATAAAAGTTCAAAAGGTTCAGCTAAAGTGGTAGAGACATCGCTCGAGATCCACAAGACGGACGAGAAGGACTATCAGTACGTATCAGGCTGGGCGGCATTCAGATCCAGTAAGGATGAAAGAGAATCGTTGATGAACTCAGAATCTATTCTCCACATATGCGGTAATGAATTTGCGCTACAAAACGAGTACGCATGCAATCTGTCCGTGGCTATCGCAGACAGTCGCACCATCCAATCTTTCACGTGTGTCCACATCGTGATAGAGATTGGTGTCATCAAAAATTATGATGCAGTTCTGTTTCAAGACGTGCACGTAATTTTAGGGCTGCGCAATAACCTACTATCGATTGGTCAACTTGCAAAGAAAATGTATTTAAATCTCATTTTACTGACCAAGGAGCGTCACTGTAGAATCTTGATGACATGGGAGTCAAATTTATTGCTGGCTGTGAGACATGGGACAATGGGCTTTGCTATATTAATGGGCATGCACTCGCATCGGCTCTTGCGGGTGTCGTGGCTAAACCTGATGAGGGCATCATGGAATGGCATGCTCGAATCAACCATGCCAACGTTGAGGATGCGGCGATGATTAAGACTTGTCTGATGGTTTATACATCACTGAATTTAAGCAAAGTAACTGTGCTACGAGAGGAACAAACAAGAAGAGCTAAAGTGCAAGCAGACACTTCCATATCAGCACCAACGGACGAGATTGGCGCTGTGATTGGAGTTGTTATCAAGACAAAAAGTCAAGCTGCACTACTACAGAGGCTGTACTCACTCTTTGCATGTCTTCGGCTACGCTCGTAGCTATCGAGAAGCATTTCCAATGCGTGTTAAGTCCAACTGGTTTCCGTTACTTACTGAATTGATTACAAGATTCCAGCGACAAAATGACGTGCGCGTGAAGGTCATGAGGAGCGACAATGAATTTGACAAAACAAGATAAGATCGTAGTGTGCGAACCGCGGTATCCTACAGCAGCTAACGGAACTAGACGAAACTACTAATAAGGAAAGTTGAAGAGGCGCCACAAGACTTTTTTTGACGGCATGCGGGCCATAACGTTTGATGCATTCTAGGTTCCTCGCTTCCTATGGTCGGAAGCACTACAACGTAAGTCATGTCTAATAAACCGACTCCCGATCCGTGCAAATGGTTAAAGCAAGTCACTTATTGAAACCTCACTGGACACAAGCCCAACCTTAGTCGCATAATAAATTGCGGACGAAGGGTCACGGTTCACGTCAAGAGTAAAACATGGGTACGCAAAAGAAGTGTGAGCACCGAAAATCATCGGATATGATAATTAGGTAAAAATAATCGCGTGCACATCAAAATAACTATGAAGATATTGGAATTGAAGCACGTCCAGTCAATAAACTCGGCCAAGAAGGGTTTCGACAAGGATCTGAGTGCTGGAAATCTCCATGATGTACCCACCTCCAATATCTATGACGCAGAGGGCATACAAAGTCAAAGTGAACATGGTTTAAGCGTTTCTGATTGCGAGGAATCTGGGATTGATTTAGACACTGGCAAACATCTATCGCTAGCAAAATGACGCGATCTTCTTCATGTCACCATGTATGCTCGATATGCTGGCGGTGCCACAATGGTGTTTATGCGAGGGAAAGAGCCAAGATGTGTTAAAGAAGCCATGACTCATTCTGAAGGACAGAACTGGATTAATGCGATGAAAGCAGAGCTCGATGCACTCGTCGAAAATGGCACTTGGGAGGTTGTCGACGAACCAAAAAAAGGTACAAACATCGTTGACAGCAATTGTGTTAGAAGATCAAGTTTGATGCTAATGGTGATATTGAGCGCTTAAAGCCAAGACTTTTGTCGAGGGTTTAACCATAAGTGCGGCGTTGATTTCTCGGAGACATTTGCACTGGTGATCAAAGTGAGCAGTGTGCGTCTACGTATTACACTACCAAGCTTGTTTGGACTGCAGGCGGCTCATGGCGACGTTCGAAATGCCTACGTGAAGGGTTTGTTGCGCGAACTCGTCTACATAAAGGCGCCAAGAGAGCTGGAAGTCGAGGAGGGCAAGGTGCTCGAGCTGCTGAAGTCATTGCACGGACTTATACAGTCAGGTTGCTCTTGGAATGAGACGATGAAAGAATACATCATCGCACTTGGATTTATTAAGTCGAGAATCGACCCGTGAAATTAACATAAGCTCGACAAGAATGAGCGGGTGATGTTCCTTAAATTTTACGTGAATGATGTGCTGGTCGCGTATCAAGACGAGAAGGAGCTGCACGATGCTACACTGAAGCTGCAAGAACGGTTCAGCATCAAGATGATCGGACCAGTAAAGAGATTTCTTGGTATCACAGTGCACGAAATGCAGCAAAGAATTTTTCAGTAGAGCATGATTTGTGACGCACTCCGCGCGTTCAATCTTGGACCTGTCAGAACTGTCACGACTCCTATAGAATTCGACACAAACTGTAATGGTGATGAAACTGAGGAACTAGTACTTTACATCTTGTATGTGAAGCTCTCGGTACGCTACTTTGGAATTGCTAATTCTACACGCCCGGACATAGCGTATGCTACCAATTTTGCGTCAAGTCACCGCGAGAAGCCTCGGAAAGACCATTGGGAGCTGATCGAGCGACTTTTTTTTCGCTATCTCACGGGCATTTTGGCTCGTGGTTCGCGCTACTGGAAGACAAGCGAGGCTGTTTCAGTTAAAAACCTCGAGGTCAACATTTAGTTCGATGCTGATTGGGTTGGTAATCGATTCGACCGAAAATTAGCGAGCGGGGCCTTCATTTCGATAATTGGGCGGCCGATAGCATGGAGTTCGAAGAAGCAAGCCGTTGTTGAGATTTCCACTATGGAAGCAGAGTTTATCGCCGGTGCGAAGAGCATTTCTGAATGTGAATGGACAAGACAACTTCTTTAAGAACTGCTTAGCATCGAGATTGTCCCAAGTATCATGGTCGACAAGCAAAGCGCAATACGAACGATGAAGAACGAGACGGTATCAGCTGCTGCAAAGCACATCACTCTACGGTATCACTGCATCAAGGATGAAACTGACAAAGAGCGCGTAATTGTGAAATAGGGTGCCAGTAAGGACCATTTTGCAGATATTTTGACCAAGCCGATACCGCGTCAAACATTCGAAAAGCTCATATGCCAAGTTTAGATGGAGAAGCACGATTTACAAAATAAGTAGCTCATCACGTTCAGGAGGAGCATTGTAGATCGACCTTTGCTGTCGCTAACACTTTATGTGATAAATCATCACACCAGGTAAATGTTAACTACATATATTGTTGCAGTAGCCGATGATGATGCCAGTTCCATAGGATAACGCAAGTTCATTAGAGAGGAAACGGTGGGTGTCAGTGGTAGTGGTCAATGCGTCAATATATATCTCAGCTCGCAAGTATCATCAGAGTACGCAAGTACTAGCACAGCCAGCAGCGAAGAGTCGACTGCTGAGTTGGAGAACTCCGGCGCGCACCAAGCTATAGAGTAGACGCGTCGTCAATATGACAAAATCATTGGAGTCGTAGTCCCCTGAACCAGGACTAGAAGTATGAGAAGTTGGACATACACTTAGACTTAAGTCTCAATAAGTCTGTAAGACTTGATAACCTTAAAAGTTAGAATCTGTTTAGTTTTGCTAAATTAAGAGAACTTACGAGTCTAGAAGTCTTACTCTGGCAAAGAAGTAGGGGTAGCTTAGCTAAGGTCGAACTCCCATCGATCTCCGTGCCTCTCACGTGATCGCTAGTGCTAGTTGCGAAGATAAACGCAGTAAACAAGACAAAAAAGGCTAAACATACCGACTTCTTTAGAGAAAGAAGCCACTTAAGTTATGGGGCGATCGGACTGCGTGCTTCAAGTATTTATTTGTTGTAAGGTGGAAAGAGGGAAGTTGCTAAAATGGTCTTTACACAACGTGTTGTTGAAGCGAAGAGGCGACGTGCTCTATTGCCGTATGGATGGGTTTTACCTTGATCTCTACCCATGGAAATTACACGTTACATTATTTCAATTTGACCGGCTTTTCACCTCTATCGCTTGCACTTGTTGAAGACAATTCGTGGACTCAGCCTTAGTTCCGTGCTGCTTGGCTCTTAGCACCATCGCCACGCACTCTTTTCTATAGCTGGTCGTATTCGATGCATGAGCACAAGGATCTGTGTGCTAGCTCATGCGTGACTGTCTTCCTTCATGAAAGTCATGTAGTTGCAGAGGGGTGGGTGTCCTCACCTTTTTTACCTACCCGTTCGCTGATCGCATTTGGCTCAAATTGTCGTATGCTTGACGTCACTCTTCAATCTGCAGTGCTGGGTGGGAGAGTATAAACAGGACACGAACCGGCGTTAGACAGCTCTTCTCGAACGACGGCTCTGGAGCCGCCACCATGCCCCCCTCCCGACAGGGGGGGCGGCTTTGCCTAGGGGCCAGCCGGACGACCCGGGACACTCTAGTCCGGCCCTCGCCTTACCGGAGGACGCGGGGCCTCCGGAGAAGGCTCCTTCTCCCTCCGCTGGTAGCACCACATCCTCTGCACACGGGGAAGGGGCTCAAGAACACGCCGCATCTGCTGCTCACGGGACAGGGGCTCCAGTGCACGCCACATCTTCTGCTCACGGGACAGGGGTTCCAGCGCACGCTGCATCTTCTCCTCTCGCGGAGTCTCAGCTGCCGACCCTCCTCAGCGGCTATGGAGTCAGGCTTGGCGGGGGATGCTTCCTTCACCATGGCAGACCAGCCGCTGCGCAGCGGCGAGACGGATGCAGTAACGCCGCGGCTGGACGGACCCACCGGGCGCGCTTCGGGGGAGGATTCTGCGTCCTCCTCGTCGCCTTCGCAGGCTTCCACGCTCCCGGTTCATCCGCGCGAAATGTTTGAGGCCCTTAACGCGGCGATGAAGGCTTCTTCGGGGCCCCCGTACCTTGATGTCTGGCGCCAGACCATCCAGGGGTTATTTGCGCTGGAATTTGCCCGCCTTCCAGTCAGCTTCGACGCGTTGCCGGCCGAACGCAAACGGTATCCCAAGCTCACAAGTACTGAGCTGGTGAGTTTGCTGGATTTATTTCCGCAGTGTTTTGTTGTGACATCCGGCCGCTACGTCGACTGGACCCGTTTAGCCCACCAGATCAGTAAGGAGATCCTCGTCACGAAGTGTGCTTTTAAAGAAATCTTGCGCAAGCTGACCAGCCGACAGAAATGGGCTGTGGCTCCAATCCCGCGGCTGTGGTCTCAAGTCGTGCAGACAGGCAGTGCTGCTGCACCTGCCAGTACGACAGGCAAGCAGCGTCCCGTGTTCGATGACTTTATGTTTGATCCGGCAAATTTTTCGGTGGAAGAGACGACCACGCTCCGAGCCATTTGCGCAACGCGCCTTAACTTGACAGGTACTCACCGTCTACGCGAGGGTACAGATGATGAATGGAGCATCATCATTGGGATTGCGGAAGGGCATATTGCCTGTAGTCGGCTGCCTGATTTTCTTAATTCTGTCTTCGACAGCGACGAGCGGCTTCGGTTGTGTCGGACTGTTCAGGCGCAGGTCGAGGGACAGTTGATATTAAAATTTAGACATGGTCGTGATATCCCAATTGGACGCCGAACGACACACGCTATTACGGAGAAGATTTTGAAATCGGCGGAAATCTTGCGGGTCTGCTTGCCGGATCTTCACCGTTTCCTCGGGTTGGCCAAGACGATAAGCTACAATCGTTCTACCCGGTCAATCCACTTCTATTTCTTTACGCGAGCCATTGCCAAGGCGCACCAGGATTTCGTAGTGCCTTTTCAGGGGAGGGCGTACACGCTCGAGAATGTTCATCACCCGGTCAGGGGCTCGGTCTGGTTGAATCAGCAGGGACCAGACGGGCGGTCGAGCCACCCTCGGGCAGCATACACCATTTTGCTGTATATTCTCACCCGGTTTGATGATATTGCTGCCTACCTCCGCTCCAAGATACCAACGGATTTTGAGCTGGAGGACATGGATACCTGTACCCCGAACTCACGTACGTCCACTGCCTGGAAAGTCACCTTTCATCTGGCGGGTTGCCCGAACTTTCTCCAAGGAATAGTCAGACTGCTTTGGTTTGGGACCCCCATTATCGTCCGGCATCCGGACGTGGGCCGTCGCCTCCAATGTTTGCAATGTGGTACGCTAGGCCACCCGGCGTCGAGGTGTCAGTTCACCGATGCGCAGTTGCGGGGGTCGGGCGGGCTGGAGGTCCACGAAGCCGAGCTTTTATCTGTTGAAGATCTGGCCAAACCTTTTAGTAACCCCGATGAAATGCGTCAAATGGCGCAGCGACAACTGCTTGTGCAGCAATCAGCCGATGCAGCGGCACAAGCTGCGGTGACTCCGGCGGTAAGGGTCGCCACTTCCAGTCCACCGCCGGCCGCCGAGCCCCAGCCAACAGGTATCCCTATCCAATAGGTGTACACTACTCATGTCGCGCACGCGGTCCCGCCGCCTCCGGCCCCAAAACCCCGGCCCGAACAGCCATGGATGGGACGCCCCCTTCGAGGGGGTTGTCGGCCTTGGCCCCCAGTTCAGCCTTCCCCGCCTCAGCTGAACGTCAGCAGCGGGAGTTATCACGTTCTCCAGGAGGATGATCGGGCAGAGGAGAGTCCGTCTTCCCCATTTGAAGGCAGTGTCGCCTCTGCACCTCCGCAGCCGGGGACTGGAGGCTACCCGACTCCTGCTTTTTCGGCACGGCTGTCCCAATCTCGGCTTCTGCCGGAGGATCAGGCCCGGAAACAAGCAGCCGGTATCCGGGGCCCGGCGGTAGTTATTGCGGGTCCGGCTCTCCTGAAACAGCAGCGACGGGAACGTCTGACTAGCGAAAAGCTTTTAAAGCTGCTGCCGGATCGGCAATATCACTCGATACCCATGGATCCTAATCCGCCAGCGGAGCCCATCCACATGGGCGAGCTTGTAAGCATTCTGGGACTTCGGGAAATTAACACCCCAGCGAACGGCAATTGTTTGGCGATAGCTCTTGCTCAAGCGGTGGCGGAGTCTGCCTTGACCGCCCCTACCAAGGACCAGGAGCTTCTCATGGCATGCATCAAACGAGGTATCACGTGTACAGGACTCTTTAACTTGGAGGATCAGCTCCCTCACGACTTGCGGGTGCAGACACTTAAGAATGTGGGCCGTGGGTGGGCGTCGATGACGCGCACAGAGTCGGCTTCTCAATCCCGCTGGTTTTTGACGGACTTTGCGGCCGCCCCATCGGGGCGAACTTCGCATATGCCTACGGACTGTTGGGGGGGGCAGTGACACACTCGGCATGGCAGCCAAGTTTTTACAGAGAGACATCTTTGTCGTTCAACGCGAGGAAGCCACCCCTCAGTGGCGTTGCCGCAAGTATCACCCCGTTTCGATGACCATACGGGGACGGGCGGTGGCTTCTGTAAAAGAGTACCCCCTTTCTATTATGGCGTGTATCGACGAGCTGCAGGCTACCAAAGTCGAGGCGGCCCAGGCTCTACCGTTAGTGTTGCGGTTTGGCGGCGGCCACTACTCGGCATTTCTCCATTCAGCGGGAGTTGCCGATCCGTTAAACCTTACCGATACCCAGGACGGGCCGAGTGCGTCGCCGCAGGATCCGGTCCACTCATTCTGGGACGCTAGAGCCACATCGTTGGTACCATTGAAGGAGAAAGGCGCTTCAGCACTGCCCTCAGACGACAAACGCCTTTCAGACAGCGGTGACCGGACGTCGATCGTCATTACGACGCTAGAGACGCGGTCGCTCGAACCTTGGCACAACCCTCTTGTCAATTGGCTTTAACTTCTACTTCGAGCAGCTGTAGCGAACGCGGGATGGCCTCTGCGGCACGTAAACGGGGCCACGGCGGCTCTCCCTCGCTCCTGGCGGCGTCTGCGGATCCAGGTGCCGTCGCTCCGATCGTCTCTCGCCACAAGAAAGGTCGGGTTCGTTCAGCCCTACGGAATTCTTCACTAGACGTGCCGGACGACAGAATCGACCGGGACGTATCGCCGGAGCTCTGGAGTTATCTGGGAGCCGAATGGCCGACAACAGAAGCAACACCGTATCCTCTAGTATATGGAGACTCCAACGGGTGGGAGGCTACGGCTCGTTTGGAGCCGGAATTATTACTCCATCACTTGCGCCGCTTCTTCTTTCCAGACGAAGTACTTGCTAGCTTGTCCGACACAGTTTTTGTACAGTGGACGGCGCTGTGGCGCCAGGAGTGCTTATTATCCGGGCTCCTAGAATTCCGACAGCGAGTGAAAGAGCTACCCACGGGTGTTTGGCTCGACCAATGAATTGCTCGATCGCAGCAGCGCCTTTCGCCGTCTCTGCTGGCCCCTCTGATTGACAATTCCGACGATTGGAGAAAGTTGCGAGGGATTAACTATGCGGGGGACGACATTTTACGATTGTGTGACCCGCACAGACGCGTCCGAATGAGTCACCACCTCATGTGTGCCATCGTGTTCGACAACGAGATTTTTGCGCTGACGGGGACTGGCGGAAATCCAGTACGCCCTCCCGAGCAACTCCGTTGCCACTTTCGCTTACTTCGGACCAATAGTACCTACAAGGATACGTACTACCCAGACGGGGATGCTCCGATCGACTGGACTGCGCTCGTTCGCTATTTTACTACTGCTTTGGCCCCAGCAGAGCAGAGGTTCCTCCTCGAGTACGAAGGGCAGCTTACAGCAGAATTCCTTCTTCATCCCCAAAGTTCATTTCTTTGAGGAAGCTGACGCCTACAGCCGGCATCGCAAACTTCAAAACTGGTCTCCGTCTGGACTTCAGCAGTTAATCCACCGGATTCTCGGGGTGGGGACAGGCTCTTTATTTCCCAAAACGTGAGGGGCTTCAAGGCTAGCGCTCGGGAAGGGTGGTTGTCGGCGTGGCGTGGTGCGCCTCAGATCCGTCGCCCGCAGGCTTGGTGTATTCAGGAGACGCATGTACATACTGACGAAGAGGCAGGTAGGCTGAGTTCCAGGTAAGCTCAGTTATGGGATCAACACGTTGATCCTGACGCCCCTCCTCTATCGTTCTGGAGTATTGGCTCTTCCAGCCTAGCTGGTGTTGCCATTCTTCTTACCCCTCATTCTGCTCGTACAGCTTTGGCCTGGGAACCGGAACGCTGGTCACCCCGGGCGATCGCAATTTCCATTGGGGAGGATGTTCTGATCAATGTGTACGCTACTACACTGCGAGGTGAACGGGAGGACTTCTTTACTTCCCTTCTCAGCTGGAATTTGATGGCCTGTAACACTATTATGGCGGGCGACTTTAACTACGTCCAGTGCCCTCTTCTCGATCGGTACGGCAGTCACCGATCGCACCGATCGGAAAGCCCTGCCCTGGACGCGGCAGTTGCGACACTGAGCTTGGCGGATGCGAGAGATCTTCGGGATCATGCGGATGACGAGGGCACTGGCGATCCTACTGAGCATTTCACTTACTGGAATGGGGACCGTGCCAGTCGCATCGATCGTTTCTATTTGCCTGAGGGGTGGGTAGGTCGCGTGCTGTGGATTGAAGCGCGGGTGCCATCAAATCAGTCGGACCATCAGGAGGTTGTGCTACACCTACGTGACCTGAACAAACCTCGTCCGTCAAGCCGGCATGGGCGTGTAACATATCCGATTCATTCATCGAACCCTGGCAGGATCGTTGACGAACTCGTCGCGGAAATGGACGGGAGGGCTATAGGTCAAAGCGTTTCTACCCTCACTTGGGACGTGGATGTCACAGAATGTCAACAGTGCGTTCGACGCATCCGTAAGCGGGTCAAACAGCGCAGAGCGCGATTTCGTCGGAAGATTCAGGGCAGAGCTCGGCGACCTCTCCTCACCCGGCCGCAATTTATCTCCTGCAATATGGAGGAATTACGGCAGGAACATCTGGTGCGACTGGGCCAGAAGCTCGCCAGTACGGCTGACCAGTTGCGCTATTTTTACAAGCGGGTTGCCGACTGGGAACACAATCAAACAGTCACAACAATTTCGCGCATCCACGGCCCGCATTTTACCCGGGATATGAACGTTGCGGATAAATTTGCCTCCGAATGGTCTACAGTCCTTGGCAAAGTTCATTGCCAGGAGGAGAGAGTGGACTTGCCATCAGCCATTCGCCGTTTTGTCAATCTACCCACAGACCGGGTCTTGTCTTCTGCCGACAACCGGGCTCTCTTGGCTGATTTTTCGGAAGCGGAAGTCCTTGCAGCCGTTTCTGGGCTCAGTCGACAGAAGTCTGCGGGACTGGACGGGATCAACAACGATTTTTACAAGGATACGTCTGCACTTCTTGTCCCCGCCCTGGTCCAGCTCAGCAATCAAATTTTGGCTGGAGCTGATCCCCCGCCTTCGTTTCTCGAAGCTTTGATCATACCCTTGCGTAAAAAGGGAGACTCGGCGGATGCGATGGATTACAGACCGATTTCTCTACTCCAAACCAGTTACAAGATCTTTGCGAAAGTGCTGGCCACACGACTGCAACGCGTATTACCAAAAGTCATTGGTGTCTCGCAGCAAGGCTTCGTACACGGACGCCAGATGTCTAAACTAGTGTTGATGATGCTCGCTCAACTGGCGACATCAACATCGGATACAACTACATCCGCCGACGACAGCCGAGTGATCCTCCTACTGGATTTCCGCAAGGCTTATGACACGGTCGATCGCGAATTCCTGTATGAGGCTCTTCGCCAATTTGGTTTCGCGGAAAGGTATGTTCAGCTTATAACTCGATTACATACTGGTACTACGGCCGCGTTCCTTGTAAATGGGGAACAGTCTAGTCCCATCTCCATCGTTTCCGGTATCCGGCAAGGCTGTCCACTCGCCCCTTTGCTTTTTCTCGTCGTGGTGGAGATATTGGGCGTTGCGGTACAGCAATCACCAGATTTGTCTGGGCTTCCTGTCCCTGGACGACATCCGGCAACGCACATTTTCTCGGCGTTTGTGGATGACTCGACGATCTTTCTCGAGAAGGCCAGTCAGCTGGAGCCAGCGATAGCTCTTGTCTCTCAATTTGGGACCCTATCAGGGCTATTTGCCCAACCCTCCAAGAGTCAGATCATTTGTCTTAATCGGGCTGTGCACGTAGCCGACATGCGGGGCATTCCGGTCCTTCAACAGGCGGACACGGTGAGATACCTGGGCTATCAAGTCGGACTGAGTCTTTCACACAATTGCAACTAGGCGCTTCGCATCCAGAATCTTCAACGGAGGCTAATGACAGCTTCTAGGGTGGCGACCAGTATGGCGAATCGGGTGTTGATCCTCAACTCCATCATTCTCCCGTCTGTTCTGTTCACGGCGGCGGTTTTCGATATGCCTGAGTGGGCACGACTTGCTGTCCACAACCTGTACAAACAATTTTTATGGGCTCATGCGACTTCAACGGAAGCCAGACGACACAAGATTAACCCGGGAATAATTTTCACCCCCAAAAAGGCAGGGGGGGTTGGGTTGGCCTCTTTGGATGTGGCTATTAAAACGCAGCGTACCAAGCACGCTTTACAGTGGCTCACACAAGCTCATGACAAGTATTTTGGAGCCTGGAGTGCGTGGGCTTATCAAGGCCGGCCGACAAATTCGAGCCTGGTTCTCCTTTGCAGGACGCAGGCAGCTGGGGCTTTATCGTGTTTCGGGGCACCGTCCCCAAATTCATGGGTACCGGACGTTGACAAGCTTCTACACCCTACGGTAGAGCAAGCCACCATACTCAGCGAGCGGGTACGTACGTACTACCACCCCGTCCTCCACGGCGCCAGTAGCTGGTGGGAGGAGGAGGAGGAATGGGTTCTGTCGTATCATCACCCTTTCCCGGCTGGGTTACCTGCGCTCGATCCTCAACAGTGTGCGTTACATCGCTTTTGGTGGACAATAGGCTGGAGTAATAACCCGTGGATCCAGGACGGCAATGGCCTTCCGTTAAAATTCTCTACCTACGACCGGATCGCGATCTGCCCCATCTCAGACCTGCACATTCGGCGAACAGGGCCAACTGAATTTATTTTTCGCATTAAGCCGGTTGGACCCCGATCTATTCACCACTCGCAGCCTAAACTCCGTCGGTGGGCGACGGCAATCTTGCTGGCACCCCCTACGTTTCCCATTATGGGCGAATTAGCGCTCGAACCTGAGCTGGTTCTTCGCCATGCACCACCTTTTCGACATGATTGGACCTGGGCCTCGGTGCAACAAGGTCGAGTGGTCGGTACGCGAGAGGGGTACTTGGAAGTCGCTGACCAGCCTGTTGAACTGCAGCAGAGTGCGGATGGAATTCGCTGGTTTTTCACCTCTCACCTACCGGAGTTAGCTACTAATTCGGACGAGGACAGATCCATTTGGGCCCTACGCCTGCGTCGTCACGGCGTCGTGTTTTACTCCCATCCCAGGCATCATGGCTTTCCTTGGGCCGTCGCCGAGTCGGTCACGAATTTAGCTATACGAAAACCTATTGTACGCCTGGCGTTCACGTTTCTCAAAAGACTTCTTGCAGTCGCATTGCGACCGCTGGTGCGGCGTCTGGACGCCGTCTGTGACTTCGATCAGTGGCAGCGGGCTGCCGCAAACCAAGACCCGGCACACGTTTGGAAGCATGCCAATGGCCTTTCCGACCATCAGGTCTGGACGTGTTACCGTATAGCCACCAAGCAACTTAACTTGTACCATGCCGGCCGTCCGGCGGACAATAGTTGCCGGGCGTTATCGGCGTGTCACGGTTGCAATGAAACGCCGTCTCACATCTTTTGGGACTGCCCCAAGGCGCGCGCGTGCTGGGGTCAACTCATTACCCATTGGACAGGAGAACGGGCTGGGAGGCCGTGGGGAGAGCGTAGGTTCGTCGGGAGTGTGAATCGTCACGCGCCGGAGGTACCCGCCAGGCAGCGTCTTCGGATTTACCATATGCTCCCGGAGGACTTAGAGGCTGGTGTCGCGGTTTGGAAGCGTCTCTGGTTTATAATGAGCAGCATTTGTCTGAACCACTTATGGAATGAGCGGAACGACGCGGTTTTTCGGGGAGTGCAGTCGACGCCTCTCCACAGCGCCGCGCGTTTTTGGGCGCTGGATATCCGACATCTTACCGCGTTAGCGAAACGCGAACATCGCGGTCCCGACACAGCTGTCGCCGGGGCTATCATGCATACCTGTATCGACCTCTTTATTCTCGAACCTCGGGATGGGCCGATACCTTTAGGTGACAGCCACGACAAGCTACCAGTCCCGGAGCTATTGTCCTGGCTTAAAAGTTTTCAGACATCTTTAGCATAATTATATGTTAATAGACGGTCATGAAATCATCATCGTATGCTTGACGTCGTATGGTTACTGTCTGAAGTGTAAAATTACTGTCCAACAGCTTACTCAGCGGTCATGCGACTTTTCAATCGAGTCGGCGATTACCTTTACTTGAATATTGTACAGCACGTTGCCCTAACCACGAATTCTCTACATACAGAACCTTTCACGACCTCGATATCGCCACTTCTCTTGCCTTGCAAATTATTAGAGCCCGTGTTTGTAACGCCATGAGCGACTCGATTCACCATAAGAGAGCTACAAATGTCCGATACCACACCAGCGTGGTGTGTTTATTCAGACCTCTTCGCAATGAAGAGTCGATTCAATAGTACCATAGGAGAGCAAGCTCTGGAGCTCGCCCTTTGACACAAATAATTAGTCCAGAAACCGAATCAAGTTCGTTATACCAACGTACCGTTTCCGGGTAATTTTGGCGGCTAGGGAATGGAATGTGCGTTGTGTACTAAAAACGACAGTGCTGATCGATTGTCGCGTGTTAACGCTGATCGTTTGATGTTGTTGAACGAGCATGACGAATGTGAGAAATAGAGACGGGGATGATCCTACTCGGTAATGCCGTAAACAACAAAGTGCGGTCGACGACATAGAATTGATTGATGAAGAGGAGGAAGAACTGAGGGAGCTCTCTTCGTCATCGAGAGAAGAAGATGGCCATGAATCCTACCGTCTTAGTCTATCAAGTGCCACGCATGAAAACACTTCACGTTTGCTTTTGCCGGAGCTGCCCCTGAATGTCGGCATTCGCTTGTTAAGCTCTTTGTTCGCCCTTGGTCATTTTGAATCAATTACGTGCGGGTATTCGTGCGTGTGTGACTCGCACCCATGTCGGTCGCAATCAGTGATGTAACCAAAGGGAGACACATGTGATGCATGGTGCCTATCAGAGGGACAGGCTGTATCGTACTTAGTGCGACGTGTAAGGTAAGTCTAGCGTTCTTGACAGACAAAAACATCCAATTACAAAGACAGACGGAAAATAAGTTTTGAGAGTTCGCCATTCACCTTGCACACAGTCACTACTAGCTTCACCCTTCGGGCTCGCCATAGCATGTTACTTGTCACTGGCGTTATAAACATCAAAAACAGAGCCTGAGCACTTGACAGCAGCGGTCAAATCAAAAGTGTACAATTCGTGCAGCAGAAATTCATCGAAAATGGTAGGACATGCACATTCAAAAGCTGGTCATGAAAGAAGAAATTGGAGTGACTTAACAGAAGCAGACTACAAAAAAGCACCTTGACACTCTGGAGTTCCTCGTCGCACGCAAAGGTGCCGAATCGATCACGCTGGAGAGAGAATGTCTCTCTTTTTTCCCCAATGCTTTGAGAAGGCCAGATAATCGAGGAAGCGAGGATCATGTCTCAGTTTGACGGCCGGTCCTTGACCATCCAGTCCCAGTTTCGTGTAGTACTGTTTCGGATCTCCTCCATGCTTGATGAACAGATCGTATCGCTTGCGGGCAATTTCCGTTGCCTTCTCGTTTAGCGCCTTTTTTCTCAGCTGTTCTTCCTTTTTTTCCAGACGCTCTATCGTTTTCATATCGATCGACTTCTCCATGGCCTTCCACTTCCCCCGAATGCTTGATCTCAGTTTCGTTGCCCAGGTAAACATTCGTTCTTCTTCATCTTCAGCGTCGTCGGTCACAGGCTGAACGGTATCGAGCTCCCCGGTCTGGTGTGTGGTTGTGACCTCCGTGTCGTCAGTGAGCGCTTGATTGGTCGAACTCCCATCGTTCTCCGTGCCTCTCACGTGAGCGCTAGTGCTAGTTGTGACGATAAACGCAGCAAACAAGACTTTACCGAATCTAAACATACCGACTTATTGGGAGAAAGAAGCCACTTCAGTTATGGGGCAATCGGACTGCGTGCTTCGTGTATTTATTTGTTGTAAGGTGGAAAGAGGGAAGTTGACAAAGCGGTCTTCATGCTACGTGTTGTTGAAGCGAAGAGGCGACGTACTCGATTGCCGTATGGATGGGTTTTACCTTGACCTCTACCCATGGAAATTACACGTTACATTATTTCAAATCGACCGGCTTTTCACCTCTATCGCTTGCACTTGTTGAAGACAATTCGTGGACTCAGCCTTAGTTCCGTGCTGCTTGGCTCTTAGCACCATCGCCACGCACTCTTTTCTATAGCTGGTCGTATTCGATGCATGAGCACAAGGATCTGTGTGCTAGCTCATGCGTGACTGTCTTCCTTCATGAAAGTCTTGTAGTTGCAGAGGGGTGGGTGTCCTCACCTTTTTTACCTACCCGTTCGCTGATCGCATTTGGCTCGAATTGTCGTATGCTTGACTTCGTATGGTTGCTGGCTGAAGTGTAGGATTACTGTCCAACATCTTACTCAGCGGTCATACGACTTCTCAATCGAGTCGGCTCTTACCTTTACTTGAATATTGTACAGCACGTTGCCCTAACCACGAATTCTCTACATACAGAACCTTTCACGACCTCGGTATCGCCACTTCTCTTGCCTCGCCGATTATTAGAGCCCGTGTTTGTAACGCCATGAGCGACTCGGTTCGCCATAAGAGAGCTACAAATGTCCGATACCACATCAGCGTGGTGTGTTTATTCAGACCTCTTCACAATGAAGAGTCGATTCGATGGTACCATAGGAGAGCAAGCTCTGGAGCTCGCCGTTTGACACAAACAATTAGTCCAGAAACCGAATCAAGTTTGTTATACCAACGTACCGTTTCCGGGTGATTGGCGGCTAGGGAATGGAATGTGCGTTGTGCACTAAAAACGACAGTGCTACTCGAGTATTGCGTGTTAACGCTGATCGTTTGATGTTGTTGAACGGACATGACGAATGTGAGAAACAGAGACGGGGATGATCCTACTCGGTAATGCCGTAAACAACAAAGTGCGGTCGACGACATAGAATTGATTGATGAAGAGGAGGAAGAACTGAGGGAGCTCTCTTCGTCATCGAGAGAAGAAGATGGCCATGAATCCTACCGTCTTAGTCTATCAAGTGCCACGCATGAAAACACTTCACGTTTGCTTTTGCCGGAGCTGCCCCTGAATGTCGGCATTCGCTTGTTAAGCTCTTTGTTCGCCCTTGGTCATTTTGAATCAATTACGTGCGGGTATTCGTGCGTGTGTGACTCGCACTCCATGTGCGGTCGCAATCAGTGATGTAACCAAAGGGAGACACATGTGATGCATGGTGCCTATCAGAGGGGACAGGCTGTATCGTACTTAGTGCGACGTGTAAGGTAAGCCTAGCGTTCTTGACAGGCAAAAACATCCAATTACAAAGACAGACGGAAAATAAGTTTTGAGAGTTCGCCATTCACCTTGCGCACAGTCACTACTAGCTTCACCCTTCTGGCTCGCCATAGCATGTTACTTGTCACTGGCGTTATAAACATCAAAAACAGAGCCTGAGCACTTGACAGCAGCGGTCAAATCAAAAGTGTACGATTCGTACAGCAGAAATTCATCGAAAATGGTAGGACATGCACATTCAAAAGCTGGTCATGAAAGAAGAAATTGGAGTGACTTAACAGAAGCAGACTACAAAAAAGCACCTTGACACTCTGGAGTTCCTCGTCGTACGCAAAGGTGCCAAATCGATCACGCTGGAGAGAGAATGTCTCTCTTTTTTCCCCAATGCTTTGAGAAGGCCAGATAATCGAGGAAGCGAGGATCATGTCTCAGTTTGACGGCCGGTCCTTGACCATCCAGTCCCAGTTTCGTGTAGTACTGTTTCGGATCTCCTCCATGCTTGATGAACAGATCGTATCGCTTGCGAGCAATTTCCGTTGCCTTCTCGTTTAGCGCCTTTTTTCTCAGCTGTTCTTCCTTTTTTTCCAGACGCTCTATCGTTTTCATATCGATCGACTTCTCCATGGCCTTCCACTTCCCCCGAATACTTGAGCTCAGTTTCGTTGCCCAGGCAAACATTCGTTCTTCTTCATCTTCAGCGTCGTCGGTCACAGGCTGAACGGTATCGAGCTCCCCGGTCTGGTGTGTAGTCGTGACGTCCGTGTCGTCAGTGAGCGCTGGATTGGTCGAACTCCCATCGATCTCCGTGCCTCTCACGTGAGCGCTAGTGCTAGTTGCGACGATAAACACAGTAAACAAGACTTTACCGAATCTAAACATACCGAGTTCTTGGGAGAAAGGAGCGACTTCAGTTATGGGACGATCGGACTGCGTGCTTCGTGTATTTATTTGTTGTGCGTCAAGAGAGAAGTTGACAAAGCGGTTGTCATGCTACGTGCTGTTGGAAGTATCTTCATGTACATCCTCACAATACAAAAAAATAAAACAGAGCAAACAACGTGTTGTTGAAGCGAACAGCCGACGTGCCTTGTAGCGTACAGTAAGACTTTACTTTACCCTACACATGGGATAGGGCCTACCACGTTCGTTCAAACGGAATGGCCTTCCACCTTCTAACGTCTGCACATGTCCAAGACAGTTCGTAGACTCAGCTTCCAATCCGTGCTGTTCGCACTCGGGATCATTGTCACGAACTCTTTCTATGACCAGTCGAGCAGCCGGTCGTACGTTTTGCACAAGTACGACAATTAAGAATCGTTTGATTGTCGTGGTAGTTCATTGCGTGACTGTTTCCCTCACGTCATTCTTGTCGCTCCAGTTGAGGCTGTCTTCAGCTTTACCCCCGTTTGTTCACCGCATATGATTCAAATGGTCCCACACTCCGATCTTTGCTAACGAGCAGACAAGCACTCAGGTCGCACGGCTGTTGAATAAAAGTGTAGGACAATTGATCCTAAAGTCGTATGTTTACCGAGCAAAGTGCAGGATAATTGTCCAACGACTAATTTTCCAACAATTAATTGTCTAGCAATCAATTGTCCAGCAATCAATTGTCCAGCAATCAATTGTCCAGCAATCAATTGTCCAGTAATCAATTGTCCAGCAATATGTTCAGCAACCATACGACTTCGCAAATCAGTCGGCTCTTATCCTAGAGAGGGCGCTACATTAGTTTTGTACGTCGCATTATCCTACGTAAATTCTCTACACTTGCAACACTTTGACGTTCTTACGATCGCCACATCTCTTGCCCTGCCAACAACTAGAGCCCATGTTGGCAACTTCATCATCGACTTAGTAGCCTTATGCGATCTCAAATGTCCGATACCACAGTAGCGTCGTCTGGTCATTCAGACCTCAACGCAATAGACGGTAATGTGATGCCTGGGATTGAGTCGATGCGTCGCACGCGCTGGTATCCCCTTGTCTTCAAACCTCGTTTGTAAGCTCGAGAATACACTTGACATAACCTGGAAAGCCCTGTCCGTGTCATGAGAGATGCTCCAAACTTCACGGCAATCTACTCCAGCGACTTGAGTGACCACAAACGCACCGTCTTGTCGTCGCTTGCGCTAGCAATCACGTTGGACCGAAGTGGATGGCGCACGACAACATTCACGACACTCGAGTGTCCGTCTAACTCGCCCACTTGTTTACCGTTGACCTTTTGCCACAAGTAGATGATGCTGTCTGAAAAGATGACACAAACGAGCAGTCAGATATCAAGTTTTCTCACATCTGTCGCGGCACCGTCCCACCTTCGCTTCCACACGCAACAAGCTCGCCGTGGGCTCCACTGAAGCAAGGACGAAGCACATAGCGCTGCTCACGGATTCCACGATACCTGGCTATGATGGATCCCGTTGCAATCTCGACACACGCGATCTTCTCTTGCTTGATATAGTTCACGAGTAGAAACTCGCCAGACGGGGATATGCTTAGGCAGGAGATGAGGTGTTTCGCGTGGAGGAACAGCTCGTCCGATTTGCGTGCGACATCGTACACGCGAATCTCGTATCCTGATATCAGCACATACACCCTGGTGTCGAATGGATGCACAGCAATATCAAGTACCCTTTGATCACTCCACTTGTGGATTATAGAGCCTTTGTTTGCGTCCTACCAGCACGTAAACAAGTGAGTGAGGTTTTCTCGTCGACAGCCACTAACTGCACGGTATTGAGCTTGTCGTACCCATAGAATAAGAGACTTGTCGGCACTTCCACTCACAAACTGGTTCACACGGGGCAGCCAGTGTATTTTAGTGACCACTTTACCGGGATGCTGGAAGCGTTTCTCGCACAATCCGCTCTGGATCAAGAAGACGGAAATTACGTTCAGTCATGGTCAATCCGACACTTACAACCAAGAGTTATTACCAAAGGCTGCGTACCTGTCGATTCCATAGCTGAATGGTCCACGAGCGGCTCCCACTAGAAAGCAGAAATTGACTGTCTGGGGACCAGGCAAGACAGTCAGCAGATCCGTCGAGGCTTTGCAGCACGTGCAGCGTTTCACTCACACACTAGCCGCAAGACACGTCTCTCTTAGCAACAGTCCAGTGTGTAGCACAGCAGCCAGAATAAACCCACCAGCGGCGTTTTACTATGACAGCTCGTCCCTTCATCGACCCAACTAATCTGCCACAGCACGATTGAGCCATCACTCGAAGCAGCTGCCAAGACGTCGCCATCAGGCGAGAACGCCAGCTCCCACACGTCAACCTTGCTACTACTTGAGAGAAGTGCCACACATTCTCCACCCACGCGTCCACTGAGCGTCATCAAGGACTCATCTGGATCCATATTGTACCCATCTTGCACCAGTTTCTAGTACCACACAGCAACAATAGCAACAATTAGCACCACATCCGTCCCTCTCTTTACAACCGATTGACTCACACGTAGCGCTCCTTCAGGGATCATTTCTTCAGCACTGACGAGCTCATCAATCTGCTGCTGGAGCTCCTCGTCCTGCCAACGAATTGCAACTTTTTGCTGCATCTCGTCAGCGTCTTTACACAGCAGCAGCTCGGCTAAACGCGTTACTTCAGCCTCATTCGGTTCGCATCGTGGCAAAATCTCGTCTTGAAACGTACGTAGCGCCAATGGCAGCTGGCCGGCCAGCAAAAAGTCGATAAATTTCCTCTGAAGTAGCAGCAGTAGTGCCTCGCGCGCTGCTACGGGCGACTTCATATCCAGTATTTCGTCGTCTTCGACTTTTGTTTGTGCACCCACTTTTGTTTCGACATTGTTTTCGATCCCACCCTGTTTTGTTACTAGTTGCACCGCTTGATCCCACTCATGTCGCGTCACAAGCTCTTGCAGCGTTTTCATTGGTCGAGACCGTAATTGGACGCCAGCTTCGCGTTCCAGCGCCGCAGCTGCGTCCTTGTAGTCCAGATCGTAGAGCTCACGGAGCAGCAGACGGACCCAGTGCTGCTTGCGTCGCTTGTAGTGAGGCCCAGCATGACTGGATGAGGCAGCAGACGAGACGTGGCGAGCAGCAGCTGGACGCGTCAATGGCGACGAGGACGCGCGCTTGCGCTTACTGTCCGACGGAGACAGCATGAGCCCGGTGAAGAAGGCGCTTTTTGTACGATCAGAAAACAAGAAGCCGACGGCCTGGGATCGTGCGGACAAAAGAAGCTCGACTTCAATGAAGCACACGCCCTAGCCCCTGTGTCCGGGTCAAATGTCGCTGGCTAAAAAAGATCTCAATTGTAAACGAAGTTGGATCTTTTGACGAACACAAAACGAGCGCTCAATTTCGTATCTGAGATATCGGACGAAAACAGACGGAAGTGGCAGAATATCCAACGATAGTTGGTGGTCATCTGACATCACGTCGTGTTTTGTCAATCCTGCACTCATGTTTTGACACAATCTTTAGTATTACGTCACAACTAAACATCAATGACCCCACCTTGAAAAAAAAACGGAGCGTTCTCGAGGAGACTCAAAATTTCACTAGCATTTTTGCCTGAATTCACGAACATTTTCGCTTTTTTTTGCTTTGCCCATCCCAAACTGTGCTGGCTATCTATTCGCCCTAATTATTGAATTGCCAACAGGGGTTAAGCGACGCGCTATGGTTTTCGACCGTTCCTTCTTCAATAACCCCTCATCATGCTCACTATGATGTTGAGCCCTTTCACCATCATCCTCTGGTGCGGCAGCTTCTACTGTTGTTAATGATGCAATTCCAGCTGTTCCGCCGCGGAGCTGTGATAAACGATTACCAGCACGGCCCTTCGGTAGTCAGAAGGAGGCCATTGACACCACCAAGAAGTACGCCAATAGCCAAGACTTCGCCGTTCTTATCTTGTGCAGCAATTTGAATAGGATTATGCGCGCTCCTCTCTGATGCACCGAGAGGAACTACGAGGCTTCTAGGTACAGGCAATATCACGGCCGGCCCATGACCTTGCAAAATTGTAACACTACAAAGTTTGCGATTGCTTCGGTCCCCGGGTCAGGCTCGAAACGCACGCACCCTACGAAAGTGTAAGTCGACATTTTCTTTGCACAAAGGCGGTCATGGCCACCATTCTAATGTTAGAAATACCACGCTACTGGTGGAGCATTGCACAATGCGGTAAGAGCGATATCCGATACAAAGGTCGTCCGGGTGCGTTTGGCTGAAGCTGCTTTACGGGGACGCACAGATGTGCGAGCTTGATGCTGTTATACATAGAGCAAGTAAGGTCACTGTTTTGCTTGTTTGCATGGAATTTATTGTCAACAGCGGGGCTTGAAGATGCGATTCGCTTCCAACCATTCGGATAATGCTGTCCATTTCCTTCGTGACTTGTACCTGTCTACGTGTGCTGTAAGCCGTTTTATACAGTGTACACGACCACGGTCCAGCTTTCTCAAACAGTGTTCGACAGCACTGTGACAAATACACTGTATAAAACGGCTTACAGCACACGTTTTGTCACAGTGCTGTCGAACACTGTTTGAGAAAGCTGGACCGTGGTCGTGAGCACAGTCGACCATTGGCGCTATCACTACGCTGATGGATGAAAAAGAACGACGGCGGGGGTGAACGTGTTGATGTGGATCCAATCGTGGCCATCATCACTGGGGCTCTCAAAAGTGGCTAGCCGCTTGACCCCTGTTGTCAATACAATAATCAGCGCCAATGAATAGCTGGCACAGTTTGGGATGGGCAAAGCAAAAAAAGCCGAAAATGTCAGTGAACTCAGGCAAAAATGCGAGTGTATTTCAAGTCTCCCACGTTCTCACGGTCTAACTAACTCCTCTCTCTCTCTCCAGTCATAAAGCTCACAAATAAGAATAATACAATCGATTACCACAACTATTGTCGACCGTCACGCCTGCAACTTGGCGATCGTTCCCTTTCAACGAGACGTTCTCGACTAAAAACTGCGTCAAGTACCCAAGACGGATCTCCACTGTCATTCAGTCGGTTGTGTCCTCTAGATTTGGCCAAGCAGCAAAATGTCCCACTCCCAGCCTACGATATCACACGGCTAAAAACTCGAGTGTTTTGATCGACGGATACCTCTCTAAAGAAATATCTCGACTGTTTTCAGCACACACTTGCTGTTCTCCGTACAACAGACCCCTCAAGCGTGCAGTCTATGAACAAGCCTGTGACTACTACAAAGTCGATGTCCGGTACTTTGAAACGCGCTTGGCGCCGCAGTTGCACGCTGTCCCAGGTCAAGTGTCCCTTGGCACCGTGCTCCAAAGTGTCGATCGAGGCTTGAGACGGACCACAATGAGTGGGACACACGAGATGATGACGTGATCACTGGAAAAACCGCGGGATTATTGTGTGTGTGCTATGCGGTACTTCACTGCAGCATCTGCGCCGTTTTACCGTTACTTTGTGAAGTACACCAAGATGAAGAGAGCCACCGACTCGATGGGTTAGCGTCTATGTCCCCTAGTGACTCAAGCAACTATTACAAAAAAGAGACACAATGTACCCATCGTGGCACTGGAAATGGCTGGACCAGAGCGAGGGCACCTTGCCCGTGACCAAATGGAAGCATCTGCATTTGCCCACACGAAGTTTTTACATGAGACGGTACATGCAGGAGAAGATTACGGTCCCGAGAGTATCTTTCAAGCTCTGACGGACTTGCACGCTGAGCGTATTGGCCACGGTCTCCGCTTGTTTCGTGCTGACACGTTGAGAAGTCTGCTGCAATGGACCAAGAGCAGCGATAAATGTACTGTCATGACCTGGTCCAGTCCATTGGCCATGCACGCACGTGTATTGAAGTGTGTCTATCGAGTAACTTCCCCAGACGGTACCGGAGATGCAGCTGGATGCGAGGAACCATCCGTTACGACAGATGTTGACGAGCTAATTGGCTGTGACGCTTTGTGGGGGGGGGGGGGGGGGGGGGGGGGGGGGGGGGGGGGGGGGGGGGGGGGGGGGGGCCCCCCCCCCCCCCCCCCCCCCCCCCCCCCCCCCCCCCCCCCCCCCCCCCCCCCCCCCCCCCCCCCCCCCCCCCCCCCCCCCCCCCCCCCCCCCCCCCCCCCCCCCCCCCCCCCCCCCCCCCCCCCCCCCCCCCCCCCCCCCCCCCCCCCCCCCCCCCCCCCCCCCCCCCCCCCCCCCCCCCCCCCCCCCCCCCCCCCCCCCCCCCCCCCCCCCCCCCCCCCCCCCCCCCCCCCCCCCCCCCCCCCCCCCCCCCCCCCCCCCCCCCCCCCCCCCCCCCCCCCCCCCCCCCCCCCCCCCCCCCCCCCCCCCCCCCCCCCCCCCCCCCCCCCCCCCCCCCCCCCCCCCCCCCCCCCCCCCCCCCCCCCCCCCCCCCCCCCCCCCCCCCCCCCCCCCCCCCCCCCCCCCCCCCCCCCCCCCCCCCCCCCCCCCCCCCCCCCCCCCCCCCCCCCCCCCCCCCCCCCCCCCCCCCCCCCCCCCCCCCCCCCCCCCCCCCCCCCCCCCCCCCCCCCCCCCCCCCCCCCCCCCCCCCCCCCCCCCCCCCCCCCCCCCCCCCCCCCCCCCCCCCCCCCCCCCCCCCCCCCCCCCCCCCCCCCCCCCCCCCCCCCCCCCCCCCCCCCCCCCCCCCCCCCCCCCCCCCCCCCCCCCCCCCCCCCCCCCCCCCCCCCCCCCCCCCCCCCCCCCCCCCCCCCCCCCCCCCCCCCCCCCCCCCCCCCCCCCCCCCCCCCCCCCCCCCCCCCCCCCCCCCCCCCCCCCCCCCCCCCCCCCCCCCCCCCCCCCCCCCCCCCCCCCCCCCCCCCCCCCCCCCCCCCCCCCCCCCCCCCCCCCCCCCCCCCCCCCCCCCCCCCCCCCCCCCCCCCCCCCCCCCCCCCCCCCCCCCCCCCCCCCCCCCCCCCCCCCGGATAACTGCACCGTGTCACATACGGATATGGTGCAGGAAGTGCGACTCGCGTGTGACGCGTTTGAGATCACGCGGGCTACGCGCATCACGTGATTGACTATTACGACTACCTGGTTGAAAAGTTTGGGGTTTTGGACACGAGCAAGTCTGAGTAAGGCGTGCTGGACCACGAGTGAGTGGGTAGTTGAGGACAGAGGAGAGGAAGGCAGGAGTTGGCGTCGTTGGTGATCTCGGGGTTGAACGACGGGAGGCCATGGGCTAAGAGTATTGGTGGAAGACAAAGATCGGGTCGTGAGTATGATGGGCACTTGCTTTCGGAAAGCTACAATGTGATGGTCACACTCGCAGTGGGTTGTCAACACAGCTCTGAGTTTTCGTGTTACATGCGACGCATACGGTAGCGAGTATTGTTTGCATATCGACTACAATCAAGAACGAAGAACAGCTCTCTGGTTTACGAAATACACCGGCTCAAGCGAAGGAGGAACATTGCCACAGAGTGACTACGAATGAATACGGGGAACTCACAAACACGAATTACTTGGGAAATATCGGATGCGATGCATTGAGTAAAGAGGAGCGTGCACAACTGCAAAGATGAAGTACACACTTGTGCAGTGAATGGTCCCTGCCATTGTCGCAACGATTACTCGTCCACAGCCCAGTGGGTATACTTGGCTTCCTGTTATTTGTGGACCATCTTCCGACCGTTGAACGTCTGGATGGAATGCACAACAGCACATTTTATTCGCGTCAATGTGGCTAGCTTATCAGTAAAAGCCAACTACTGACACGTCGTGGTACGACGAAGAAGGACTCGAACACGAGTACTCGTCACCTTCCTCGGTCGTAGACTTCACTTCACGCACACGGCCTTCCGTAGCATCCACTAGAATACTGAGGACCACAGGCAGCAGCAATGCATTGTTCAGCCAAGCGCACACTGCTGCAGCAACCGAAGCTCGGAAAAAACAGTTGCCAGCAGGTGTTGCTACCAAAGCGAGCGCAGCGATGGCCACAAACTTGGACATAGCGACACCTAGCGTCCAAGGTGTCAGCAGCTGCATCATCACTTTCTCCACGCAGACATCTCCCGCAAGGGGGTAGCCAAAAGTATCCGTGAGACTACGGGCCTTGGCAAACAAACGGGCAAAGTGTCCAGAGAAGCCCACAGAAAAGGCGACAGCGATTGCAAAATTCACGATCGAAAGCGGGTTGAGAAACATGCCCATTGACGTCATCAGACCAGCAACTTGGACCGCCGTGGCTGCAGCAATGAAAGTCACTGCCAAACCATACCCACAGCTTCCAAGAGCTGCGCTCTGCAGCACAAATATCACAGCAAGACCGACGCTTAGCAGAATGTATGCCACGTGACGTACGGAGTGAAACTGATCCAAGAAAACGTACTCCGGTGAGTACACCCAAATGTCGATGTCAGTCTGCTCGCTGATCCACTTTGCAACATGCTGCGCTTGTGAATGGGCCTTGATTGCTCCTTCTTGGCTGCCCGAACCTGTGGACAAGCCGAGCTGCAGTGCTCATGACCTTGTACGCAAACGCAGTGACATCGTTGCCATAACCAGAGCCATTCAACGTCAGAGTCGTGTTGCCGTTCATGGCAGGAATGGCGCGTCTGTCAATACTCAGCTGCCCACGGTAGCGCGGGCCAGCAGCATATGAGCAGAGCGGCCCCGACGCTGTTGTATAGAACATCCGAACCAATGGTATGAACGACTCGCGCGGCACAGATACAACCTCGCTTGCATCTGCCAAGCACGAAGAAGTCGAGGTGACGCGTTCACGAACATATTCTGCTGTGCTCTCTTCTGGGCGCAGAGGGGAGTACGCATAGTCGTTTTCCAGTTCAATGCGGCAGCATTCGCTGTCCGGGTCAATGAAGCCCCAGAAATCATCCAGCCACGAGCCGACTGCTGGGCCATTTTTGAATGATGTCACATTGCTTACACCCTCTTTCACCAGGTTACTGAGAATATTCGGAATCGACAGGTTGGCACAAACCTCCCGTGAGGTGCACAACTTGCGCTGAGTTTCTCTGTCGTTCACGAGACTGTAACCATCAGGATTGCTGCCGTAGCCGGCTTCAACCACGAAATAGACGGGGAACTCTTTACGTGACAGGCTGCTTTCATCGAGTGCGCGGTAGTACGCGTGCAGGTACGAGCTGGATGGAATAAATGAGGTTGGCACCAGACCACTCTCCATTGTCTCAACGGAAAGGATCGCTCAAAAAAGTGAGTGCAACGAAGATGAGCAGCACGAAGACCTTCGACACCTTCGTTGTCAAGATCTTGAGGTAGCCCATGACACAACGGTCCGTCAAGTTCCAAGTGGGCAGGGAAAACGAGCTCCCTGAAAACGACGAGTTTTCGGTTGTAGCAGTCGTTCCATCCGAAAGATGAGAGCGACGAGCAAATGAGGCGCGCTTGCAACAGATCACGTCATACGTGCCGCTCAATTCGCGACGTTTGTCAAGTGCCACAATCGCGAGAAACAGAGTCATCTGCAATGCCAAACTGACTGCAATACCGACAACTAGCGAGCCAGCAAGCCACTGAGCAGCTGGCATTGCCGAGTACGCAGCCACAGCAAGAATGCAGCATTCGCACACAGTAGTCACGATTATGCTGGGACCGATGTGACCAGTAGCCTCACAAAGGAGCACGCACGTAATCTCGTGGACGCCGAAATCGTTGTCTTCGAGCCCGACAAACAAAGACTGCTGTTCCATCTTCAACTCATCCTGTTTCAGGTCAACAGCATGAAGAATCAAGAAGATGTTGCCCGTACTAATTGCAAGCACAACCGACGGAAGCGTGACAAGCGTCACGACCTGAAGCTTTGCACCTGTCCACGCAATCAATCCCAATGTTCCGCCTATGGACATCAAGATGCATGCGACTCCCATCACGCCAACACCGATCTTTGACGAATAGAAGAAGGAGCGGTCCAGCTTCCAATGATTGAGTCCGACGACCACATAGACAAACGTGAAGACAAAGCCTGCAAACCCCGCCTTGCATACGACGTCCAAGTCCAAGGCATTCGCAAACTCATCCTCCGCAGACGTCTCAGCAGCATAATAAACGTCATACAACTCGTTGGCATCCGCCTCTTTCTTCATTCGTGTAAGAAACGCGCGCTCCCAAGCTATCGCATCGATATTCTTGGCTGTATCCTGATGGTTGACCACTGCAACTGTCGACAAGAGAGTAGACCCTTGCTGCAGAAGAGTGTTTGCATCCAGCGAGTCACCCATCGCAGTGATTCCACCAAGATACTTTTCCAGCTCCAGCATCGGGGCACCGAAAGATGACAGACACGGGCAATCGTTCATGCTGGCAGGCAAAGATGTACCAGATGACGCATTGATCTGCGCTTGCAACTCGCTGCACACATCGCTGTCTGCTCGCTCGGGAGAATTCGCACAATTGCTCAGGTGTTTGTCGACCAGACCATACGTCTCATACACTTCAAAGTGCTCCACATTGTTCTGAAAGTACTGCGTGACCGCGTGTACCTGACAGGACGATGTCAAGGCATCCTTCAGACAAATATCACTGAGCGTGCTATTGCCGGACGTAACTTCGTTTGCAATGATCAGCTGCAACCGGATCGCTTCCTTCAGATACGCCGACCTGGTCACTGCACCGCCGTCCTTTGTTACAAGTACCAGTCGCTCCACCCGATCGAGAGGACCGAGCATCTTTTCAAAGCGCGCTCTCTCCTGGAAAACAGCACTGCCTTCCGACACCCACAGCTTCATTGACTCCGATTCCACTTCCAATCGAGCTAAGCCACTTGAACAGCACACTACAACCATCAGCGACAAAAGGACAATGTACAGCGGATGATTTCCCATCGCGACAAAGTCGCCCCAGCGCTTCAAATGCTGTGTCAGCCAATCGTCCCAGCGGCTAATGCCTTCCAGTCGATCTACATCCGTCAGCGGCAGCAGCATCCCGCGGCCTCTTGACCCGTTGACAGGGTCAGTCAGCACAGATTCGCGCTTTTTCTTGCTGTATCGTGCAGAGTAAGCAAAGCCGAGTGCTAGTGCAGTCAACCAGAAGGAGGCGAGCACAGCCAGCACATAATTCAGCACTATCACGTCACCATCTTCTACACGAGACGACAATTCGGACAGCAAGGATCCAATCTGGCTTGTAGTGCTGGAATCACTGGCAGCAAGCGTGCTGTTGTAAGTGGGAACGCTCAGATCATCCAGCACCAAAGAGCTGCTGGAATTATAGCATACGGACTCGTACTGACGCCTGCCATCAACAGCCACAGCACACAATGAACCACATGTGTCCGCACAAGATTCCAGCCGCGTATTCATCGGTGCAAAACAACCAGTTGTGTTCGTGTTGCCACACGTACAGATAGTCTGTTCCTGCTCTGCCACTGTGAGGTGCTCCATCGTCGTAAAGTGAACCTGCGACGATGACCCGACACTGTGAAAACTGTACGCGCTCAAATACTTCAACATGTCCAAGCCTGTCGTCGAGCAGTTCTCCTTGTTTGTGCCACACACCAACGGTGCAAATTCTGCATCCGCCTCACAAAAGTCGTGCAGGTCACTCACGACATCGCGACCAACGTAGTACGTGGCTTCCTCAATGACAGGAAAGACCTCGTGCGCGTGATCCACGTCTCCTTCCAGTAGCCGCACCTGGGTCACATCTACGAACAAACTGTTGCTAGGGTGGCAGGTGAACTGGCACCACAAGTTGTGTACATTCTCTTTGCAAGATGCGCATTGCCCTGGCAGTTGCCGCAATCGAGAGCTCAGCATCTCGTACTGCGTTTCCGTGCAGCACAAGAGCTCCTGAGCTTCTCCTTTCACCGTCTCGTTATACAGCAGCGAGCAATCTGTCCGGAACGCCTCCTGGTTAATGTCCGACCAGGCCGAAAAGTTGTTGTCATAGCCATGTTTATAAGCTTCTTGCACGTCTATGGGAAAGTATTGAGCCAACATCGTCGTCTCGGTTTGTGCCCCGTCCACATAAGCAGCATCAAATGCCACACAGCACCCTGCAGCCTGTCGATACTCGCCCAGTTCAGCTATCTTCGTGACATTGTCCAGACAAGTGTCTCCTTCCGAAGATCGACACGTTGTCAATTGCTGCTGCAAAACGACGAGCGCAGCAGCAGCAACAGCATCAGCAGCTACTGCAGTCGCCGTCTCGTGCTTGAAGCTGCCGTGGAAGTTCGACGCCGTCCTCCCCTCTTCTCCTCTCTCTCCCCTTCCTCCTCCGACCATGACACTGTTGATAATCGGCAGCATCGTGAGCACCACGAGCGCCAACGTCCAGAGCTGCGGCGGATAAAAGCCGCTGCCGGCGATTTCGCTGGTCGTGCTCTTCACACGAAGCAAAAGCGCGTGCCGCTTCGTGCCGCGTCTCCATTGGACGTGACCGAGCGCTTTGTTCTTGGCTGCAACAGCGTTAGAAAGAGACGTGGTACAGGTCTCTGGAGCGAGAGAGCGACGACGATAGAGAAAGCGGTGGGTGTGGAACCCAAGCGCAAGCAGCAGCACGAGCGTGAGGGCGATGGACACGAGCTTGAGGTACGTGAAGAACACGATGGAGAGCTCGGCGAAGAGCGCCTCGAGCCACGAGCGGACGCACGGCGTGGCGATCGTGACGCTGATGGCTGCAAAGAGCCACATGCGTCGAGCAGCTCTAATTGTCAAATGACGGAGAGCGAGATAGAGAGCGTGGGCTGGCTGGATTATGTACAGCGCATGAGCAAGAGATAGGACGGAGGGATGCGCTATCAGTGCAGAGACGGGGCGAGTCAACTCGCGGGTGGGCATAGAAGGGTGCTTACGAGGGCCAAAACTTGCAGAAGTTAATATACTGCAGTGATTATGCTGTGGGTTGTTTTTGATAGCATAAGCAAGCGGATTGGATGGTGTAAGCTGTAAATACATTCACTTGACGGCTGAGGTTACGGTAACGTGGAGCTTCTGACTGAATCAAGAACCAGCTGGCGACGTTTTTACAAAACAGGGCAACCTCATGGATAGCACAAGACAACTCGCTGCTTCATACCATCATGCGTTCAAGCTAAGCGAGCTACCCTGTGTTTCTTAAGCTGCAGTTCCATTGAATCTGCGACGAAGAACGGGACCACACCTGAGTATGAGACAACATAAGCCAGAAGCAGACAGCGTGCAAAGATGGCCAAGACCGACCTGCTATTCTGATCGGGCAAAAGAGCAGGTCCATTATTGCATAAGATCGTCACAATACCCACACTTCTCAATGCCACGACGGCACTTCAAGCGAGACTGGACTTGTCGAGACCAATTCAGACCCCGCAGTAGGCAGATGCTGACACGTACATCCTATCGCGCGAGTTATCGCTCCGACAAATCCCACGGTATCCGCTCGTTCCTCTGACATCACTCGTCGCTCATCTCGTCATCCTCGACCTCGTTCGACGGACGCTGACGGTGCTGTGCCTCGGCTGCATACAACTGCCGCAGCTCCTCAACCGTCTGCGGAGGCTTCTCCATCAGACGCTGCAATTTGCGTGTCGGAGAGCAGTTCGCACCGCTGACTTGACACGATAGTTCGTGGGCTCGTCCATAGGCTTGACTGGCCGCTGCAAGATCACCGAGGACCACCTGGACCTGAGCCAGGTTGTCGTAGTAGATGATCTTCTCATGATGAGCTGTCGGGACCACCACGTTCATATACGCAACAATGCGCTCCCAGACCTCAGCCAGCTCTCGCCGAGAACTCTCCGCTTCGACTTGAAACGTCGTGGGACCAGTAGCTTCGCATCCAATGGTATCAAGGGCCCAGAACAACAGGTAGTGACGTTCGTGCAACACGCTGCGACGCACGACAGCGTCCACCTCATCGAGACTCTGCGGGAACCCATTCTCGATCAGTTCCTGCTCTGCTGCCAAGATGCGAGTGCATTCTGCGGCGTCTGCGATCTTACCGCATGCCTGACATCGCCACTCGAAACGCAACTGGTCCAGTCCAATGCAGTTGCTCGCCACTGTGTTCCGCACGGGACACGGCAGCATGATACCTTCCAGGCAGATAGCTGACAGACAGCGGACGGCGCGCGTGGGGTCTGCCATCGTCACGCAGGCTTCACACGTGCAGATAAACCCGTACGAGTCCAAGAGAGACTCCTGGCGTTCTGATGTCGGGCGGTAGAAGAAATTGCCATAGTCAATGGACAGCGCGTCTCCAGGCACGATAGAGCGGATCGCAGTCATCCATAGCGTCGAGTCGAACGTTGTAAAGCTGCAGTTCGGCATGCAACTGTGTTCAATGCGGCACGCTGATAAGAACAGGCCAGATCCGCCAAGAGTCTCCAGCTCATGTGCGTTGGTGTTGAGCACGCCAATGAGTCAAGCCATCTGGTGGTCAGAGAAGCCCTCAGGGAAGATGTCGGGCACTTGACGACGCAATTGGACAGCTGCTTCAGTCGCTCGCTGCTGTGCAGCCCATGCCAAGCTTAGCACTTCATCAAGAGCGTGGACGTCGTGCTCGTACATCGCCAGGCACTTCAGAATACAGCGTGCTCGATCCACCTCCTCAATGCCATCGACAGTCTTCATGATGTCCATTACCACCTCGCGACGCCCGCTAGTTGTCTCCTGCAGCTTCGAAGAGCACATGGCATTGGGCGTGCCAGTGCGCTCACAATGACAGCAAGGACGGACGTCTTCAGCCGAGGACGACTCGCTAAAATCCACGGACAAGAGCTCTTCGCATCCGCTGCACAAGTCCGTGCTCCACGACGCTGCCACGAACGCTTGCTCGCTGAAAACCACATGACCAGGCTCGAACGTGCGCTCGCTGAGCACGACCTTGCCCTTGACCGGATCCTGAACCACGCGCAGGCCGCATTCGTCAAAAGCAGGGGCACTTGCTGCCATGTTGGACTAAACACGTGCCCACCAATGAAAAAACACGATTGACACTCGAGAGCAGCTCCATCAAGCATCAGCGCTCTATTTATAAAAAGGGACCTCACCTGCCATGCTGCATGCTCCCCTGCTAGGCACCACCATACGACACTCACTTGTAAACATGCGCGACCTCGCCCGTTTTCTCAATACTTGCTGCAACTGCTTCACTCACCGTCTGCTGTAGATCCTCCTTGCCACTCGTTCGTCGTAGCACGGCAACACTGTTGAACTTGATACAACACGTACAATGCTCCCGCTCACGAGCTACTCTCACGCGTTTGTCTGCAGCTTCACTTCCAGCATTCGTTCACCTTGGCAGCCAAGAACACAGCCCTTCACCGTGCTTGACCTAAATATACGGGGTAGACGACACGTCGACCTTCGACTGCGAAGTGTTGGACCCAAACGACATGGTCGGTGCTTCGTACGTAAAGCCCGTGAACATGCTCTTCGGAAGCCCCGATCCACCGGCAGATTTACTCAATGGGGTGCCACTCACAGGCAGCTCGGTAAACTCCTTGTCAAAGTTCGACGTGTCGCCTTCTTCCTTCGACTGCGGGTCCGACGGCTTGAACGGCGGCTCGGCCCACAGTAGACTATCCCAGTCCACTGTCCGAAAGAACCGGTGGACCTTGACATCGCCCGCACCTCGGCTACCCAGCCGCTTCTCGGGTTCGCGATGAAGCAGTGACTGGATAAGCGACGCGGCATCGCGACTCAAATAATGAGGAATCTCTAATGGGGCTTCTCGAATGCGTGCAAACAGCTCCTGACGATTACGCGTGTACCACGGAGGCAACCCCGTCAGCATCTCGTACAGCACCATGCCAAGGCCCCACCAGTCCACTGCCGTGCCGTGACCTTTCCGAGCCAGCACTTCCGGCGCCAAATACTCGGGGGTACCACAGAGCGACGTGGCGCCACTGTCAATCTCCGTCACTTCATCCTTGGCCAGGCCAAAGTCGGCCAGCTTAATGTGCCCCATCTCATCCAGCAAAATGTTCTCGGGCTTGAGGTCACGGTAGACAACCCCGAGCGAGTGCAAGTGCTCGAGTGCGACCACGAGCTCCGCAGCGTAGAAGCGCGCCATCTCCTCGTCAAACTTGCCCATCCGCGAGAGATGGAAAAAGAGCTCTCCTCCTGGACAATAGTCTAGCACGAAAAAGAGCTTGGCTTCAGTCTGGAACGCATAATGGAGACCCACAATGAAGGGGTGACTCGCGACGCTGAGCACGCGTCGCTCCGTCTTGGTGTGCTCCACCTGTTTGCGCTTGAGCAAGTGGGACTTGGTCAGGATCTTCATGGCAAAGACCTTGCTATTGTTCTTCTTCCGCACGAGCGTGACCTTGCCAAACGAGCCTTTGCCAATCACGCGGATGAGCGTAAAGTCCTCGAGACAGATCTTGTCGTCAAAGTTCGTGCTCTGCACGAGCGCATTGAGCTCCTTGGCCAACGAGCCGCTGTCGGACACGACGCCAGCTTCCTTAGGGGTCGTCATGCTCTCTTGGTCTCAGTATACCTGTGGGTCGGTCAGGGGGTGGGCGGGTACAACTCTCTTTCTCTCTTTCCTTCTCTTTATGTGTATACCGCCGCACTATGAGTCTCTTGTCTCTCTGTTCGTCTGTCTGTTTCACTGCTACGAATGACACGAAAAGGTGACGAGTGGACGTCTTAAGTACGCACGAGTTAGCACAATCGAAAGTGACGGAAGAGATACAGGCACGTGTGTTTCGTATGTGGGTACAACGTGGCGATTTTTGGTGGCGTGAGGTGGGGCTTGCGACAAAGAGAGACAAGGAAAAGGACGACGGGACGACGCGTAAAAGAGACGCTTCTTTTTGTGCAGTCAGTCGTGCAGCTGGTGGCGCTTTTTCCGCCCTGGACGACGCAAGAGGAACAGGAGGAGAAGAAGAAGTAGCACTCGCAGCTAGTCGCACGTCGCTTGGTAGCAAGTACCGAATAAACAACTGCCCTCATGTTTGTACCGCGGAAACAGAGGCTACGGGAGATGTCGCCCCTCCTCTGCGGATCGTCCGCTCTCTCTCTCATTTCTGGCTCGATTGCGTAGACACAATACCATCCAACAGCATACAGCCTATCCGCGTTCGTGGACGGTACCCCATTTCTACACACCACTTCTACACACCATTTCGACACACCATTTCGACACACCATTTCTACACACCATTTCGACACACCATTTCTACATTCCATTTCTATACTGCATTTCTACACATCGACGAATCAACACGAGAGACCGGTGGCACATGGCGGACGAGCTCTTTGACGGCGCGTCCCCGAGCGCCCAGCACACGGTCCGCCCGCGCCCGTTCACGTGGGACGAGCGACGTCAACTGACCATTGACATCTCGAATTTGGCGCCACCGGACCTCGCAGGTGTGCTGCTTCTTATCCGCAATTACGTTAAAGTACTGGAGATGCACGAGCTCCTGCCATACAAACAGCGAGTACAGCCCTGGGACAGCCAGAAACAACCGAAAACGTGTATACAAGGGCACGATATACCAAGTCATGAAGCAGTGGGTGATTATCAATTGCAGTGCAACTTCCGACTGGATCACGCCGACGAAGAGCTCCTCCAGCAGCTCCGTCAGTACGTGGACGACTGTTACGTGCCCCACTTTGTATCTAAGGAGTGCTGCAGTATCTGTGAAGGGCTCTGGTCTTGTGGCCATGTACTTTACTGTGGGAACGACTCGTGTCCCGTGCGTGTGCACGAGGAATGCTTTGGCGTGGTCCTGAAAAAGCACGACAACGGACCGTGGCGCTGTCCCTCGTGTCTCCTCGGCAAGCAGCTGACGTGCGCCGTCTGTATGCAATCTGGAGGCCCGCTCAAGCCTGTAGCCATGTCGGAGGGGTCCTCTAGTGACGAGCAAAAGTGGGTTCATGTGATCTGTGCATTGGCTATCCCAGAACTTGTCATGAGAGATGTACCTAGTATGGAGCCAGTAGACGGCTTTGAAGAAATCGAAAATGGCAGGTTCCGCTATCTATGTGCGATCTGCCGCAAGCGGGGTGGTGCCTCGGTCATCTGTGAAGCAGAGACCTGCAATGTGGGCGTCCACCCGCAGTGTGCAGCTGATGCTGGACTCATGATTGGCAACGAGGCCAACTTGCTTGGTGTGTATTGTGACAAGCACTTGCCCGCATCGCGCATTCCAGGTGCCAAGCGCTGGATTAGTGACGAAGATCTAGTGGAGGAGATTATGAGTGAGTACTCGATCGACGAAGACTTCGACGATGATGAACTTGACACGCCACCGTACAGTGATGCCGAGCGATATGCTTTTGTACTCGAATCGACGCCGTACTTGTACATTAAACAGCATTTGCTAGGAGCTGCAGCAACGCTCCAGTTCGGCACGGCGGCTTGCAGGCCTGCAGCTTGTAATGCTTCAAGTGACATCACTCGTAAGATGTTCGCGGGTGCCAAGATTACTGCGAATGCTTACACCCCACCGGCTATGGTCGTCCAGGGAATGACTACACAGAGACCGCTGGTTTTTCCGCCACCAGACTTGACTGCGAACGAAGAGCGTGTGGGACTGCCCGAGTTTCCGAAAGGAAGACATGCTGTCGGAGCTATCTTGGACTTTCTAGTTAAGGCGCAGAATGAGTGGAAACGTGCGTGTGTGCTGCAATGGGACAGCAAGAAGAACATGCACCTGGTGCAGATTGTCGCGTCCGGGCAGAAACTTTGGGGCAAGCTGGACGCGGACAACTCGTTGATTTTGTATCTTCCAGACGAGGAGAACCTCGTGGATGGTCCAATTATAAAGCTCATTCGTCCAGTGACCTTGGGTTTGGTGCAGTGGCGTCCAAAGCCGCGCCAGTTTGCACGAGTATTATGAAGGACCTGTACGGGTTGACGTCGGTTATGCGGGAAGACAACAGGAGGACGATGAGCATGCAAAGAACGGAACAAAGATTTACGTGCATCGCGGAGGAGACACTTGCTGTGGCGGGGAAGGAGCCACTTGCAGCGCTGTCGGCGTATCAGCCAGCCGATCTTGACGCCTCCTTAGCCACGAGAATGGTGACCGTGTTCCCAAAATACGATTAAAACCTGAAGTGGAGCCGTGAAAGGGTTGCTTGAGATATTGGATACGCATTCTTTCTCACCTGTGTGCACAGCCTGCTTAGCGCTGAGGACCAGACAATAAGAATGGGGACGGATGAGCGGCTGGGAAAGAATTGAGCTGAGGGGATGGGAACAATCAATCAGATAGATGGATATTATGGATCGAATGGAGCCGACGTTTGGCATCTTCAGTGACAACCCTGCCTTCTTCGGCGACTGGCCTGTCGCCGAGAAACTGACGACGACGCCATAGTGTTCGAACCTCCCGTCGCGCAAAGCCAAGAACGACGTCGAGCGAGGTGGCCAGTGTTCTCTCCGTGTTTGGACAGCTTTAGGACGATTGCACCACCACCACTCCGTATCGCCTCAGTATGCAGGACAACATCGACCAAAGCTCGCTCGCTGGCATTTAAAGCATGTCTTGACTTCAACCAGTGCTCCATCTGTAACATTGGCGTCTCAACGAGCACCTACCGGTACTTTTCTGCTACCATCACCCCTTTCGTCGTGCAGTACTTCCAATGAGGGGTTCCTAGTCCACGAGTCAGCGGAGACATCTCACCGCACATTCGCATGAACCTGCGACACCTGTCAACCACATATCCATCAAGCGTTTGCAGCTTCGCAACGGTGTTCAGTTACCATTTTTCGACACAGGTCCAAGAGCATGCAAGAAGAGCCCAAGAACGAGATCTCTCCCTGCCAAAGCACGAGCAGCGTCGAGCTCAGTAGTCACCCCTTGTTTGCCATGGTGTGTGCCAACAACGTGAATCGGAGTGCTGCTGCTCACGAGATCCTGAACGCCGCAGGGTTACGCGTCTGTTCATACGGTACCGGTCGTGCGGTGATGCTTGCCGATCCATCAAGCTTCGCACCACGCACGTTCGAGTTCTTGACGCCGTACTCGACTATTCGCAGCATCCTCGAGGAAGAGGACGCCACGTCGTTTACGGATAACGGCGTCCTGGGGCTCTTGGAGCGGGACATGTCGATCAAGCAGGCGCCCGAGCGCTGGCAAAACCTCAGCAATGAACAGCTCGTCGGTATCGACGTGGTCGTGTGTCTCGAGTATGCCGTATTTCTCCGAGTGCTCCAAGGTGGTGCTTTGCCTTGTCCTTCATCTTTGCTTGTGATCCACTGCTTGTAGTTCAAAAGGAGGTGTCCACGACGTGCGTCACTTGTTCATTAACCTACTGGTTGTTGTGGATGTTGTCGTCTTTAGATGTCCAGCGGAGGATGGAAAAGCATTTGCAGGTGAAGCAGCTTCATGTCGTTTGTATCGATACGGTTGATACGCCTGAAGAGGCAGTAGCTGGAGGCGAGCGGGTGCTGCAGTTGTGTTGTGAACTAAACGTCCCGTTGAAGGAGCTCACGGAGAAGTTCGTCGTGTCCGTGGTCAAGAAGTTTGAGAAGGAGCACGATCAGCAGTTGCAATATCTCGGACTGCACACGTAGTAGCAAGGCCGTCTCCACCTGCACAACCAAGAACAACCTTCACCCGTACGTCGTTCGGACTCCTGTGTGGAATTCTCCATCGCTGTCCGTTATGCCAGCGTCAGCATCCGTCATTGCAGCGTGGAGTAGAAGAAGACAGGGACCGGATGTTAGCTGGTAAACGACAAATACACGTTAACTCGACTTTTGATGCTGGACCTGGATGACTCGGACCGTCAAGGACGTGCCAGGGGGTTCGGCTCTCGACCTCCACGATCACTTGTGACTGCGACAATTCGGGTCTGCTCAGAATTTGAGACGATGCGGCCATTTCGGGAGGGGGGGGGGTGGGCATGTTTGTGAACCCCCGTACCTTGGACCACAGCTTCAGGTTGCATGAGGTACGTCCAGTACCTCGTCTACAGCATTACGAATGCCGTGCTGGTCTGGTAGACTGTCCACTTGATGGATGCCGGGATGTCACTTTGCATAATCATAGAGAACACAGTGGAAGGAACCGAACTAACATGCCGTGCTGGCAGCCTGACAACGCCCTGGTTGGAAATCCAGCGACCGATCGAGAAACGAGGCGATGTCACTCCCCGCTCGCTACTTTGTTGGTCGCTAGCGAGTTGTGGAGTTAGCAGATCAGTCCGAAGACGATCTCGTGCTAGTACGTAACAACACATTGGTGCCGTCAAATCGTCGACGACGACAACAGCAGCAGCAGCAGTAACATACGCCGAACAGCTCGTTGGTTTTCTAGCCGGTGTTCCACCTGGAGTCGGTTCTTCGATTCCGGATGTATGGAACGACGATCTCGACGGGAGGGAACATGCTGTCGGAGGGTCCTGCAAGTCCGAATGAACACAAGGAGGAAGCTACTGCTGCTACGTACTGCCAACCGACGGTTTCCAGCGCCGCTTTGACGGCCACCCTCAGTGTATCTTTGCTGTAAGCTCACAGAAGGAAGGCAGACATTGCACGACCTCGCACCGTCGTTGGTGGCCCGCAGCAACTCGATGACGCCGTGGCGTCGAATAGTAGCGTCGATCTCTCTCTCCGTAAACACAGTCGACAGCGATGGCTTACGCCCCTGGTTGCAGTTGCGCCGGCCACGGCTCCAACGACCAGGTCGACGTACAGAGCCGCTCCAGCACGTGAACAGCAACAGCAAGAGAGTCAGCCGCGCGTTCCTTCGGCTGCTGCTGCTGCGGTCGAGATGAGCAGGGCCGGTGCTCCAACCCGGTTGCGTCCCGCTTCGTCTCTGTTCGCTTCTGCTCCTGCACTGCCACCCGCAACAGCGCCGCCTGGTTTGACCGACCAGGCTTTACCCCATTCAAAATGTCGTGGCTGACATCCGTCAATCCCCTGTCTGTCTGGCTGGCTGGCTGGCAGGAACCCACCCCCTCCTCCTTCTTCTCGGCAGCCGGCCAAGCTGCTACGATCCCGAGTCAAAGATGATGACCAGCTCTCTCTCTCTCTCTCGCTCTCACTCCTGATCCAGTCATCACCCGTGTCCATTGTTGCCATCATACCTGAAGCTTCTAGACCGCCTTCTCAACACATACAAACGACGCAACAAACACACGTTCCGTCGTCGTCTTCGTGACCGCCACCTCAATTCATCGATCGATCGAGCAATCGGTCGGTCGGTCGGTCGGTCGGTCAGTTTACGGGTTCACGAACTTCATACAGACCGACAGACAGACAGACCGACAGACAGACGGTCCGTCCGTCCGTCACTGTATCAACTTTCGTCGCTCGATCGCTTTTCGTCTGTCGGGTCAGCTGGAGCTCCCCACATTGCAATCCGAGAGCTACGTTTGACAAGAGAGACTCGATCCCATCCCATCCCACCCGGTCCCATCCCATCCCGTCAATTGTCAAGCGCTCGCCTCCCTCGTCATGCCGCCCGAGTCCCATCAGCGCGTCCGTCGACAGCGCAGTCCCACGCGGGGGCAGTCACGGCCGCGTCCCCGTCCCGGTCGGTCCCCATCCCGACCTCGTCACGACAACGACGTGGGACCCCGCAAGCGTTCGGATCCCCTGGACGACCAGCGCTCCCGAGCGCGTCACAGGCAACAAGAGGCACCTCCTGTACGTGCGAAGTCCCGTCCCCCACCCTCGGGTTTAGGCTCCGGAGACGGTCGGGGACCGCCGACCAGTGCGAAGCGTCCCCGGGTCCGCTTCAGCGTGATCGAGTCCGAAGGGGCCGCGGGATTGCTCTCGGCCAAAGCCACGTACAGCGGTCTCTTGCGGAAACAAGCGGACAACCAGCCAGGAGCGTGGAACGAGTACTACTTCGTGGTCAAGCCCTTGACGTACTTGTTGTATTACAACTCCAAGGACGACGAGACGCCCCGGGGGATCATTGACCTCGAGTACTTGTCCGACGTGAAGCGCAATGCCGACTGCTTGCAACGGGCAGTGGGGGCCCGGGACAATTGTTTTCGGGTTTCAGGCAAACTCCCGCGACCCACTGCTGAGCAAACGGCGTCCGGGGACGTTCCGAAGATGCGTCCCTTATTCCTCGATGCGAGGGACGACGACGATGCGCTGGAGTGGATGCAAGCGATTCGCAACCATCGGTTTAGTCTCAAGAAAGACCAGCAGTTTGCCGAGGTGATGCTGGAATTGCGGGACGTTCGGCTGAAAGTCGAGCTACTTGAGGCAGCGCAGCAAGAGGAGAGGAGGATGACAAAGGCATTGCGGGTGAAAGCCAAGACGCTGTTGCAGAAAATGCGGGCAGTGGAGGGGGGCAGCAGCTTGGACGATGTGGTGGAGGCTGATGAGCTTGGGTTGGATGACACGGCGGATGAGATGCTGGCGATGCTGGAAGGTATGGAAGATGTGCTGGTGAATCTACAGATGCAGCTCAGTCACCAGAAGCAGCAGGAGGTCACGTCCAAGAAAGGTGATAAGGCAGGCCCGACTCGTCGAGGCTTTACGCAAGTAATTCAGCGTGCAGTGACGAGGCGGGAGGTCACTGGCCAGGTAGAAGAAGTACCGGAAGACGATGGAGAGGAGACGCTTGCTGCTATTCGGAACCGAAGACAGCGCAAGCTTCCTGATCCTGTGCCAGTGATTCAGGAGGAGCATAAGGTCAAAGCAAAGGAGAAGACTGTGGAAAAAGGGAAGAGCGAGAGCTCTCGCGAGAAGCTCAAGGAAAAGCTGAAGGCAAATGCTCGAGAGGAGCCAGCAGCAGCAGTTGTGGACAATGTCTCGGATGTGCTTGCGATGTGGAAAGCAAAAAAGAAGAGCTCGTCGAACACCAAGCAGGCAGTGTTCGAGGATGATGTTGACAGGTCAGGTAAAAACAGCAACCCGAGCTCTACACGAGGCATGCCAACCACACTGGAGACGAGCTTGACGTCAATCCCAACGAGTCGAGGCAGTGAGCGATTGTCGGAAGAAGACACGGCATCTCTGGATTCGACCGATGAGCATGATATCGAAGAGAGGCTTCCTCCTGGCTGGACCAAGCACGAAAGCCGCGGGTACCCTGGCACGTATTACTACGCCAATGAAGATGGCAAGGTGAGCTGGGAGGTGCCAACAGTTGACATGGATGGCAGCAAAAGTGATGGCTACAGCGATCGTGACGACCGTAGCGAATCCGGCACCGACAAGGACGAGAATGCCGTAGTGGTGGGGAGCGAATACGAACACCGTAATAGCTACACTGACACCCACAGCGAGGAAGACGAGGTCGACGTCGTTTATCCCGAGACGACCGTTGATGTGAGTCCTGAGTGCCAAAGCGAGCAAGAGACGGATGATGCCACTGCCGGTGGAACGACGTCAGCTGCGTACCGGAAGTTGAAGCCGAAACCCAAGTCTGCCTGGGCGTTCAAGCTGCCAAAGCTGCTGCCGACCACAACCCAGGTAGCTCCACCCGAAGTGACCTCGTCGTCCCCCATTCTCCGCGGTGCCAACCACCACGAGTTTTAATGCTGCAGTCGCGCTCTCTCTCTCTCTCTGTCTGTCCCGCTGCGTCGGTTGCTCTGTCGACCTCACCCATAACCAAGTAATGAACATCTAGTCCACTCACCCACTCACCCACCCACCTTCATCTCTGTGTATTATCAAGTTTAGTGGCTGCATTTGTACCCACCAACTAGAAGATTGAACGCCCAGTGTGTGTCCATCTCTCTGTAGCTCGTTTTCCGTCCTGATCCACTGTCGATTGTGTGGCCGCATGCGATTTTCCCATACAGTCATAGCTGTCGCCCCTCCTCTGCTTTTATTCGAGGTCTAGAGTTTGCGGCGCTCTTCAGCTGGGAACTTGATGTGGTTCGCCCTCGAATACAGCGCCAATGGAGCGGCCACTGCAGCCAACACGACGATCGCCAAGCCCGTCTTGCGCTGCCATTTGTCCGTCTTGGCCCACCAGCCGCCAGCGGGAGACCACGTGTACTTGGGATACGGATATTCACTGCCGCTCATGTCGAATACTGGCTTTAGGAAGAGGGCGTGAAGGCTGCGGCAAGACGAAAAAACCTCGGGATGTGACCCGCGTCCCCCCCCCAATTGCGTTCTGTCGAATAAACCCGCACCAAGATATTCCCCTCGAGAAAATCATGCTCCGCAGCCGGTGGTATTCCCCTCTCATCTAGAATAAACCACTCTCACCACCACCCCACACACAAAAAAGGAGACACCCGTAACCATTCATACCCCCCGCGCCCACCGCCTCCCCTCGACCCACAATTGACCCATTTCGACACCCCACTTGCCGCACTCTCGTCCCAAAACCGATCCAAATACCGCCATCCACCGGTTTCCACCTCCTCGCAGCCACCCAATCCCTCACCTCCCTCCCGTCACATGAGCAGCCACGACGACGACGAGACGACGGCAGCGGCGGCGGCGCCAGGCGTGAGCGTCCCGCCCGACGCGCAGTTCGACCTCACGAACCGCCTCGCGCCCTTCATGGACCTGCACTTCATGTTCCCGCTGATCGATTTCCTCTCGAGCTGCGAGCTGTACGACGAGCCGACGCTCATGGCCGCCAAGTTGGCGCTTCTGAAGCCCACGAACATGGCGGACTTTGCCGTGGAGATCCACCAGACGCTGCACAAGACCGACGAGGTCCCGCAGGAGTTTGACACGCGGCGGAGCGAGATTCTCGACGCGTTGAGCTTTGCCAAAACCGCCTGCCGTCCCATGCTGAGTCTCATTGAGAACGAGGAGAAGATCCTGCAGCTCCAGAGCGAGACGCTGCTTAATGCCAGCTACTTGGAGCAGCACGAGGGGGTACGCTCGTGATTTCGGAGCTTTTTTGGCTCGGTTGGAGCTCTTTTAAGCTCAATTTGGGCTCTTTTGAGCTCTTCTAGGCTCAATTTGTGCTCTTCTGGCTCGGTTGGAGCTCTTCTGGGCTCGGTTGGAGCTCTTTTGGAGGTGATTACCGTGCTGAGTGCTGACTCTTTTTTTGCGTATGGGTGTGTGTGTGCGTAGATTACGCCGGCGGTGTTGGACGGACTGTACAAGTACGCGAAGCTGCAGTACGAGTGCGGCAATTACCAGGATTGTCTCACGTACTTGACGTACTATGGCGTGCTCATTCCCAACTCGTCCGAGCAGTATTTGAACGCGCTGTGGGGCAAACTCGCGGCTGAGATCCTGATTTTCCGCTGGGACGACGCGCTCGCTGACATTTCTCGGATCAGCGACGTCATTGAAAGCAGCGTACGTGACTCTGTTGCTCTGCATTCTGACGTTGACTTGCAGGCTCTTGTGCTCATGAGCTGTCGTTCTTGTTGGTCGTGTGTTTCCTGTTCTGCTGATGATAGACGGTCATGAGTCCTGTCGAGCAGCTGCAGCAGCGTACGTGGCTGTTGCACTGGTCGCTCTTTGTGCTCGCGTGGCATGAAGAAGGTCGCGATGCAATCGTCGACTTTATGTTGCAGTCGCGATGTGTAGAGGCGATCCAGAGCAATGCACCGTGGCTGCTGCGCTACCTCTGCGCCGGCGTCATCTTACACAAGCGTCGACGAAACCTCATTAAAGACCTGCTCCGCGTGCTGCGCGTCGACGACAGGGGCTACCGTGACCCGATCGTGGATTTTGTTGAGTGCTTGTTCATCAACTTTGACTTTGAATCCGCGCAGGAGAAGCTGCGCGAGTGCGAAGTGGTGCTGGCCAGTGACTTTTTCCTCTACGAGAAGAACTCGACGGACTTCATGGAAGCTGCACGTCTCGCCATCTTTGAGATGTACTGCCGCGTGCATCGCACCATTGACATGAATGCGCTATCGTCGAAGCTGGCAATGCAGGAGGATGGCGAAGCCGAGAAGTGGATCGTGAACCTCATCAGTAATGCTCGCCTTGATGCCAAGATTGACTCCCAAGAAGGACGGATTGTCATGGGCACGCCGCAGAACTCGGTGCATCGTCTCGTGGTCGACAAGACTCGCGATCTTGCAGCGCGGACCTGTAGCATGGTGGCGCAGTTCGAGCGTATGGGCAAGCGGAAGACCTACCAGTGAGTCTAACGACTGCGTAGGTGCTGGACTGAGTTGCAAGACAAGCTTGAGGTCTGTCATGGGCGAAAGAGGCGTGGCGACCGAGCATGGGTCGGACAACCATGCAAGTAGCAGCTGCAGTTCGACCAAGTCCGCGGCTGCAGTACGAGGGACGCGGTGGTGAAGGATCAGAGCAAGTGAGACCGAGAACTGAATATATAGTGAACGAGTGCGTGTTGTTCTCGAGGTTCCTGCTCCGTCTGTTGGTTCCGCTGCATCGTCAGACTTGGTGCTGCTGACATGCAGATCGTCTCGATACTTTCCAGATTCTGGAATTGCTTGGTAGTGCGTAAGGTTGTCTTATGCTTCCCGATGAAGGTTGCTACAAAGATGCAGTCACGTCGAGGACATTGGCATAGGGTCAATGGCATAGATCACTTGGACGCTCGAGTTGCAAACAACAATGTATAACACGCGCTCCACTTCCAGCGCGTGAGAGCCCTCCTGCCTTCATAGCCGCGCGCTGTACTGCTGCAGCAAAAGATCCGCAAACGGCTGCAGCTTCATGGCCATTTTGAGGTTGCCCTGCAGGCGCAGCTTCTTCCGAATAAGTGCCTGCTGCATCCGCAGTCGACCTGCCGCCAAATCCAGAAAGTCTTGCTCGTCCATGTGAATCTGGAGATCAGGTGCCAACCGCGGATCGCTCCCTTCGATTAAAATGCCTTTGCCATTCAACAACGATATCGTCCAGACCTCCTTGTTGATGTGCCATTCGAGCACGCCCGAAATCTGCTTACTGAGAGCCTGTCCCTTTTCCTGCAGTGTAGCTCGCAGTCGATTGAAGACCTCGGCACACTCGATGGAACGCGAGGTAGTCAGAGATTTGGGCGGTGCCGTCGCGTTGCGCATCATGGGCTCGAACGAGTCCTGTGTGGACGTCGGATGGGTCACACGGCTAAAATCCACTACACCTCGCCATTGCTCGGCCACGAGCTCAGGCGTAAACTGCGTGGAGTCTGTGGGGAAGCCAACACCATGCGTGCGCTGCAGACGAAGAGCGCCAACCCAACCTCCACCCAGTTCAAACAGCTCACCGTTGTCTTTGCACGACGGGTGACACAAGTACACAATGATTGGCGACGTCAACTCGGGCGTCAGCTTGGCGTACACATCGTCGGGCCACACTGGCTGGGTAAGGCGCGTGCCAGCCACAGGAGACACAGCATTCACGGCAATGTTGTACTTGGCACCTGCTCACAGGGAGAGAACCACCGCTCAAATAATAGTGTAAGCCGTCGACGTCCAGCACTCCATCTCACCTTTTAAACACAATCAGGCAGGAACAGACCTTCCTGATTGAGGGCCACAGTAAAGCCCACGAGCCCCATTTTCATAGCAGCGTAGTTCACCTGCCCAAAGTTGCCATAAAGGCCAGCACCAGACACGCAATTGAGAATCCGGCCGTACTTTTGCTGCCGCATGATACTCCACACGGCCTGCGTCACGCGAAAAGTTCCCAGCAAACTTGAACGATAGACGTCGTCCCTATATCAGCAATAAAAGGCCAACAACAGACGTCAGCAATCCACACTCAATTACTTTGTTTGTCCACCAGCTAGTCAGCTTCTTCTTCAACAAGTCCTCTCTTTCTCCCTCTCTCTCTTGTTATAATATGTACCAGTTCTTCTCCGTCATCTTGCGAAATGATCCGTCACGGATAACGGTAGCATTCTACAGCACGACAACCACAGTTAGTCTTACAATCCCTTGACAGCGAGACGAGTGACTACCACTTCTGCCACGACTAAAACTACCACTACTACTACTACTACTACACTACTTCACGACGGCGACGACGACTATTTCTGTGACTACCGTTTCTATGACTACCCCACATAGAAACGATCAACGACTCAACCGATCTTATCGTCCATACATTTATCAAGATGTCCACGCGCTTGAAATGCTCCATAGCCGTCTTCACGATCGCAGCGCCGTCCGTCACGCAGTGAAAGTCGCCCACGGCGACACCGCCACGACTACAAATGGACTGCACAACAGCCTCCACCAATGACCGGTCGACGTCATTGTCGTTCACGACAACACGGACTCCTCGAGACGCGAGCGCCTGTGCCCACGCGCGGCCGAGTCCACGACCGGCGCCCGTCACGATCGCCACGTGCGCAGAGCTCCCGTTCCCGAACGACAGCATTTTTTTTAATATAAGTTCGTGGTTCTTCCAATAATAATAATTATTATTTTTATTCATTGTGGTGATTTCGTTTCTATCCTTTAGAAACGCACTTTGACGTGGCCAACATCAAAGTGCCCTCCGTCAGTCCCGTCAGTCGCACGTCGCTCACGTCGCTCACGTTGTGCTACTTCAGGACGTACCGCGACATTACGCAGCTGCTACTTGCTTGCAAATGGCCGCGATCATCACGGCCGAGTTCGGACCTGACTGTGATCTGTATAAAGCGCTGGGAGTAGAGCGCTCGGCCTCGGACAAGGCGATCACGCGGGCATACCGGAAGCTCGCGCTGAAATACGTACAGTTGTCTCTCTTTCTCTCTCATTCTCTTCTTATCTATAGTATCACTATCTGGGATCATGTGTTTGTAGTAAAATGTTTTTATTACTACTTTAATTACTATATTTACTGCTGATCTTGCCAGCAGCCGCTCTCATTGTCTTCACTGATCAGATGTGAACCACTTGTGCCTTGTTATTGCAGCATCCAGACAAGCAGAAAGGCGATGAAGCTTCACGCGCCAAGGCCACTGCCACATTCCAGGCTGTGAGTGCGATCCACTCGATCCTCAGCAATAAAGACACGCGTGCAGCCTACGACGAGTCAGGCACGATCCAATTTGATGATTACGATGAGACCTCCCCCTCGTTCCAGATCTGGACGCAGTACTTTGCCCGTGTCTTTCCAAAAGTCTCGGAAGAAGAGATTCGTCGGTTCGAAGGGGAGTACCGGTACTCAGATGAGGAGAGACGGGACGTGCTAGCAGCTTATGTGAAGTACAAGGGAGAGATGCCGCACATTCTGGACACGATCATGTTGTCCACGGACGACGATGAAGCGCGTTTTGTGGAAATGATTGAAAAAGCTGTTGAAAACAAGGAGGTACGGGTCGTCTATTGGGCTACCAATCGAGTGTTGGAAGGTGGGGGTAATGGATAGTGATACTTTTGCTTGGTGAAATAGGTCGAGACCTTTCCGGTATGGCGAGAATATGTGAAGAAGCAGTCAATGGAGAAGAAGGAGAAAAAGACGAACAAACCATCAGCAGCGCAAAAGCGGAAGCAAACGAAGCGCGAGAAAGAAGCACGCGAGGCTGAAGCATTGTATCGCAAGATCCGAGGCAATGAGCAGAAGCAGGACCCTGACACCAATTCTATTGTTTTACCCAGCAAGCGCGGGATGGACTCGTTGCTTGAAAGTTTGACAGCCAAGTATGCTAAAAAGGGCAAGGACGCCACGAAAAAGGCGGCAACGAAAGGTCCGGGCGAACCAAGTGAGGACGAGTTTCATGCTGCCCAGAAGCGGCTGAAAGGTCGCAGGAACGAATGAGCGTCAATGTTTGTGTAACGTTATAAACGTGAAAGCTCAGCAGCGTCCATCCGAGCGATTCATTGTATTATGATACCAGCCGCGTCTGCCGTAGTCCGCTGTAGCCTTTGCGTATCGTCCTCCAAGCTCGATGAAACTTGTGACATGCGAGCGCCCGACCGACAGTTGCGCTCACTCCCACAGCGACTGGAAACGACGCCCCATTTTCAGTCAACGTCCACGTGCTGGACACGTACTGGTCTTGATGCACCTCAACCAGCATATACGAGCAGCGCACCTTCTACATGCAAACCGACGTGCTCGTTATAGTCACGTGCCTGGCGGCCGACGTGGGCAAAGGCATGCTAAACTCGGTGTAAGTTCTCGACCTTGAACTGCATGTGAGTGCAATGTCATGTGCTAACTTGACTGACGTTATTGTTCTCAGTACGACCACTTCAAGCTCCACGAGCTACTTTGATTCCGAGTGACAGGCAAGCACAATGTCGAGTACATGGATGGGTGATGACACTTGCCAAGCTGTTTTGCTACCTCAGCAAACCTTTGATTGAGCACATGCTCACAAGCTGCGTGACGTATTCCCATGCCACTTTGCATCACCATGCCATGGCGTTGATAAAGATCACGACTGCACCAGCGGGATCGATGTACCAAGCATTTGGCTTGACAGCCGCGATGATGTAAGCTGTCTGGGGTTGCATAGCATGTCATTGAAGCTGTTCCGGTGAACAACTTCAATTGCACCTGATACCGCTGACTTGAGAATCCAGGCCGAGTGGAGCATGCGTTCCATCTCCGTGATCATCGTGATAACTGCAGTGATAACACCAGCGGCCTTATCGTGAGGTGGCTCTGGCTTACTCGATAAGAAATGGCGGATGGACTTCTCGGCTGCTTTGTGGATGAAGACGAACGACGTCAGAACAATCACAGTGGCTGCAACAGTGATCGCCACGGGCTCAAACCGCGGTGAACTGGACAGGTACTTTGCAAACCTCTTCTTCTTGTCTCGTTGGTTTCCAGCCTACCTTAGCAGACTCCGGACGAAAAGGTCCACGACATTCTTCACAAGTGCAAACACGAAGATGAGTGAATTGCTCGCCATGACTATGCTGATCGAAGTTGATGCAAAGTGACGACGTGAGCACCACAGCGGCGCGAACAGGGTTGTTCTCAGCGCATCACGCGCAAGCGCTGGTGGTGACAGTTGGAAATCAGTCAGGCTGTGCTTGACAGTAACGGAGGCTGAGCTACGTCTGACAGGTGCGATGCCCACGTACGTTTGCTATTTCGTTGGAAATAGAGTTGACGATACCCACTGCCGAACTGAAGTAATGTGCTTGATCGTTGAGAGGTCTCAAGTATTTTCCTCCGCATCATCGCTGGATTGTACATTTGTGCTTTGTACAATTCTTGCCAGCGGCAATGGTATCCGCGTCTGTTCGTATCCATGAACACTTTTCGGTTGAGCAGAACACGTGATTGAAAGCTTGATATAATGATTGACCAACTGTGTAATGGGGCAACCGAGCTGGGTGAAGTGGGGATACAGATCAGGTACCGTCAGATTGCTTTCATTCGGCTGCATCAGTATCGCTCTGCCCACACTACTCAAGATCTAAGAACTACAAGTGCTCGAGTCGATGTTTGTCCAGTAGACCACAAGTATATCTAGTCTCCACCCGAAGCGACTAGTAGACCAGAGGAGCGTGCTGACTGCTAAACAATCGTGTAGTATTGACGAAACCTGTCATGCTAGCTGGAAGGGATCAGGTGATCCTTGCGTGAAACCACTTACAAAGCATCAAGTAAGACATGAGGAATCGCTCACAAAGGACGGATCGGGTGGAAGCCGAAAGGACGTTCGTCTTCAGACACGGACTGTGGACGAAATCAACCGTGTTGATGGACCCGATCTTCGGCAATGCCACATTGTAGGTGTGATTCAACGGAAACAGCACCGCCACCAACCGATTCGTGGGGCAGCAACAACTACACATGCTGCTGTAGCTTGTCGACATTCAGTCTACGACAGGTCAAGCAGATGCCCAGCACCTGACTAGATGACTGACGAATCTAAGGCACTTTGCAGAATCACACTCGCTCAGCACAAAGGGTATCCAATTTCGCAAAGTGCTTTGCATCGCGCTTGATCCAGATCAAAGTCTGGGTCCCGGTCACGCCCCTTTGCCTGATACAAGAGGTTGACACTAGCATTGCCGCTAGGTAGTTTGCATCTCCGAACCACCGCGACGTCAATAAAACTTGACGAAATAAAGGTATCACGACGGCGTCGTGGACAAGCTTCACGCGAGATGCCACACTTGGTTGCACTGGTCACATCAAGTGTGAGCTGGTATGTGATAACCCATAATTCTGGTGCTAGTGGCGGGGACCAAACGGCTATTATCAATGAAGTCTGTGCGCTTTCAGGCTGTGCGGAACCCGGATAAATAACATCGTAAACGGAGCTCGTGGCGTCGGCGAGGCGTTTGACTTGTTGACCCTAACACTACAAGCACCGCTTTCGGTGGTATGCACGTTCATATATGTTGTAGGCAGGCACAGCAAATGATGGAAAGCTGCTACTTACGTGGTTATGTCAAGCCTGAAGAGCTCACGAGGCGATGCAACCTCATTAGTGCACTCTTAAATGATGCATTTCACAGGTTACAGCAGAAATCACCGTTTACGAAGGCTCGTGCTAGACGTAACGTGTATTGCATACACAGGTGGACTTTAGAAGACAAGGCTATCCTGTCTTGCGCTTTCTCTACGATTGGCCAAAAGTTGCACACATATTATTGACCTGTCATCAAATACGCACGTGAAAGGCTGGAGGATGAGTGAAGCTGCTCCCGTTCATGACCCGCGCGAGCCGCGCTTCCCCGTGATCGTGAAGCATCCGGGCTTCGAGGATGTGAAGGCTAACTTCAACGCGGGTGATTACTCGCGGTGGTTGAGCATCAGCGCCTTCTCGCTCCCTGCTGGTTACATTTTCGGTGCGTCTGGGGGTCGTCTATGCAGCATTATAACCTCAACTAATGAGTATGCTCATTTTTATGCTGTATCTGCAGGATTGAAACTGCACCGTCACGTGGCTGTGCCGTCCATGGTGGTTACGGGCGTGCTGGGTTCGCTCGGAGGCTTTTTGTGGGCCTTTCAGAACTCGTCGTTCCGTCTACAGGGTTACAAGGCCAACCCGATGGAGGTCAAGCAGTACATCACCAGCAAGGACGGTTGAGGCGTTACTATCTTCACGGGTAGCTGAGTCTCCATAACCTGTAGCAGTTCGTTTATGGTAGGATCAGCGGGAGTGGGTGACCAGGCGTTACACGTTTGTTTCGTGAAAAGAGCCATAAAAATATAGGATACGAAGGTCTTGTGCACAGGATAACACTTGGCCTTGGATGTCAAAAACAGCATAATCGCGTGTATGCATAGCAAACGACAATAACGCTGCGTTATTGGCTGTTTCGTGGCGTGTTTTGAACCAGTCTTGACTTTTTAGGTCCGGATCCAATATTACAGATTCAATGGACCCCTTCATATCGTCACTTTGCGCCGTCTGAAGTAACACACCTTGGCCAATCACCTCTCCCTCTGACACAAGTGCTTGCTCACCAGCCATTCGCTCATTTTCCTCGACAGCACAATGGAGCACGTTGACCAGGTACCTTTTGTCCCGTATACACTCTGTGCCTGCGCGCTTCACGATGAGTAGCAAAGGACGCTGCAGCACTTGGCTCATGACTGGAGACTGATTGGTGGGCGGTAAGGCAGATAGCAAGTGAAAGAGGGAAATTTACGAGACGTCTAAGTGCGTCTTCTCGCTGTGGCGGTGGGAGCTGAGCCAATGATAGGCTAGTGTCTCTCTGGAGTCTTTTGCAAGAGGGGCATTGACATCCAGAGAAGAGCTGAAGGAACTGGCTAGCTAGTTGGTTGGGGTGATGGCCCACCAAGGCTGTAATCCACACACAATCGCGCTCTTTATTGAGTGATTGTGAGTCAAAGCAGGAAGAGGGAGATAGAGATGGGGAGAAGGTCGTCTTTGGCTGCAGAGTCTCCTTGTCTTTTGTAGCTGGTGGCAGCCTCTTTTCTTTGCTCTCTTTTCTCTGCTGAGACTGCGAGACCCTGAATTATTGAAACGTTTTTCATCCGACTCATCATCGGCAGGACCCTTTAGATCTCTTCTACTGAGGTTCACACTAAAGCTGTCTGCTTGCTGTGCCTGCCATGGCAGTCATTGGCAAGAAGGCAGATGGGCGCTTTTGTTCTCACGCCACTTTCCTTGGTGTTTCTTGAGCTTTGTGAGACTCACTGATTGTTATTGTTGATTACCGTGTGCAGACTGAGAAAGCTTACCAGAAGCAGCAGGGCGTCTTCCTTGCCAGCAAGAAGTTTGCCGGGAAGAAGAAAGGCCCTCGCTTCTACAAGGAGGTGGGTCTGGGTTTCAAGACCCCGAAAAGCGCCATCGAAGGTCAGTACGTGGACAAGAAGTGCCCGTTCACTGGCAACATCTCGATCCGTGGCCGTATCCTCAAGGGTGTCGTGCTGTCGACCAAGATGAAGCGCACGATTATCGTGCGTCGTGACTACCTGCACTTTGTCAAGAAGTACAAGCGTTTCGAGAAGCGTCACAAGAACGTGGCTGCGCACTTGTCGCCGTGTTTTCGCGTGAAGGAAGGTGACGTTGTCACGATCGGCCAGTGTCGCCCGCTTGCCAAGACGGTGCGTTTCAATGTGCTGGAAGTCGAACCTGCTTCGGAGACCAAGCCCATTAACGTGCGCAAGCAGTTCCGTCAGTTCTAAGCTCTCAAGTAGTCGATGCGGTTTGGAATCGTGTCTAGCGCGGGTAAAGCTAATACACCATCCGCTCTCCATCTGAGCGAGGACTCCGTCAGCTTATCGATTGGTTCATTTCGCCTATCTGGTGCTGTATGTGCAGAGTAATCGCTGTATTTTGATGACGGTTCGACTACTGATCGGTGTCGATACGATAGAGATGTGTCGTGCGTGACTCTCAAGCTTGGGAGGTAGGAAAATGCATATGGAAAGTGTCAGATCAATTGAATCTTACACGATTTTTTGGTCCTGTCGCCCTTTAAGGGTGTACAGCTCATACTGCTTTCGTCCTGATCAAGACTACGAGTCTTACATGGTGACAGCTGACTATCTGCACATTTACTTTGAACCAAGAGAACATAAACATAACCCGCCGTGATATGTGAGTTCCGTAATATAAATCAAGCATAGTGGAGGTCGGTACGTTGTGGTATGTTCTCATTGATTCACTACTAATCGAGTATTTCGTGACGTTTGATTACGTCACATCTTGGGCTACTATAAATAGTTGAGGTCTTTGTAAACCTCTTTCTAGACCTAATTTTGCTTGGATTTACCCAGGTTTGTTGGCATAAGTGCCATAAAGCAATTCCCGTACGGGGGCGTGCACACGATATCAACAAGTCTCATGCTACAATTACTAGCATGTTCATTTCGAGCACATCGCGAGCACGTTCCGCTCGATAGTATCGACCTAGGTGGATAAAGAAAGATGAAGCATGGATCTATACAATAATGTAAAGTTGTATGATTTTGCGCGTACTGCTCGTCATCGCGTTAAATGCGCTAACTGGGATGCATCATTCGTACATTTGACAAGCAATTCGCTGATGTGTACGGAGCGTCACTATTTCGTTTCTGTGGGTTTAGTAGACACTCGTTACTCTTGTACGTCCCGTAAACACTTACTTCACGACCACTTCAACCCAATCGATGCGTTGTTGACAAGCAAGACATAGAGGCAAAGTATACTAGAGATGATGTTATGATGCGTGTTGATTATCATCAAAACACCGCAGCAACACACGCCACACAAATACACCAGAGAAAGACATTACCAAACACAAATACACCAGAGAAAGACATTACCGAACACAAATACACCAGAAAAAGACATTACCGTGTCATTTCGTCCCATTGTAAAAAAAGATCATAATGTCGTCATAGCAGCCTAATAACTAATAAGAGGATAATAGCCGTCTCGAGGTCGACAATTCCAACCGCCACCTAAGCTGCACAAGCATAACCGACCTCACGTGCTCGCATGTCAAGTATCTACATCACTGAGCCCAACACAGAAGGCAAAGTGCTGCTGCACACGAGCTTCGGAGACCTGGACGTCGAGCTGTGGTCGCAACAAGCACCCAAGGCATGTCGCAACTTCTTGCAGCTCAGTCTAGAGGGGGTACGATCCGCTTTCTACGATCCCCTAGAATGTCCTGCCCAATCCCCATCTATAACCCCACAATGACAATCGGGCATATCTGTATGTACTGATATGTGTACCTGGGTATATGACAGTACTATGACCAGACGATATTCCACCGCATTGTGCCGGGTTTTATGCTGCAAGGAGGGGACCCCACCGGCACTGGCAATGGAGGAGAGAGCATTTACGGCGGTGCATTCATTGATGAGGTCCACTCGAGACTACGGTTTAATCACCGCGGACTTTTGGCAATGGCCAATGAGAACAAACCCAACTCGAATCACTCGCAGTTTTTCTTTACGCTGGACGCCTGCGACTTTCTGGACAAGAAGCACACTATCTTTGGCAAGGTACGAAGCGTGGAAAGGAGGAGGACCGTGAGACTGAAGGCAGTTGGGTGGTACTTACCCGAGTTTTGCGGTGCTTTTATGTGCTAGGTGACTGGCAATACCATTTTCAATCTGTTGAGTGTCGGAGATTTGGAAACAAATGAGCAGGACCGTCCCATCCATCCGCCGAAATTGTTGAGTGTTGAAGTGCTCTGGAATCCATTCGAGGACATTGTTCCACGGTACTTGGTGTTCGAAGCGTCGTGATGTGATACTGGATACAGTCTTGACGGTCTTTTGTGGTTGATGCGTTGAGTAGAGCTGTGAAGCGAGATGAGATGTCGAATGCGAATGATAGTCAGGAAAAGAACAAGCAAAAACGAAAAGCTACCAAGGATTTGAAGCTGCTCTCGTTTGGTGACGATGAGGAGGCTTTCCAAGAAGAAATTACCGGCAGTGCAAAGACGTTGAAGAAAAAAGCGAAGACGATGATGAGCAGTCACGACTTACTGGGTGATCAAAAACTCAAGGCGGAAGTGGATGCCAAGGTCTTACAGAAGGTTGCTGAGACTAATAGTGCAGCGACCAGCGAGGACAAGAAAGCTCGAGCGCGAGAAAAACTAAAAGCCGCCGTTGCAGCAGCTTCCAATAAGACTGACTCGAGCGAGAAAGGAAGAGATGCCAGCAATAATCTTGACACGACGAATGGCGACAAATTCTCTGCAAGCTCGAGTCGCCAAAAGATCGATCGAGGGGAGTATGCTCAATTGCGAGAAGTGCTGCGAAAGTCGAAGAAGGCGGTTCCGTTGCTAATGGGTGAAGAGGCGAAGAAGCTGGACGAAGGCAGAGCTTTCCAGGATATGCTTACCCCATTGCAACAGCAGCGACAGAAGTACTTACAGCGAAAGAAGTCGAGTAAGCGAAGTACGCGAGAGCAAGAAACACTCATGAAACTGAAGCGATTTCAGACGACGCTGATCAGCGTGAATAGTAAGAACACGAATCCGGCAAACGGTGCAGACGCCAAAAGTAATGAAACCAAGACGGACATCATCGAAAGCTACCATGGTCAAATCCTGGAAAAGGACGACGAACACGACGATACGAATGACGACAAGTCGTGGATGACTGCCAAGCTCAAGTTCAAGAAGCATATCGACGTGAGCTATTCCCATTGTATCGGCGTGTCGTCCCCTTCTGTTACAAGACAGTGCTAACAGTCTTGTATCGTTACGAATACCGCAGGATCAATTTCGTTCGGACCACGATCCTTCGGCAGATGTAAGGATCATGTGTTCTCGCTATGTTGACTGTCGACTGAGCTATTGTTATGCGTACGTACGTAGGACTACATGACAATCGACTCTCGCAATGAACGGAAGCAAAGGTCTTCTGGAGACTCAAGGAGAAACCGATCTCGAGACCGATCGCGAGGCAGTAATCGACATGGTCGCACCCGAGACGACGGCCGTGAATTCCGCCGTGACAAGAACCGCCATCAGGGTCGAAGGTAATGCCTGAACTCAGCTGCTATGGTCCCCCTGAGGATGAATTTGTCTATGATGCAATTCGATCAAGACGTCGATGTCGTAACGTATCTCCTACATCCAACGCCTCGTCGACTCGGCACAGGTAATCACAAACAACCTTCATTAGTTTGAAGTTGAGACTGACGCTAATAATTGATTCTGGCGTCGCTACAGTTCGAGTATCCACTTCCGAACCAGTTAAGCTTGTAACGCATTTACATTCTAACGATCAAGAACTTCTAGATCGATCACTTGTGTAAGGGCTTTGTCTTCGAAGATGTGCCAGGAATGCAAGTGCAAGCCCAATGTCAGCAGCATATATGTGATACGGAGACATTCTAATCGTCAGTGTAAATGCCAGCTGTCGAGATGTTCCAAGTCACTTCCTACCGCATAAATTGATTCTCGGACTGCGGCGTTTACACAAGAGCCGATGTTTGACAGCATTCCACTAATCTTCTCGTTGTGATCGATCCCGATGCGTATCATATCTTGAGACAAATAGCTCACTCGTTCACTTACGGGTGGGTACACACAATCCCCCTATCACAAACTGCAACACTGTAAAATAAAGCGACGCCAGCTCTAATTTACCAGCCGACAGATATCCCCTCGCGCGACTGACGTACATGTTTCTCATTCGAGACTAAATGCTACCTGCACTTTCTCGACGTCATCTCCATAGCCGACAGACAGTACGGGAAGCCGTAAACAAAATCCGCGAGTGTCTATCCCGCAACCCTATTCCCCCTTTGGTCTCTGACATTCCTGTGTCTGCTCGCAATGACGCCAAAGTACTGGTGGCCAACGCGCTGCAGCCCCGACTCGTACTTAGTAGCGACGTAGTTTTCCACGGAGCGCGAAAGGTGCGATCACAGAAAAAGTCGATTGATTTAAAATGCGGGTCAGGAACAAAAAGCAGCTAGTAGTTTTTATATTATGACATTTTGTTTTGCTTTTTTGCATCTTGCAGCTGACCGATCACGAGGCTGAACAGCTCAATCGTTCTGTGGAAAGGCGTGTCGCAGGTGAACCGGTGGCGTACATCATTGGCTGGAAAGAGTTTTGGTCCATGGAATTCGCAGTGACTCGAGACACGCTCATTCCACGCAGTGATAGTGAAGTGCTGCTGGAGACTTTAGTGGTGAGTAGTGACCACCAACTCACTGGACGAAAAGTGCTGCACCAATTGACTAACATTTGCTACTACTACGACTACGACTACTACTTCTGCATTGTGGTTGACGTTCTAGGCACAATATCACCCGCAGACACCACTGCACATCTTGGACATTGGGACCGGGTCTGGGTGTTTGCTACTCTCGGCGTTGTCCGAGTTCCCAAAAGCCACTGGAGTGGGCATTGACATTTCTCCCGGTGCACTTGACGTTGCAAGAAAAAACGCTCGCTCCCACAAATTAGACGGCCGAGCAGAGTTCCTGCTTCGAGACCTGCAGACGTTGCCAGAGCTTGAGACCGATGACAAAGTCATGTATCAACGTTTCGACGTGATATTGTGCAATCCCCCGTACATACCACATCGAGAACTGCATCTTGTGGGGCCAGACGTGCTCGCGTATGAACCTCACTTGGCATTGTTTTCTGGCGGTGCACCCTCATCTGGAGACTGTGGAATGGATCTGGATCCGCAGGGGTTGCGAATGTATGACTTTCTGCACAAGAGTGTTGGCAACCTCTTCAGAAGCCACGCAGAGACTGCATTAGCAGCAGAGGGGGGTCCAGAGCGACGCAAAAGACCAGAGAATCATACGAAGAAGAACTGTTTGCTGATGGAAATTGGCTCGATGGGTCAAGCGCAGGCAGTGCAGAAGCTGTTTGCTAGCACGGCAGATACTCAAAGTATACGAAGCGCGACCGGCGATCGATCACCTATAAAGTTTGACCGTTTTCTATTCGATGCAAGCGGGAAGTACCGCGGCTTGCTCTTTTCTTGAATCAAGCAAAGTGAAGTGTAACCTTGATACCAACAAGCTTGACATGGCGATGATGAACTGCTTGTTTGCGCGTAACTCTCGCGTGTTTCTGTGACACAATGTTGCTTGCGTCTATGTGAGTGTAGAACAAGGAGTTCGTCGCATTAGAAAGCAGAGCTGTCGATCTGCGTGTCGACAGCTTCACGACGATGTTCAAGTTTATGACCGGAAGGTTTGCAATGCAAGACATACCACTTTGTTCATGAGCGTCGGCTTCGATGCCCCCATTTACAAATGCCGATCGTTGTCAAATGTTGAAATCCGGACAAGGGTCCGTCAATACATGCTTCAGTGTGTTATCACCTCCACTGCATAAGCTCATGCTGCAAGGCAAATTGAGCTTCGACGCGCTGAGCTTCGAGTACTCGCGTCAATTCGATCTACACAGTTGAGAAACGAGAGAGAAGTGGTGATCTTAGGTGCATCCCTCAGGACGAAAACATCGGTGCAACCCTTACCTTCTTCTCATTGAGATAATGATACGCTTGCCAATGGGACTCCTGTAACGCTTCGACTTGAGAGATGCTCAAGCTGCCATTGGGCTCGAGCTCGTGATCACTGATTGAAGATGCAATGAGGAACTTCTCCACGTTGATCTCTAACTCAGCTGCAACGGGAAATGTTCGGTGAAAGCTCCTGTTCATCATCTCGTAGGAGATAGTCGATGTAGATTCCTGGCTGGCATCCTCGGATGCAGCAGTGGATGCTTTTGTCGTACGAGATGCAGGTTGACTGGCTAAAGAAGCTTTTTCCACTGTTGAAGTGATGACTGGTACTCCAGTGTGATCCGAACTCGCTTGCTCGACAGGAACCGTGGTGAACTCGAGAAATGTCTGCAGATTCTTCGTGGAGGTCAAGTCCGTTGGAATGGAATTGTGTGGACGACTTTTGCTCTGATGCATTGGCGGTGTGGCTTCAGTTTTCCCGTTGACCGTCTCCTTCCGGCCTGTATCGCACAACATCAGGAATTCAGGTAAACGCTGAGAAATCCCACACAGATACATGCCAACTCACGACTTTTCTTCGTAGCAACACATTGCCAGGTGCCGTCATCATCTCCAAAGCTTTCATCGACTCGAGCTGAATGGAGTTGCAAAGCAGTTTCCTTGCTGGCAGTTTCCAATGGAGGCGATTCACGCATGACCCTTGATGGACAGTCCTCCAGCTCTTGTGCTGTAGCACTTACCGATGACAAGATGCTGGTGAAAGACTTGGCTTTCGTCTTGTTCTTCTTCCTACGACTCTGGACTACAGCAGTCGATTCACCTGCTGCATCAGCCAGTGCCAAGCACAAGAGCTCTTGCTCCATCTCGGCGCTTCTTTCGGCAGCCGCTTTCTCGTGCTGAGTCCACTTTTCACTCAGCAAGACTTCCATCTGCACCGATGCCGGCCCTGACATCCGCTTGCACAAGTCCAAGGCTGTGTCCTTCGCTTTGTTTCGCACTGCAATGTCAAGATCTCGTGCATTGGCAAGAAGCGACTCAACTGCGCTGGAGTTTGTACTCCGCACGGCGAGATGCAGTGCCGTGTTACCCTCCACCTTCTCCACGACATTGGCATCTGCTTTGTGCGCAAGCAGAATGTCCACGATCCGAGCACTTTGCTCCATCCTCTTCTCAACGTTCGCTGCCCCAGAGCGAGGATCGTTGCCGACGCGTGCAGCGCACATGAGAGCAGTCAGTCCACTCGAGTTGACAATGCTTACGCTTGCCCCCATCTCAAGAAGTAGCTCCACAGCCCGGACGTTCTTCGCGACACACGCCATCATCAGCGCTGAGTCCACCAAGTACAACACAAGCACCGAACACGGCATCAGCTTCCCAACCACTCGAGGCAAAGTCGTCCAACCAGCAATAACCCACCAGTGTCGCCATGTACATTGGCCTGGTCCATGATCTTCTGCAGCTTCTGCTTCCGTTCTGGAGTCGCCGCTAGCGCTTCGATCACTTGTGTCTGAGCGCACCCAAGCAGAGACAAGCATCAGCATTTCCAAGCTCCGCTTGACACGGCCATCAAGCTACCACAACGCACATTCTTGGACATGGCTGAAAGATGCAGCACCGTCGTCCGATTCGTCGTTGTCGCACAGTCAAGTGCAGTTGTCCGGTCCATACAGAGCCCCACGAGATCGTCATGGCCTACCAGCTCAAGTGCATCAGGGACCTTCAACTGAGCAGACCAATTGCAACTAAACAGCAGCAGCTCACTCACCGCAGGCACAGACGCTCATGAGGACGGTCCAGCCGCTGTCATTAGGTCGATCGAACTCAATGTCCTTCTCGAGAAAGAACTTGACGCATTGCGCGTAGCCTGCAAACTCCACGACGCGATGGGCAAACGCTTGTGCCTTTGCCATCGACACGTTCAGCTGCTGCCAGGGACCAACCGATTTGTACTTGAATTTGTATCGACTTTTTAGTCGAGAGACGCTCTGTCTGTCCCCTGATGGCTGCTTTTGGGACTGTTCATGGATGAACTCGACTGGTTGACAGATGGCTACATGCCATTTGATTGGCTGGTGATGTTGAAGTGGACGTTCGAACGACATGGCTACAGTATTTCCTGGGGTTGTTGTTGTTGCTGTCGTACTGACCGGCGGGTTCAATCGACACCTGGACGGGTGGCAAAGGTTTATCAGGAGATATGGCACAAGGATAGCAGGGATGAAACCGGATCAACAAGCAAGCGAGTGATCTCCCTTTCATGGACCGGGAAGAAGGTTTCACGAGTGACTGTAGCGACTCAAGGCGCGATGTTCTCGGTAACGCATTGCAGTGACTTGACAAAACTCGACATGGAATATCGTGGATGCCTGATCGGTAAAATTGCAAGATGATGACACGGCAGCGGCGAAACGACGTGAGCACTTCGAGAGGATCTCTCATGACGACAGCAGATCAGAAAAGAGCTCGTCTTTGTCTGGGTCGACGTCGATATCGAGGACGGCAGGGCCAGTCGCACTCTTGGGACGGAGAACTACCAGGTGGATGGTGCCCGTGAGGATATCTCACATGCTAGGTATGAGTCACTTCGTTCAGCGCAAGCTCTTGCTGGATTAGGTAGCTGTGCGACCCGTTACAAGCTCGTAACTCCGAACGCAGTCAAGCGCTTGTAGTAGCCAGCAACACACATCCAGCCAAAGAGTCTGCGTTCGACACGAGATGCTTTGGACCATTCATCAAGTCATTCGAACATGGAGAATTTGCTGCTTGGACAAGCGGTTTGACTTCGAGGTGGCCTAGTTCTTGGGTGTCTGGGTGACGTCGGATGGCCGCACTGATTATAGCGGTGATCCAGTTGAGTGCCAGACAATCACTATGCAGAATGGCTGTCATACTGATTGGCATTCTGCATAGCCTATCTTTATAGTGGTCAACAAGAAGATACGCTGACAACGGTGAGTGGCAGTCCAGTCATTCCGATCCTACTGCCCGCGATCTTGGCTACAATCGATATCACGATGATCGACAAGGATTCTAGCAATGCAAGTCGATCACGACATGAGCTTGCAAGGGTGACCATCATCCTTCTTCGACCTTGAGCGCAAGCGACTTTCCCAACCCGACAGACCTATCGCATTCACCAAGCAGCTCAGACCATTCGGACAACATCCGTTACCAAGAGTCATATTGCGTGTATTCGTCAGCCGTATCGCCCTTACATAGCCTGCACGTTTCAACCGTGTGCTTGAATCCAATGAGCTCGAGCATGATCCACTCATGCCGAGCAAAGACTGCAGCTCACTCGCGCTTGCAACGTAAACTAAAACTCCGACTTTTTCGTATGAATCAGCAAGCATTAGGCGCTCGATGGTGGTCCATAAATCGACCGTGGTGATGGTGCACCCATGCTTCCAGGTCCCGGCAGTCCCCTAAAGTCCATCCCTCCCATCATTGGAGGCCCACGTGGAGGAGGTCCTGTGTACACAAGAACCCATCAACAACTTCCAACTCAGCACACTTCTATTCATCAACCCTCTGCGTCAATTTCGATATCTAGAGCTCACCTCGAAACATGGGTGGTCGTATCCCTGGAGGAGGCATCAGACCTCGAGGAGGGCCACCCCGAGGTGGATACCCACCGGGCATTCCACCATTATGGAGTCCACTGGGTCGAGGGGGTAAAGAGCCAGTCGGCATGGGTCCGCGCAACCACTCACCCGCTGTGGCCACACCGAAACAGCACACAAACGTACATGTACACAAAGGAGCAGGGTCAGTACTCGAGGTTCAAATAAATGCCCGATCGATCGACCGCAATGTGCAGCACAACATACGCGTCATAACGACACCCTGGCCGGCCAGAAACTGTTCATAGTAGAGCTTGACGTTTTCACGATGTTTCCAGCCGCGATTGTGCTGCTTGCGTCCTGCTTGCTACAGAGAGAACAACCATACCCATAACAATAATAACAATGATAACAATGATAACAATAACAATAGCAAGTTCAGCGATAACAACAACAATATCAGCAATAATAATGACAAATCACAACAATATCAGCAATAACAATAACAAGGAAGAGATACAGAGGGAGGACGACAGACAGATAGACAGAGCCACATAAACGAAGTCGTTGTCAGTTCGATGCATGCCAGCAGCAGGTCCGTCTACAGTAAACTAGAAACGTCCTAACGAGAGACCTACCGAGTCATGCGTGAGGTACGTGTCGCAATAATCGCAATAGTAGCGCGGCATATTGACGCTCGCCGTCCAGTCTCGAAACCTCAATTTTCACTTTACCGCAGTCTCTCCAGGACGCCCAAAATATTGTGTACCACATCCACACGATCAAAACACTAACACAATACAATACAAATCCATCCGTCTATCCGTCCGTCAGTTACCGTTTCTAACCGTCGACTGATCGACCATCTGTCCATCGTCCGTGTCGTCCCTTTTTATGCATGCAAATCAAACACCCACGAGCGCTCGCGATCATTCGTTCTTCCCTTCGAATCGTTAACCGACGAGCCTGGACTCGCCGCCCGTGCTGTCTCCCAGCAGCTCGTTCGCTCCGCTTCTTCACTCCGTTGCACCACTTGGCCCAGCTCTCCACCATGTCGACTCCCGAGCGCGATTCCAAGCAGTGGTTCAGTGAGACTGAAGCCATGTGGCCTGGTCAGAAGTTCTCGCTCGAGATCGACCACGTTTTGTTCCAAGGCAAGTCCGACTTCCAGGACGTGCTCGTATTCCAGTCGGCTACATACGGCAACGTGCTCGTGCTGGACGGCGTGATCCAGCTCACCGAGCGCGACGAGTTCGCGTACCAGGAAATGATCACGCACCTGCCCCTGTTTGCCCATAATCAACCCAAGCGCGTGCTCATTGTCGGTGGTGGAGATGGCGGCGTGCTACGGGAAGTCACCAAGCACGACTGTGTCCAGGAGATCGTCATGTGCGAGATTGACTCGATGGTGTGCGACGTGTCGAAGAAGTTCTTCAAACACACGGTCGCCACGGCCTTTGACGACCCCCGGGTCACGCTGCTGCACGCAGATGCTGCTGTGTACTTGAAAGAGCACACGTCGGACAAGTTCGACGTCGTCATTGTTGACTCGTCGGATCCTGTTGGACCTGCAGAGGTGCTCTACCGTGCCGAGTTTTACGAGAGCATGAAGCAGTGTTTGTCGCCCGACGGCGTGATTTGCACCCAAGGTGAGTGCCTCTGGCTGCACCTCGACCTCATTGCTGACGTGATGCAGCGCTGTCGAGCGCTTTTTCCCTCGGTCAACTACTCGTACACGACGATTCCGACCTACCCGTCCGGTCAGATTGGCTTCATCATGTGCTCCCTCGATGAGAGCGAGGGTGTGCTCGTGAAACCCAAGCGCACACCGGACGATAAGATGGAGCAGACTCTGCGGTACTACAATGCCAAGATCCACGAAGCTTCGTTTGTGCTGCCCAACTTTGCTGAGCGCAAGATCGCCACGGTGCGCAAGTGATTGCTTGAAGCCTGCTTCCTTCCTGCAAGCAACGCCAGGAACGTCAACAAGTATGAATAGAGAGCCGTGTGCGTTACTTCTATTGTCTGCGACTTACTTTGTTGCACCCCTGTTCTTCAGCTTATCGATACACCCACATGCGCGGTGGTGGTGCTACTTGGCTCGAACAGCGTGGCGTTGTCTGCATCTCTCCAGCAGAAATCGGGCGTCTGGTCCCGGATGAGCTGCCAAATGTACGGCACGAAGAACTGCTCGGGATTTGTCACCTCTTCGTATTGGTAGCTGACCTTATCATCGTCGGCGAACATCGCTGAAGTTGTCGCACCTTCTTTCCCTGAGCTAGTGCTTGATGCCGCGACAAGACGAACGCATTCGCATCGAATGATATCCAGCACCATGTCAGCGTCAAGCACATCATCCGAAGAAGATTTCGCATCCACTGCTGCCTGGAACTGCACCAAGGTGCTCCATATAGGACTATCGTCCAAGTATGCTGCGAATTCAGAGTGTCGCTGCAGCGCTGCAAACGTATCGGCGCGGTGCAACAGTGCATATATAAGTTGAGGGTTACGCGGAAGCTGCTCGGTCTTCAGACAGGATGACAACAAACCAAGTGACAGCCGGATGAACTCGACGTAGGCGGCATGCTTTTGTGCAAGCACATCGTTTTCCTCCTTATCCGTGCTTTTCAAGCACTTCATCTGTGCAACTAGCTTTGCCTCGTTCTTGGCCAGCATCTCAATGAGCCCAACAAGACCTTGAGCAGCATAGATGTGCAGATTCTCGGCCGAGCGAGCGAGGTTGGTCAGGGCTGCAAAAGCATTCAAGTGGATGAAGTTGTCCTGGAAGTGCGTAATGTTACGGAATACGAGCCGTGTAAAGATGACCATCATAAGGCTGCCCAGCGGGATATCCAGCATGTACTGCTCCTGGTACCACGACACATTCGGCACGACTAGCAGGGTATGCGCCGTGCGAACAAACGTTGGGTTTTGCGTAAACATCAGCAGCACGATGATCAACATGTACAAGCGGCGAGGCTCCACATATCGCGCGTGATACAACGTCTCCAGTAGGGGTAGCAAGAGACGCTCCATATCGCTGTCGCTCAAGGCTGTATTCATTATCGCCGGGTTTGAGTACAGCAGCGTGTACAGCATGAGGTGGCTCGTTTCGTAAGATCCGTGACTCCCAAAGATGTCAAACAAGTCTGAGATCGATATCGTCATTTTCTCCGTACTCGAGTCAGTGGATATGCCATCATGCTCCATTGACAGAGCTCTTGGGTCTCTGTCTTTCACCTCCACACTCGAGCTGTGAATATCGGCACCCTTCATCATCTCGCAAAGTGTTTCTCGAAAAGGATTGCTTGTAACCAATGAGTCCGTGTCTCGACAACTCTGAAGCAGCACCAGCAGCAAAAGTACGCTACGATCGGCAAGCGGACTTGCAGTTTCCTCACGGGTAGTACAGTGCCGAACGAAGCTCCACGGCGAGCGGAATATTGATGCTGCAGGCACGCAGAATGCAATCTGACAGTAAGCTAGTGGTCGTGGAGAAGGAAAGCACACCAAAAGCACACTCACCTGCAATCGAGCCGACACCTTCCAGTGTAAAGTACCTAGACAGGTAGGAGCTTTCCTCCGGCTCATACGTCTGTTCTGAGATCTCCGACATCATTCCAAGTGACATTTCTTGCGCCTTCCGCTTAGCTACCACTGCAGCATTCGCCATTGCGTTGAGTCCAGTGGCTTGAAGCTGATCGATGATATTCCGTAACAAGCGGCGGATCAAACCGGAAGCCCGGTATGATCGACTACCATCAGGTAGAGCGGATTCCATGAGCATGTAAAGAAAAGGATTGAGCAACCGTACGTCACCGCTAGCTTGCTTGAAGCCGTCTAGTGAGTAAACCACGGGAGACAAGAGCACCAGGAGCGTGTTTACGACTTCCACGTGCAAGTTGTACGTTTTTTCACTGCACACGTAAGCACACATACGAACAAGACTCAGTACACAACAGGATAGTCGAGCTTTGGAGTAGAGACACGCACTTTGGACAAAACTCGATGAGAACGGTGAGCAATGCATTCAGAAAGCGGGCAGCAAGGTTATCCGTCGAATTACCATCGATCACACTCTCTATCGGAACTGATAGGTTCTCTGTTTAGTCAGCATTAACGAACACAACGTCAGTCATGGGAACCGAAACCACATCTTCACCACATCACCAACCACTAACTCACGTTGTGCAGTAGCCTGATACCTATCGACGTCCTCTGTCAATCCAGGAGTGAAGTGGTCCAGCAACGGACTCTCGTCCGTCCTCTCGACAAACCTCATTGTAAACTGCCGAACCAAAAACAGTGTATTCACAGCTCGATGCAAGTCCTTTTCCACCGTCTGCAGCTTGCTGTCCACTGGTTCGAGACCTGCTGCCTCTAGTCCAAGAGCTTCCACATCACTCTCTGTCATCGTAGCCACTCGGCAGCTCAATGGCAGTGTGTGGATCACGTCACGCACCAAGACGTGGAAGTTCCCGGAGTAGACACTGTTCCGAACTATTTGCACATCAACAAGCCACAGTCAAGAAGCAAGAAACAGTCCAGTCAGGAGACCAGGATCATCCTCTTTACTGTGGTATAGACAGCCCCACACAAAGAGTTTCCTACGTACCGAACGCTTCGCCATACGCCTGAGTCAGCAGCTCGACTTGTGTCTGTTTTAATTGCGGCAGCACCGTGGGCGCTGCCAGGACCGTGTCATACGCTGCGTCTGTACGAGGAATGGGCACGTTACTGACAATCTTCTCGAAAGCTTCTCTCTCCTGGGTAGAGCAAAAGAGGGACTCAATTGACGCAGTCGAAGTGGCCGACGATGAACTTGTTGCGCCCATGTCAAACGTAGCACTCACTAAATGACGTGCTTTTGAAAAAATTTATGGGTACAGACATAGATTACCGCTTTTTGTAAAAAGTGTGTGCAGTGAAGTCTTGGGTGCAGTCAGTTTGTACTTCCTTCGAGGCTGATACGTGACTGTGGCCATCAGATGTTGGTAACTTCACTTTAGCAGGATGTGAAACTCGCAGAGTAGTGGAATGTGGTCAGATGGAGAGATAGTACTGGGTAGCGCAACTTCACGACTGGCATCTTCAATTGACATGATCTCCATGAGCGCCACCGGTTGCATCCTATAGTCGATACCGATGTGAGTGCTGCTGTGTTTTTTTTCATTCCCGTTTACGACCTCTCCACATGGACACGCACCTGGATGAACGGTAGAAAATGTAGTCCAATGTGCCGATAAAACGCGCCACTTGTTTGCCGTCACTGGTCTCAGCGCTGCCATTGACATTGGTAAACTTGGGTTCGCCGTCCACATCGTACTGAGAGTAAGCGCTGTCGAAGTCGTTGTGACCCGTGATGAAATCGTATACTTTGCTGTCCGGCAGCGAGTTGAAGTCGCCAGAAAAGATAATCGGCGTTGATGCATCCAGCGTACTCGCAAAGGTCGTGATCGCCCGCAGCATTCGACGCGACTGCAGCAACTTCACGTCTGCTTGCATCGGGTCCCAGTATAAGTGCGTTGTGGCAACGACGAACTCGAGCTGCGTCTCGACATGCTCAAAATGAACAACCGCACCTACACTTCCTCTTGAAGAGGTCCTCGAAAGTAACTCACGGTCGATATCTAGTCAACGTCGTCAAACAAGCATTAGCTCGTGATTCTGCAGCGTCCGACAACAGCGAGGTGAGATGCAACGGCGAGCTTACCCGTTTCGTCGCCGACAGGCACGTCCAGACTAACTATCATGGAGTTTCTCACCTTTAGCTTCTCGGCATTCCAAAACACTGCCACGCCATCTTGTTTATTGCGCGTTTTCTTGATAAATTGTCTAGATACAACACCACAAGCAGCCAACGTCACAGCCAACAACCAAAAGCATGAGATAAAATGCGACTCTATAAATCCAAACAAGCAGATCGTGATCGTTGGTCTACCCTTCGTATCCAAGCTTGTTTAACGCGCCTGCCCAAAACTCGCTGTAGTTGTCCACTTCCTAACTCACCATACAGCAGCATCAGTAAGTACTACCAGAACCAATTGTCTGACGTATGTCGATACTAATACAGTGTCATCTTCAGACTCGGTCCAATTGGCGACACGTACTTGCAGACAGATGACATCGGGCATGACAGGCAGACTCGAAGCAAAGACACTTTCCTGCTCAACACCTTGTCAGCAAAAGTGTCCCACAATCCACATGGATACAATGTACTCTCCAAGCTTCCTACCAAACGTTTCGACCTCGTTTTCCATCGTAATTCACTGGGCTTGCAGTATGGGAAGAAACTGGACCGGACATAGCACTGTGCCAACACATTGTACGTCATCACCACGAGCTTCTGCGAGATTCCAGTCGCTGTGATATGTGCCATCGTATCATAACACAGTTCGTACATGTTATATACTGGCAAAAAAAGTAATCAAATTGCAGTACTTTGCTCAATTTTACTGGCATGAACGTTTGGCAGCATGCGCATGGCTTGAGTCTCCATCGTGCAAGATACTTTTTAACGGTCTAGATCAAGAAATGTGTGTGTTATCTGCTGCTAAAATGTGTGCGTTTCTCGGCCAATCACATCAGTGAATTACTTTGATCAAATCATCGCTCTCCGTGGACAGCTCTTGTCGTCTGAGTGGCTAAAAACTGGACAGACGATTGAATGGCGAGCACGCTCTCGTCCGGACCTTTTCGATTCCTAACAGTGCTGAAATCACAAAAGCTTCCTCATTTCAAAGGTAAGAGACGCGTATCGCTCGTGATCTATCCCTGCACATGTCACTACTATATAGGTAGATAGGTGATCTCTATCAACAAATGAACTGTAACCTCGGATTACCTTGATCAAAACCAATACGCTTGTTGCTGATTGAAGTTCATTTTGAAGCGATCATGCAATAGTACACAGTATTGCTGATACCAGGATGGACCGTGGACAGGGCAGTTGCTAGAACCTACAGGAGGCTTGTTTATTGACTCGGTATCGTGCTTTATTGCTGCTGTTGTAGATGGTGCAGGTTACTCCCGTCGTCCGCCCAAAGATCGTCAAGAAGAGGGTGACGAAGTTCAAACGTCACCAGTCGAACCGTTTCAAGCGTGTCCCGGATTCATGGCGTCGCCCGAAAGGTATTGACGGACGCGTGCGCCGAAAGTTCAAGGGTGCCATTAAGATGCCGAACGTCGGCTATGGCTCCAACAAGAAGACGCGTCACTTGCTTCCGAACGGCTTTTACAAGTTCGTGGTCAACAACGTGGCCGAGCTGGAGGTGCTGCTTATGCACAACCGCAAGTACTGCGCCGAGATCGCTCACAACGTGTCGGGCCGCAAGCGTCGCGAGATCATTGAGCGCGCTGAACAGCTGAATGTTCGCGTGACGAACCCGGATGCTCGTGTGCGCGCGGAGGAGAACGAGTAAGCTACGTTCTTGACAAACAGCTGACCACAGGAATGACAACTCGAAGGACGGATATTTGGGCGTCTGTCTGGTCGAGGTGGAGCTTTACGATGAGGACAGGAGCCGATTGTGAAAAAGGAAGGAAGCAGCTCTAGCGGTGGGCGTTAATTGATAATTTACCGTTGGCGCCCAGCTGGATTTGTGGACGAACTTGTGCACAGAGTTTTGTTGTCATTGTGTGCTGTCTTGGCTTGTGGGAAGCACAGGTAACCATTGCAGCAGACGAGGACGATCGTGTGCTGATATAGTTCAGTGTCTGAGAGAGTCTTGTGCTATCGCTGTCTGTACAGTGTACATGAGCAATCTGCTCTTCAGGCAACTCGAGTCGGTCATTCGGTGTGTCATGGTAGTAGCTCTGCTCGAGTAGTCGAGCAAGATGGAAAAATAGATAGTTAGGTAGAGTAGCTAAGTCGGTAGTGCTCACGTACATCGTCTTGGTCATGTACCACCTACATGACTTTGTTTCTAAGCAGTTGCGACTTGCACATTCAAATGTGCATGATACTGGTACGACAATATTGAAGCACTTTCGGCCATCAGCAGGTATGTGCAGAATGGATGGATATGTGCGGGAACCAAAAGTTGTATTAAGCCCTTTGGTACACGTAGCTTGGGAAACCATGAGAGTCGATTAAATACTGGCGAGTTTGTTACCATGTGTTTATAAGATGATGAGGATAATGTCGATGCCAGGATAACGCAGTGACTTGTCTAAGCAAATGAAAATGACGATTTGTGTGTTCGTTTCTGATCCGACAATGGTCAAAGCCAAGATCAACGAAACTCGTCTGAGCACGTAATTTACGATTACCTTCGACTGGTTTGGTTTCGAAAAGGTATTCGCTACCAGAGCAATTGCGATGTACTATGTGTCCAGTCATAATCGACGATAATTACACCGCAGCTGACCTGGAGATGCATGCAAACTGCAAGGCCAAATTGAACACTGACAGAATGTCCGTGGCAGCACGTGGTTTCCGCTCTTATAGACGAGATCCGAAGTTCTCGGTGATACTGTAATCTGTTTGGACAGCGAGTACCGGCAACTACTTTTCTTTTACTTTGATTTGAGAAGTGCCGGATCGGGGCTCGGTTGAGACCGAGATGGATGCAAGCACATCGTGCTGCTGCTTAATGTAATGATTTGCTGTAGAGATAGTACGTCTCACGTGCATGGACCTAGCAGCACGGACAATCGCTCTTGTCTATCCTAATAACTACGATACTCTTCTCTCTATCAGAGAGTGACGGACGAGTGATTGAAATTGAAACCCTGACTCGACGGTTTGCGGGTACTACTACAATACAAAGAATGACGTGACTCGATCCCATCGCGGAGTCACACACTTGCCGAATCTAAAGACAAGTAAATGTTAGCCGAATGCAGGATGTTACATATTTCTGGCGCTGGGTTGTTGATTGCGACAGATCCCTTCGTTGTTGTAGATGTTGATTCGCTTGAAGTAAATTGCGTCGAGCATTTCCATTGCCGGATTTTTTCATCACTAGCTCTCTCCCTCCATTCACTTTGTAGTCCATTACCTGCCGGCAAGCGCCTTACAGCAAATACGATCTAAATAATCAGAGTAAATCGTAGGTAGTCCAAAATCAGGATGGCATCGTCAGAAGTAGGTTGCGTTGGCAATGTGTTTTGGCCAATCAGAAGCAGACTTCATCATCAGAATTTAGTATACCCAATGACCCACTCGCGACCGGTTACAGGTACCATAGTGAAAACAAGTGATCGAAACCGATGCTGTAGACATTGCGACTGTACCATCGACACTCCGCGAAAAGTCGTTCGCCGATTATGCTTCGACGTAAGCGCAAAGCTGTCGCTGCGGTCGTGGAGGACGATGAATGGGACGCATTTGCTCACCTTATCGATGATACTATGACTTCCATTCAGCTCCTGTTGAGTCGTAATGCTGACGCATGTGCAGTCCTTGGTCTCCCTCCATTAGTACTTTGGCACCAATTGTACGCTCTCAATACCTTTCGAAAATGTGTATTGTGGCCTCCTTCTTATACCCATTTTATATCCAGATACACGATATTACCTAACCGAACATTCGTGGACCAAAATGTGAGTCACTTTCCGAGTGCAGGAGTTAACGAACGTAATCAGGTCACTGACTTTTTCTCGTTGTTTTCTGCAGGTGCATCGATTCCGGACCGAAGGCCGGTTATTGACGTTTAAGATTCCTTCAGGCGCTGACGATGAAGTTCTGATACGTACAGAAGACTACGTGGCAGAGGTGGAAAAGCGTGAGGCTGCTCTTCGTGAGCAGATACGCCAGCAACCTGGAGACAAACCTGCGTTCGCCGCGCTGGCCGCTATGGCTTCATTTAGGCGTGCGCTGCCGCAACTCGCACCACAATCGACTACTTCAATACAATTGTTTCTGTCTCACATGAGTGAGAGTGGAAGCTCGGATGAACAAGAAGTTCGAGCTATGGTGGGGTAAGTTGGAGGTGGCTACGCTCGAGCGTTTGGCAAGGATTGATGTGAGGCTGACAGGCATTGTGTGTGTTTGGATATTTGTGCTATAGGCAGGTTCGACGGCTTGGGTTCTTGCTGCCCACGCCTCGGTTGGACGGCGAGGCGTATGCGTTTTCGATTCCAGGGGTAGGAAAGTTGGTGTCTGTAATCAGGAAGACGCGGACGTTGATTATAAGGACGTTGAAGCGCACAAAGTACAAAGAGATGCACGAGCAGCAATTGAAGAAAGCCAAGCTAGCATGTTCGTGCTTTCAGTTAGAATTCCATTTGGCTGATATGGAGGGATGTGGGTTGATTCGGCGCACCAAAGTCACGTCCGGCATTCTAGTCACGCTTACTGACAAGTAAGTCGAAGCAGTAGTGAAAGCTACACGAGTCGTGCCACACAGTGCATCATGGTCACATCCAATGTATCAGTGCGGGGGGCGTAGCATTTGAATGAATCGAACAGACACAACAGTCGCTTTTTCAAGTGATTGGTCCATTAACTCCAATCTTTTCCTCATTCATCTCGCTTCCTGCCCCGTGCTCCCGATCGTGCATTTATCTCAGCCGTCGCCCTTCGCCGTGAAAAGGCTTCAGTGTGTCGCTTTCTGTCACCTCCTCATGCTTTTTCTCTTCACCTTTCTCCTCCTCATCAGCTACAAAAACAGCTTCACCGTTCAATCGATTGCCAACAAAAGGTCTCGCCACAGCTGCACTGCTGTTGCCGCTCCCATCGAGTGTAACACCGCTGCTTCCCAAGCATTGGCCAACGGAAGTGGCACTAGCGTGCGTTGACCCCTGTCCACTAAGCGAGTGACCAGTACCGTGAAATGCCTCGTACTTGCGTAAGCGAGCAGCACGAAGTGCTGCTGCGTCTGTCGTACTCTTTTCACCGCTTTTCTTAAGGCGCAAGCCACCAGATTCCGTCCCACCGAAACGAGCACGCTTCATATCTTCTGCACTCATTGTTGGAACGCCTATCATACCAACATACAGACATCGTGCATTTACTTCGGAGCTATTCGGGTGAAATGCAACACAGAGCAATGTACTACCTCCATAAGGAACATCCGATGGTACTGCTTGGGCTGCTGTGTTTGCGGCCGCGGGAACGGGAGGAACGTAATCGGCAGGAGGCTCAAAATCCACCTCACAATCGGTCTCGATAATGCACGCAGCAGGCGCAGGCTTCACTTCACGCACGTCCAACATGTAGTTCTTGTTGTTGTACTTGAGACAAATTGTGTCGCCCACCGTCATGCACGAAAAAGTTCGAAGCGAGCCTTCCAACCTTCACGCAGCACAATCCTAGTTAGTGCGTAGCGTAAACAACTACGTCACGTACTTAGATGAACGTACACTGCACGTGGGTTGGAGATATCTAGGAAATCTTGAGACTGTGGTCGCAGCTTCACAAACGTTGCCTTTGGTAGCGAGACATTCTGGACATTCAAAATCCCTCCTTCTTTTACAAAAAGGTTTTGCATCATCTGTCACATTCCGAATTTACCCAGTTCAGTCTCCACAAAGAGGAACGGATTCAACTGCACGCGTTCCCGACCAAAACAAATGCGTACCCAGTATGGCATGTAACAGCTCCCTTCTGGTGCACTGAACTCCAGCACGCCACAGTGCGAAGAGCGCTCAACGCCTTCATTTGTCACTCTAAACAACATCGGATACTCAATGTGCAGACGCGCTACATGCGAGCAACAAGAGTCAGCACTCCTCCTACTTCCTTCAAGCATCCAAAGTGCAGATCACGTACCCAGCGTCTCGAGTGCAGAAGGGGGCAGCAAAACTGACAACACGAACCGTGAAAGTGACATCAGCCCCAACAAGCTCGTGACACAAGAATGAAATGATCCCACACACAAACGCACTTTTGTCGCCATCTTCCAGGTGCGCCTTGTCACAGAATGAAACAGGATACACTCGGTAATGCTCGTCGAACCTGCAGATATGCATCCAGCAATAGAGTCAATAGGGTACTCTATTCTCGCATGTGGTTTTATCAGTACATCAAAGCGCCTACCGCTGCGGAAAGTCGCCAAAGTTAAACTGCACACCGAACGGGTTCCCGTCTCCACCAAATCCCCCAAACTAGTGACAACGTTGCTCAGATTCGTTACTTGTTAGAACAAGCAGTAGAAAGAAGAACTGATCGAATTACCATCTTCGAGTGTGCGTGTGATTCGTTTTCTTTCGTGTATTTAGCTCCTGAGCAGGATCAACAGACTGAGGAGACTGACAACGAAGGGAACGCAGAGAGCTCCCGCAAATCGAAACAACGACTACTCTGATTGGACAATCCATGCGCACTGCAGCCAATCACGTTGACCCGTCTGGCAACATGGCTACTTTCTTCTAACTGCTTACTTACGCCTAGTAAGCACTCTATGATTGTGCACACAGACTCAATCGGAGCTTGCGTCCCTCTGTGGCAAGTCTTTTCGGACCAAAGCGGTCAATGTACGCCATGAGCTGCTCTTCATCCATATCAAACGGAATCTTGCCTGTCTTGAGATGCTACAACCAGCAACAACAACAAAAGGGAACAAAACAAAACGTCAGTGGCAGCAATACTCCCAGCAAAAAAAACATGCAACTCGATCCTGTAGGACACTTACCCTCGTAACTGCGCGACGCAAGTCCGACGTGAAGATGCCAGGGGCCACACTGTACCGAACGCAAAGCTTCGTGGTGAACTGCTTCGGCAACGACGCACCCTGACGTCCGTTCTCTGTAAATTCATTGCGGTTCTGCTCAACAAAACACTGACTCTTGTTCTCGCTCCGAAGTTTGGCTTGGTCCAATTCGTACAGCATGTCCGACAGCTCGTCTTCATCGAGGTCTTTATTGGACTCATAGCAGCGCTCGAGGTATGCGCGCCATCGGTCCGACTGAACTTCCGTACCCCAATTGCTAGAAACCTCCTTGTAGATAACCTCCTCACGAAATCGTGTCATTTCCTCGTCCTCCTGGCGGTTCAAAAGTATTCGATGCGTCAGGTCCCTGCGCTCTTTTGCGAGAGCAGTGTTCGGGTCCACGTGCAGCGAGACAGTGTGAAGTTTGCCACCAAAAGAGCTGCTAAGAAGTACAAGTCCCTCGGCTGGAGCGATCGGAACGCGGACGATACGGGGTGTCACTGCATCCGTGATCGTAGCACAACAACAAAACATTGCACAGTTAGACAGTTTGTATCAAGTAGGTCCACGACAACAAAAAGAAGCAGCTTACACAAAGCGGCATCGAATGCAACACGAGACATGCCCTTCGTCGCGACTGCCAGAGCGCCGCCGACCATGCAGCGAATCTGGTTCAGCAAAAATGCTTGTCCGACTATATGTATCCGCAAATAAGGTTCACCGCAGAAATCTTGAACGAGGCTGCCCGAGCACGAGTAAACGGATCGGCGGTGACGAAGCAGCAGCTTACGGGTCAAGCCCTCATCATGTTCGACCTGGTGCAGCTCGTCCGCACCATCATCGACAGCCAAGTTCTCCTCTTCCTCAACAGTACTATCCACATGTCTACGTTCACCGATTGCGTCGCCGCCGTCAGTATTGTTTTCGTCGTCACCCGTCTCCGTATCAGCTGTTTCTCCTTGAGATTGCGCTTTCCACCGATCTCTTTTCGCCTGCAACTTGTAAAAGTGCGACCGTGAACGCGTGAAATTGTGGAAATCATTAACCCCCACATATCGACGCAGCGCACGGCAGAATTCAGCAACAGCCTCGTCTTGATCAAACTCTGCTCCATGTGATTCAAGGGTGCTGTCTCGCAAGAACGAAAGCGGCATAAAGTACTCGTACTCACGTAGTACACAGTTCTTGCGCGCAGAGAAGCGCTTGTTCACTCGTGTACACGAGAACACGCGAATATTCTCCGGTAGAGACGCGTTCAGTGCCTCCGTGAGGCCCTTCACACGACCTGATGCCTGGTCCACCTTGTTCTCCTCATCAATCAACAGCTTTCCAGAAAACTACAGCAAACAAGAAAAGGCCCACAGACAGACAAACAAGCACAGTCTCAGTCTTACCTTCTAGTCAATAGTCGACCATCACAACTCCAAAACGTACGACAATGCAGCCCGCGTGCACGCCCTTGTCCGTGCGGCTGCTTCGAGTCCAGTCAATCTTTCCCAAGTCTTCAAAATTCGACTCGCGCATGGCTCCAGCCTTGAAAATTGCATGTCGAATTTCGTCCTCAATTGTCTGCACATCGTTGTTTAGCTGCAGTCCATGGTAGCCCGTACCGTTGTAGCCGCCAACGATCGCCACCTTCCGCTTGACCAACTTGGTACCGGACGACGAGTTCCCCAATCGTGAACCACTCGCAGCGCTGGCATCATCACTACCTGACGCCGCAGTAGTAAGATGATGACCAATGCAGCTATAGAGAGCCGGACGAGTGCTGCGAGGCCGCAGAGCAAAGCGCGTCAGCAGCATCCAGTTCGCCCGTTGGAAGACCAAGTCGCGACTTCGACTGGCTTCGAGTCACTTGGTGTCAGCTGTAAAACATCTGGCCGTTTGTAAGTCCATAGTAACGTAGCATGTTATGGTGTAGCCACACCAAACCCACGAGCTCCGGGATCTGCTCGTCACCTTCGCTTGACACTTTTGAAAATCCGGCCGAGCCCTCGCTCACTCTCCTTATTGTTGTTCCTCCTCCTCCTCCATCTCCTCGGTTCGTCTCGATTGTATCATGGCTCTTCGCATCCTCTCGCAGACTCTTCGTGCCCGTGCTCTGAAGTCGGCGACCTCTGCGACGTGGCGTGCGTCCTCGCAGCACATTGCAGGTGCTGCTTGTTGTTTCTCGACCAAGTACACGCGACAGCACGAGTACGTGACGATCGAGGGCAAGGAAGGCACGATTGGGATCACGGACTTTGCCCAGAACTCGCTGGGAGACGTGGTGTACGTGGACTTGCCAGCAGTGGGCGACAAGTTCCAAAAGGGGTGCGTGCTGCTCTGTGCTGTGCGCTTCGTGACTGCAGCGCTACTACCGTTTCGATGCTGACGTTAAGCTGTGGGTGGTTACGATCGTAGCGACACGTTCGGTGCCGTGGAATCTGTCAAGGCTGCTAGTGACTTGTACACGCCTGCTTCTGGCACTGTCACGGCCGTGAACGACGTGCGTACCAGCTCTTTCGTGTTGTCACGTGCCTACCTAGAAGCACCGTTTTTTTTCTTGGTGCTCACTGAGTTTACATACAATTGCTGTGCAGCATCTGGCAGATGAGCCGAACCTCGTGAACGACGAGGCCATGACGAGTGGGTGGTTTATCAAGCTAGAGGTACGCTACAGAGCACGCTTTTATGACCAGCAGTGCGAGACTAGTGTTGACTCTTACGGCATTGTTTACGCTGGTGCAGCTGGACAATATGTCGGACGTGGACGATCTGCTGGACGAAGCTGCGTACAAGGAACTGTGCGAGAACGAGGAGCACTAGGTGGTCACATGGGCTCGTAGCAGTCCGTTGGCTGGTTGTCGCCTCGCTGTACAGCAACAGGGCAACAACATGCGATTACACTTGAGCTTTGTATCTCGTTCGTCATTCATTTAAGCCATTCAATCGTCTCCTTCTCTCTCTCTCTTGAGTCGAGAGCTCTGCTCCTTTTTTACACCTGATGATGGATGGGATGCCAACCGACCAGTCGCGCCTTGTGAAACGAAACGGTGCGCGCGTGTCGCTCGAATGTGGACGACCTTCGGGTAACCTCTCGTCCACCTCCTGTCACACCATCTGCCAAGTCACGTCGAAGTCGTTGACGACGATCTGAAGCCATTGGCGATGGACGACGACACGAACGTCAAGGTCTTCTGCCGTGTGCGGCCGCCCAATGACCGCGAGCGTCTCGGCGTCTCGTCTACAGGGGCCTCAAGCAGCTCTACATGTCTCACAGCTTGCAGCAGTGGATCGTCTGCCTCGTATGTGAAGAAATGCGTGACCGTCCCGGCGTCCGATCCGGCGCAACAGACGCTCTTGCTGCACAGTAAACACGTCGGTGCCAAGACGTTCACGTTCGACCGCGTCTTTGGCGAAGACGCGAGTCAGAACGACGTGTTCAAAGTCATTGGGGCGCCGATTACGCAAGCCTGTCTCGATGGCTACAATGGCACCATCTTTGCGTACGGCCAGACGGGGTCGGGCAAGACTTTTACAATGCAAGGAGCAGAAGACGTGATCATCAATGCTGACGCGACGACTCGGACGTCGCAGGAGCTTTCGCTACGGGGTCTTGTGCCTCGTGTTTTTGACTACCTCTTTGACAATGTCGTGGCCACCGACAAACGAGCGCATGTCCAGCACACATTTGCGTGCTCGTTTCTGGAAATTTACAATGAACGAGTGTACGATTTACTGGACAGAGGCAGTGCGAAAGACGCAGCAGGGCTGCAGCTGCGAGAAAATGGACGCAAAGGCGTTCATGTCGAAGGGCTGATTGAAAGCGAGGTGACCAACTCAAAGGAAGCAGCGGAACTTATGACGATTGGAACGCAGAACCGACGAGTGGGGCAGACGTCGATGAATCGAGAAAGCAGTCGGTCGCACAGCGTGTTCATTTTGCAACTACAGTCGAGGGAAGTGTCACCGCAAGGCACCAAGATCCGTACGTCACGGTTCAATTTAGTGGATTTAGCAGGTTCAGAACGGCAGCGAAGTACTGATGCAGTAGGCGAGCGATTGAAGGAGGCTGGCAATATTAACAAGTCGTTGTCTGCGCTTGGCAATGTCATTCTGCGCCTATCGGAACAATCGGTAGGCAAACACCGTCATGTGCACTATCGCGATTCCAAGCTGACATTCCTGCTGAAGGATTCGCTTGGTGGAAACTCGAAAACGTTTGTGATCGCGACCATTTCACCCGCAGAAGAGTCTGCGTTCGAAACGCTCTCTACTCTCAAATTCGCTCAGAGGGCTAAGATGATTCAGAACAGTGCAATTGTCAACGAAGACTCTGTAGGCAGTTCAGTTACTTTGCAAGATGAAATCCAGCGACTTCGACGGCAGCTGCAGCAGGCACACCAACAAATCGCCCGTGGTGTCCCACAGTCTCGTTTGCTTGTAGAGAAAGGTTCTGCGTCGGCAGAGGTCGCTTTGAGTGGAGATACTGCTACTGCGTCGTCTCAGCTTCTAGGGCTCTGTGATCCAGCCGTTGACGCGCGTTTTCGTGAGCTGGAAGAATCTTTTGCAAGAACTGCTGAGAATAACGGGAAGCTACAGCGTTTGTGTGAACATTTGCAGCTTAGAAATGAGAACTTCCAAGTGTTGTCTACGAAACTGAAACAGAATGTCGCGCAGCTAAAAATGATGCTTCGACTTCGAGGAATCGGTGGCACAGGTGTGGATGAAAACAAGCCTTCAGCAGATGCCATTGAGTGGAGGATGAAGTACGAAGAGATGGAGCAGCGTATGGCTGTGCTCCAGGACGAGCTTCAGCGTTGTGAGGTCAAAGATGCTGGTGACATGGGGAAGGCCAGCAGCGAAGTCGAGAATATGAACATTATGATTTTAGCTTTGACAAAACAGCTTGCATTTGTGCTGCGCGACAAGCACGATCTGCAAGACCGGCTGCTGCATAGTAAAGCTCACAATGACGAAAGCATGGAGGGGTTCTCATCTCAAGAAGCTGTAGATTTTTCTGTCCGGTTGGACGAGGCACTCAAACAACAAGCAAACGAACACCAGATAAAGCTGGACTCGGTTTCGTCCGTTAACGCATGTCTGGAAGAAAAAGCAGCAGAGGCGTCGCTTCAGCTTCTACAAATGAAGGAGTTTGAGCGCGCTTGGTCGATTCGAGTACACGACCTCGAACGCCAACTTGCCGATTCGGGAGCAGCTTTACGATTTGCAGAGCAAGCTCGGTCCGTAACTGTTAAAGAGCTGGTCGAAGAGAAAGCTCGGACTGAAAAGATGGAGGCACAGTTTGAGCGAGCGTGTGAAGGTATGCAGTTTGAATCTGAGACCGCGCTGGCCGACGCTGCCACCACAAATCGATCCCTTGAACGTTCAAAAGAGCTGCTGGAGCACCAACTAACTGCTATTACCACGGGTCTTGAGCAACGCGAGCATCAGATTGAAAAAGCTGAAAGTGAGTGTGCTCAACTAAAGGTGGAACTGATGCAACTAAAAGAGTCACATCAGAGAACGGTTTCGGAACTCGGGAAGGCCCGTATTGAGTTGGACGAAAGCTCGTTAGAAGCAGGTCATCTCCGAGCAAAGGTGTTTGATCACGAAGATGTGATAAATGAGCTAAAGCGCACTGCAGATGTATCTACGGAGGAAAAGATCGTTTTGGAAGGAAAGCTCGAGGAACTGAACGACTTCATCAAACAGCTACAAGAAAATGCTGGCATTGCCGCACAACAACATACAGAAACAATTGGTTCGCTCAAACGTCAAGCACAAGAGCATGAGTATGTCTTGGTTGAAGACTATAGTGAGAAACTTCGAGTGAGAGGTGAGCAGTATCAGCACCTTCGCGCTGAGTTGGATGACCGTATAGTTAAGACGAGGGAAGCTGTTCGCCTCCACAGCTTGGCGCTGGAAGAGAAGGACTTGGCGCTCACTGCACTCAAGCAGCAGTCAGATGATGAGACACGGAATTTTGAACTAGCACTGGAAGGCGTCCGACATGAGTTGCACAAAAGTCTTGCCGACGTTTCCAAGCTGAGCGAAGAGAAAGTCAAACTCGAATCAGATCGTGCTTCTGCAGCGCAAGCGTTTGGGAAACTTCAGGAAGCTGTCAAGAAACTTGACAGCGAAAACAACAACAAGGCAGGCGAGATTCAAATTTTGTCGCAACGCTTAGAAGACTCGTTGGCGAAAGCGCAAAAACTGGACGATCAAAAGGTTGAGCTGCAAAAGAAGTGCGAGCTGCAGTACACTCGGTTGTCAGCTTCGGAGGAAACTATTGAAAAGCTTACGCGTGAAGTTGGACAACTGCAGCAACAAATAATCATCGACGATGTAGATAACCTTCGCAAACAGCTTGTGTCCGTAAAGGAAGATTGTTGCCGGGCTGCAGCCACGCATTCCCATCAGCTTATTGAGCTTGTTGCTCATGCGAAAAGGAATGAGAAGCTGCAGCAAGAACTTGTTCAAAGCAAAAGCGCAGTACATGATATGACGCATAGTCTTGAGGAGGCGTTGAAGAAGACCCGAGATGCTGAAGAGGTTGCGTCACGCCAGCAGGAAGAGATGATTTTGTACCAGGAAACCCATTCCAAGCTGCGCGACGAGCTGAAAACCCTTGAGCTCGATCGTTTGAAGCTGACTGAGGCGCTGAAAATCGAGCAAGAGGCAAAGCAGGATGTAGAGAACGCACTCGCTGAAGCCCGAGTGGCATGGATGAGCGAAAAGTTTCAGCTGACGCAACGTTCTCAAGAATCGGTACTAGCTGTTGAGAAACGCGTCGATGAAATGCGTCTTCGTGCCGACTCTCTGTCGGCTTTAAAACGTGAGCTGGTGCAAGAAAGCAAGTCGCTTAAGGTGCTGGTTGTGGAGCAAAGAAGGACACTTGAGCAGCTTGAAGATCAAGTCGCCGACAGGGATAGCACGATTTGTGTGCTCGAGTCCAGTGCTGCTCACTCAGTGGTTACCCATGATAAGCTTGCTGGTAACATTGCCGAGCTGCAAGACATGGTGCATAACCTAGAACGTCAGTTGCTGGAGCATCAAGATCTCAAAGGCAAACAGGAAGCAGAGCTCGCCGAGAAGACAACCGCCGTCTCGGATAGAGACGGTCTGATTGCAACGTTAAAGGATCGTGCGCGCAACGACAAAATGGCATGGGACCTTAAGACGCGCAAATATGAAGATGAGCTGGGATCCACACGTGTGCAGGTGCAGGCGCTGGAACAGTTGGTGACGGAGAAGGCGACGGCATTAGCGAAAGCTGAGGAGTCATTTTTGGCACTTAAGCACTCACTTCAGCAAAAGGTCGAGGAAAAGGAGAAGCTCTTGGCGCAGCAGACTGAGCGGCTGATGCATGAGATCAAGCAGCTCCGTGCAACGGTAGAACAAAAGGACGGACAAATTGAGCTTGCCACTGCTTCTGCAGCCGAGTTCGAAAAGCGGTTGGCGCTGGTTGATAAGAGCGTCTCGGTCAACGATCCGCAAGTGGCGACGAAAAAACTAGAGTCGGCTGACGAGTTGGCTATGCGAGAAAGCACGAGTGCTGAGGCTAAGACCATGTTCGATGGGAAGGAGCAGAAACACGAGTGCGATAGTAGTTGCGCTGAACGTGACTTTTCCGGAGAGCACGTCCAATCCGTCCGAAAGGTGCTGGCTGCGCAGCAGGTAGTAGCTGAGAGCGTGGAGAGTGCTGAGCGTACTGTGGACGCGGCTAAAGCAAAGGCAGCACTTCACCAGGCTAAGCGTAAACATCTTGCAGAAACGATGAAGCTGCAGCGAGAAATCCAATGTTTGACCAAAAAGGTGGAGACGGTGTCGAAGGAGAACGAGAAGCTGATCGGTCATCATAATAGCCGCCAGAAGATTCACCACCATGTAAAGGTGAAGGAGGAGAATAACCGCCTCTTGGATCAGATACGGCTGCTAACGGATAACAAGCTCAAATTGCAGCGCTCGCTCGAAAAGCTGCGGACGATGCTCAAGGAGAAGGAAAACATCGTGAGCAGTACGCCGCCGGCTCTATCGCCAATCTTGAACGTTCCGTCAAGTGGACCTCTTCAGGCAAAGAAAGCCAAGCGACCAAGTCCGGGCAGTGCACCAAGCACAACAGCAGTTCCTCCTGCAAAAGTATCGACAAAGTTAGCAATGCAAAGCCGACCTACCAGTCGATCTGCATCGCCTGGCCCACCAAGAAAGCGAGTAAAGGCACCTTCAAGTTCATCAGGTCCGAGTTGGCAGAGGTAACTGCTCGTCACGATTTATGGTACGCCTTTCAGTCTACGTGGTGGCTGAAACTGGATGGGTGCAACACGTCGCGTTCCAGTCAACGGTACTCATTGATGTGCCCACTACTTTGTTGCCAAGATCGTAAACTGAACCTCCGCAAGTCGGCAATCTAACCTGGTGATGTCGTATCGAATGCATTGGCTCTGGAACGCAAGTCGAACACTCGAGCAAGCACTGTAGCATGTGGCAAGGAGGTCCACACAAAGAGACATCAAAGCAAACAGGAGGAGAATGTAGCTGGCTTGAGGAATACGAGGCAAGACTGATGATGCGTGACGAGATCACGAGGGAAGCCAGCTGGAAAGAAGGTGGTGGATCTAGTCGCTGACAAGGAGAAGGTTGAGGACGTCGACTACTTGGGATACAGCAACGGTATTCTCGAGCAAAACGCTGAAATGATTGGCGGTATCTGCGAGTTGACGAAGCACTGCCGCACACAACTCCAGAGCTAGTCCAAAGTTTATCGGTGTGACTCCGTCTGACTAGCAATCAGGGCCTGGACATGCTCCATGACGACATCACTAACGCCGTATTGCGATCCAGGCAGAAGCCTCGAGCGGCGAACGAAGCTGCTTATCTCACAACTATTTACAACATGCAAATGTACGACCAGAGGAGTTGCTCGAAGCAGCCCCTCCAACCATTGCGAAACGTTACAGATGCTTCAACGTACGCTTTTTCATTTCGACGTTGCTGTCACTTTCGACATCATGGTCTTCATCTCCCACCGATCAGTATCGTATAAACTGCTTTGCACTGGACACGTCAATCTCGTGCGCATCGTCACGAGCGCTTCCACCGGCACTAGTGAACAAACAAGAGCACAAACCACCCAACTTGCACTCGAAATACGTGGTCGCACCACAGAGACAGCCGTCAAGCTGTTACGACACTATCCACCGGCTAGATCATGCCGTCATGACAATCAGAGGGTCTTCCGTTTCTCCTCCCCCACTCCCGATCAACTTCACCAAGTCGGTGTAATTCTTCTGTATATTTTTCTCAGCGTTTTTTTCCTCTCTCTCTTTTTTGCAGTAGTCAGTCTCTCTGTCCTCGGTCGTCCTTGTCGTCGTTCTGCTTTTTTCCACCTCGTCTGCCGCTTCTAAGAAGACGCGCCAAAGGACCCGACGTTGTCCTTCTTGTCGTTCTTCTCCACTTTGACCGACTCGCGATACTTCTGCAAGTACAGTTTCAGCGGCTCCACGTACGAGTCAAAGCCCAGCGTGCTCATCGCCCAGATAATGTCGTCGCCATTGATCGTCTTGCGCTTCTCTTGCTGGCACTTGTCGCTCGCCTCGCTCGTGATGAACGAGATGAACTCGCTCACGCACTCCTGCACCGTCTCCTTGCCGTCCTTCGCGATCTTGGCCGTGGACGGCAGCGACACTTTCATGATCCGCGAGATGTTGGCCGTCGGCAAGAACCGGTCCTGCTCGCGGATCTCGTCGTCGTTGTGCTCGTCTTTGCTCGCCATTTTCTGCCCTAGTAGTCACTCAAGCCGCCGTACTGGAAGGTCGGTCGGTCGTCTTATGCTTTTCGAAAAAAGCAGCGCAAGCGGCGACAGATAAAAAGCTTTATTTACAAAAAGCAAAATAGCTGCACAACAAAAGCAGGTCGGACCAACCTGACATCCCCAAAACAAAGCACAAAATGACTGCCATAATCAATCCAACCGTCAAAACTGGCTCTGATACCAAGCTCCTCTAGCCATGCTTCATGCCGAAAGCCAGTAGCTTCTCCCTACGCCCCGCCTTCCTTTCAATCGACCTCATCGACTGCTGCACTCGTTTCGGTCCCTTTGTCCTCGCTCGCATCGTCGTCTTTACTGCCCCGTGTGGTCAACTGCGTGACCAGCTCCACTCGTTACTCCTCATTGTCCACGTCTTCTTCACTGACGTCGTCCGTCTTGAAGAACATGTAAGACAGCGTGATATTGTGCACGCCATTCATCGACGGGTCGTCGCAGATCTCAGGGTCAATAAAGAAGAACACGGGCATGTCAATCTCTTCGTTCGGCTTCAGTCGCTGCTCCTCAAAGCAAAAGCACTGGATCTTGTTAAAGTATACGCCAGCCGAAGGCGGATGCACGTTGTACGTAGCCACGCCAGTGATGGCTTTGTCGGCCTTGTTCTTGGCCGTGTAGAAAGCCAGTGCCGTCTCCCCAGGGGCAAGCAGCAGGTCACGCTGTTGTGGACGAAAGACCCACGGCATGTTGGCACTCACGCCGCCGTCAAACGTGACGCGGATTGGTTTCGAGTCCTCGCGAGGGGTGAGCTGGTTGGCCACGAAATTCTCGACCCGTTGCGTCGTGCCTCCAAAGCCCGTCACCCGACAAAAGATCTTGTAGAGTGGCACTGCGGCGTATGAAATACCGACCCAAGCAATGGCTGTGCCAGCCAGGTACATGACGGCGCGGCGGTTGCGCTTTTTCATGGACTCTCGACGCGCTTCCTCTGCCGCTTGCTTTGTGATGCACCGCACACCCTTGGCACCAATGGGGAGCATCAGATGCGGCGATAGAGGGGCACGGCCATTGATGCCACGGCGAAGCAGGAGCAGCGACGACGCGTGCATTAGAGTCTCGCTTTTTGTAATGTCAGGTCTCGATGTGCGTACGTACCGGTTTTAGAGAACCGATCGCACTGTCGACAGCGATGGGATACCGGTTGAGGGACCGGTTGGGATACCGGTTGGTGTACCGATCGATTGATTCGAGTTGCGAAAACGATAGGTGCTTTGGTAACGATACCGGCCGCTTTGACAGCATTTTTAGTCTTTGAGCTTAATTCTGTACAGATACCTCCGCCAGCGCAATTTTCCAGAACAGGTTTCTTTTCCTACCTCGTACATGAGTTTATCCCAATATTGTTTGGATCTGAGCTAATGTATGTCACACCAACATACCTGCTCTGGATACAGTTTAGATCACACATCTCTAGAACAACAGAATGACGCTCACAAATACTTTGTGTGTACACACGTTGGTGTTGCAAGTGTTGACGATCACAAGGCTGCACATATATGGTAGTGTAACGGGGGATCCCGCTACATGATATTGACACCAAACGGTGTCAATAGGGATCTGGTCTAGCGTCACAATTCCCTGCCAATATTACCTGAGATAGGTAACATTGCAGGGATATTATCCCCTTTTAGGATAATATTCATGTGCTGCTCAAAGATCGGTTGATAAAAGACGTATCAAATAAGGTTACCACCAATCGCTGCTAGACGCGCGTAATGAGTGGTGAGCGGGTTGTCGTCATGCGACAGTGTAGATTAATATAGTTAGATAAAGACTGAAGTTATATTGATAGCTTAACTATATTTAATACAGTTCTCTTTTTACCTTCTACTCAAACGGCTAGTTTAAGTAAATTAGCTTCCTCTGTACGTACTAGTGTACGTGAAGTTTTGTGGCACCCAAAACAAAGGGTGCCCCGTTACACCTGGTAGCACTTTGCAGTCCGTCCAACGACTACTTAGTGTCAGTTCAAACATGAACATGTCGGACGTAGAAGACGACGGCTTTCACGTCACACGTGAAGACTACTCCCATCTGAGTGACTCAGAATGGGAGATAGTCGGCCGCATGAGTGTGCTCATGGGCGAACCGCCATCAGTGGTATGTTGGAGTCTCTAAGCAGAGACCAGCAACACGCTGCTATCAACAAGTTCCTACCAGGGGAACTTGCCTTCAAAATATAGAAGATAGTCTTGATACAGCAGCAAGACTCTCAACAGTCAATGGGCAGGCCGACGCACACGCGTCGACCCGAAACCTTAAAGATAAATATCTCAAGGTGCAAGGGAACCGATAAAGATTCACTTTTGAGATGGCTCGTCGAGTTAGACGACGCTATCAGGGCCCGTCACATCGAGGGTAACAAAGTGCAAGTCACCTTCGCCCTGTCAAAGTTGACAGGACGAGCAAAGACTTGGGCCTTAGGGCTCAATCTTCACGACCCAAGCGTGTTTAATTCGTTAGAGATCTTGAAGTATCGGTTCAAAGAGATTTTGACGTCTCGGCTCAAAGAGACGTTTGAGCCGCCAAGAGCCGAGTCCAAAGCACGCTCTGCACTCCTGAGGCTCAATCAAGGTAAGCGTGATGTGCATGCTTACGCACAACACCTACGCTACCTTGCGAGTAGCGTCACGGAAAACCCTGTTGATGAGCACACACTCATCAACGTGTTCATCTACGGCCTTGTAGATGGACCGGTGAAGACGTACATGTTCCGAGAGGACTCTTACACGCTGGAAAGGCGATAGCGTATGCGGAACAAGAAGACTTCAGCCTGAGACAGTCTCAGGCTAACTTGTCAAACTATCGTCCGACGAGACGACAGGAAACCGGAGGTCCCGAACCAATGGACCTCTGTTACATCGAGATCGAGAATTCGCTCTCTGAGTCACAAGTGAGCGGCTAGATGCCATCGCTGTCAGAAGGTTGGACACTACGCTCATGAGTATAGTGTCCCAAGTACCGCATCACGTCCAAGACATGATGTGATGACCGCCGTTGGCTAAAGAAAGGTCCAAGATACGGGTCCAACCATATCGCTAAACCGCGACCGCAAGTCGGATCGCCAAACCCTGCTGACCCAGCAACGTCAAGAGAATTTGCAGGACTCTTGACGAAGATTGCTCCCCACAAAAAGTCGCTGTGTGTTACTGCCCCTAGTGATGAGATGTCTCTCATTACTTTGAAGATCGAAGTGACAAGTGGAATGTCACGTCGAGCCCTAGTTGAATGTGGGGCGTCAAACAGTTTTATTCAACGCCAGTCGCTAGCAGATAGTAGACTCAACTATGTTGAGCTGAAGTTCTCTCATACGAGGATGACGGTGTGCCTCGCTACAGGTGCATCCGTAACAGTGAATTAACGTGTAATGGGAATCCACTACACGCTAGAAGGAAAGAAGTACGATGATAACTTCATCGTACTAAATTTGCATGACAAATTTGATGTCATCCTCGGTCTGCCATGGCTTAGAAAATACCAGCCATGGACCAGCTGGCAGCATCGATCCGTATAGATGCCTGCCGTTTGTTCATCAGATGCCATCTGATGAACGTCTTGGGGCGTCCGCAAGCGTGTGGATGTACTACGATTGAGTGTGATGGCCTCTTTTGTGGTACGGTCGTTAGTATGAATGCAAAAGATCACAGTGTAGAATGCCACTACACTGTGGAACCAGCTTCCGGCACCTGTGTATAGACACAGGCTGCGCCGAAGGTTCACCAATCGAAGAGATCGATTGGACTGGAACACGGTGCACACCAAGCACGGTCTATCCAAGACGAGAGATGAGTGTTGTTCAGGGTGAATAACACGTTGAAGGAGATCGACAAACAGAGAGTCGTTTGTAGAGCAAACCCGATCGACTAAAAGAGAGTCGATCGAAGAAGACGTGACTGTGGTAGTGCACCCACAGTCAGAACACGTATTGGAAGAAAGCTCCAGCGTTTTTGAGAGTGTAAACTCCCGAGACAGTTATTTAAAGGTTGTGGATACCCAACCACCTGCGGATGTGTTTTTCCAGGAAATCACCGAGTCAGTGAATGTCTTGCTGTATGACGAATCAAGTGTAGGCGCTTATACATTTGATCTGGTTACACCTCTGAAGTCAGCTTCGGAGTTAATCAAGTTGCTAATGATAGAATCTAAAATATTCTTGCGAGATCTGCGTAGTGACAAGATCAAGCAGATCTGCGTACTTGTCACAAAGGACGAGTACGTCGCCGATTTTCGGTCTGCACAAGTGTTACTGAGAACGAACGGGTTCTCAGTAGCTCAGCGATGGATGGGAGTGTCCTCGATGAAAAGACACGGATTGAGCGATACACGTCTCAATCTTGGGAGTCTTTGAATACAAACCCTTTGTATAAGGATTAGTAGAATTCAGGGATATTTTCCCTGAACCCGTGCCTTGCGAGCTTCCTAAGGACAAAGGCACTCGGCATGAGATCGAACTGAAACCCGAATCGAAGTACTGTGCCATGAAGTAGTTACCACTGCCTCGTGAACGGGTCACAGCGATCTACAAATTATTTGACGATCGCTTAGCGGCTGGTCATGCGAGTAAATCAACATCCTTACCCAGCTCTCAGACCTTTTTCGTGCAGAAGGCCACAGGAGGGTGGCGGATAGTGCACGCGCTCAAAAAATTGAATGCTGCAACGGTACCGGCTCAGACGCCGATACCAAGGAAGGACGTCATCATTTATGGTATGGCAAAAAGTACCATCTTTTCGTCCATGGATCTGATCGATGGATTCGATCAGATCCTCATGCGTGAACGGGACATCCTATACACAGCAGTGAGCACCCCCATTGGTATGCTCTGGAAGTGGCTAGTGATGCCGACCCGAAGGGGCTAAGTAACGCCCCCGCAACGCTCAACAGATGTGTTACGAATCTGTTGCGATCGGTGAGAGACTTCGCACCGAGGGACTTTGACGATGCATTCGTCCATAGACGGTCTACGAATGGAAAGACTAACGTGGAGTTCATAGAATCCACGTTCAGAAGATTTTTTCACTTATGCGTGAGCATAAGCTGCTCGCGAACCTCAAGAAGTGTATATTTGCAGCGAGCAAAACACCACTTCTTGGCTGCATCGTGGGTAAACACGGCGTACTCCCTGATCCAGATAAGATCAAGGCGATTAGCGACTGGCCTGTGCCAGTCGACGTTAAGGTACTTCGAAAGTTTCTAGGATTAGCGGCGTACTTGCACAAGTACTCGCGCAGCTTTGCCGAGATGACCGTACCTCTCTCTCGTCTGTTAAAGAAAAACGAGAGGTGGTCATGGAGTGCTGAGCGTCGGCACTCCTTCTTAAATATCTAGGAAAGCTTAATACAATCGCCTGTGCTGGCGATTTCAGACCAGGACAGACCATTGCATGTGGCCTGTGACGCCAGCGATTTTGCAATTTGCTGTGCGTTAATGCCGTACGACTCAGACGACGTTGAGCGTGTCGCCTGTTGTTAATTGCGTCATCTGCAAGCAGCCGAACGTAACTACTCAGTGCATGACAAGAAACTTCTTGCCACGAAATATGCACTGGCTAAGTTTCGGGTATCTCTCTTAGGAGATAGGCCCTCCATCGTTTATACCTACCATGCTCGTTACGCACGGCCGTAAACAGTCCACACCTCTCACAACGAATGGCGAGGTGGCTTTCTTTCTTCGCGGCGTACAACTTCTCTGTCAAGTATAGACCAGTACGACTAAATGTCGTCGCTGATGCTCTTTCGCGTCGACCCGATTTTGAGCCGACTGCTCAAACCAGCAGTAGAGGTGATCCCACTGTTGCAACACTATCAGTAAGTGTTACGTCGTCGAATCTGCTCGACGACGTGCTAAAATCGTACACAGAAAATGAGTCTCTTTTGCGATTGATGGATTACGTGTCTTAGACATGCAGTCAAACTTTGAAAAGCTTCACGTCTCGATATGCTGCTCTTCAACCGAAAGGTATTCGGTTCTAGATGGACTGCTGTACTATACAGCAGTCAACGGCGACACACCTCGTGTCGTCGTTCCCGCTCATGATGACTTGCGATTG